CTTGTAGAGGTACACCGGCAAGGACTTGCGATCCTTGAGCAACCGATCTGCCTCGCAGAAAAACAGGAGGTACCAAAGGGGCACTTTGGTACGGGGTGCGTAGGCCAGGCGCCTGCGTTTGGACCCACAAAAAGGTCAAATACCCTTGAAACGGTGGGAACCCCATTTTTGGCATCAGTTTGGCATATCTGCAAGAGGATGTGACTACCCTGATACAGATGACTGGCTGCTTGGATTTGAAACTTGCAAGAGGGATCCCGTTTCACATGGCCACTGGGTGATGCTGTTCTGTAGTTCAAGATGTGCAGCTGATAGCTTGGTTACTTCCCTGCTGAGCCCCTTGGCGGCACTACCCATCACTCCCAAAGCCATGAACGATGAAGAAGCTCAACTTGTCTCTGGTGGTAAACAGGTGTGCTTCATGCTGTCTTTTTTAGAGCCCTTGGCAAGATACCCCTGAGCTTCGACACTGATCGAGGGCATCCCTTTGAAATTCAAGCAAACAGGTATACCTTGCCCACATGTGGGCCACGGCAACAGCTCAGGGATGTCGATTATGTCCCGTAGGTTGAAGATCCGTGCTCACCCCTTCACATTGCCGATGACCCCAAAATTCAAATTAATCTTGTAGATGTTGTCCTCTGAACCCATCGATTCGTCTCAGAAGTGTGGGGAATTGTGACCACTCCTGTGATGTTGATACAAGGACTTGCAAATCTATGGCTAGTTCGCCATTTAGTAAGGGCATAACAGTTCCCTGTTATCAACTACCCACCTGCTTCCCACAATCCTGCCACAGTTTGATGTGGTTTGCGGGTTCTCTTCTGTAAGATTGTCTAGTTGTTTCGTCCGAATGCAGCACTGTTCAAGGCCACGAACAACATCCCAAGTTCCCAGTGGCCGCCGGCCATGCGAAAGAACCAGAAAATGTTGTTTGTTTCGCAGTGAAACAACCAAACCTTGAAACAGAAGTTGAAACAAGGAAGCAGTGGGAGGGGGCCTTGACTAAAAAGACCGCAACTGCAGGTTTTGACTGTTTGCAGATTGGGTCGCAACGAAAAGCATCTGCACAGGCTGCCCTATGTCTCCTTTTGTTTCTTCGCTGCGGTTGATTTGGGCTCGCTTCACTTGATGGGTCATAGCACTGCCAACACAACCTCAGCATTCAAACAGTTAGAACAGAAGGCTACTGTTACAGGGCGGCTCTCTGCTTCGACAATGCATCCAGGTTCGGTTTGAGAATGCGTCTCGGTGTTGAGATGGCTGAAAGAGCCGCCAAAAACAACAATAGCGCATTGGCAAATTGCTGGATGCTCGCGTTGTAGCTACAAAGCTACAAAGCAGAATCAAGCATGCCTCTTTACATGACCATGCAACCAATACAAATTCTGTATTCCTAAAAAATGCTGGACCCACAGCAGTCATTTCTTGACGAAGACAAAAGCAGTCTAAGGCTGACCGCACATGCTACAGGGCAGCTCCCTGCTTCAAGAATTCATTCAGGTACTTTTAAGAATGGATCTCGGCGTGCCGCCATGAAGGAAATCTTGGACTGTCGAAAGAGCTGCCAAACAAATAGCGAAGAGGCATTGACAAATTGCCGGACGCTTGTGCTGACTGTCCGCACGGCAGCACAAGCATCAGCCTTTGAACGCCTCGTTGAGAGGGAGTCCTAGCTGCAAGGCTATAGAGCGGAATCAAGCATGCCTCCTTAAAAGACCAATGCTAATTCTGCATTTCGACAATGGCTGGACCCGGATCAGTCAATACTTGACAAAGCCACCAAGCAGAATCAATCGTGCCTCCTTAAATAACCAATGCTAATTCTGCATTTCAATTAACTGTTGGATCCGGATCAGTCAGCACTTGCCACAGCATAGCTGTGGCGCACCTCCAGAAAGGCTGACTGGATAGAATCGAGATTGCTACAAGGGCAAATCTGCATGAGACACCTGAAACTCATGCGACTCATGAGCCGGCTCAGCTCACCAAGCTTCCTTGGGGGAATGTTGGATCTGGAATGCTCAGGAACTTCCAGGCATGCCAAATGCTGCTCCATGAGGTCGATGACTCGAGTAGCTTGCGGCACCTGTGCCGCCCGAACCTTGAGAAGGGGAAGAACAAGGTTCAACTTTTCTCGCTCACTGAGGCTGCGCAAGGCCAGGCGCTGCTGCTTGTCCAGCTTCACAGGACGACCATGTGGATGATGGCAAAACTCACACTGGCGGCCGTTGGAGTTGGGGCACCCGGAGTGTCTGACCATGGCGAGGCATGGTCTCCAACAGAACTCTGGATGCCCTACGCTCCCACACGTGCTTTGCACTGAGGCCACTTGCACATCGCGCTTGTCGTTCCTCTCAGAAGCCACGAGGAAGGGAGGGCGGGAGGGAGGGGGGGAGGGAGGCACTCGCTTTGGCGGCTCCTCCGTTGGCGTTTGGCGTTGTGCGCCTCCACGCCAAGCCCATGCCGTTGGCTGCTCCATTGACCATGCCTCCACCAGGCGTAGAGCTTGGTGGAAGTCCATGCGCTGCTGAAACTCTGAAGCCAGGCTATCAACCCCCCTATCTTCATCCATGTCTTACTCGCAGCCTTGATCGGCCTTGGGCCAAATTTGAGCCAGTCCTGCAGCGCACGCAGCCCGTTCCATTAAAAAAAAAAAAAAAAAAAAAAAAACGGTTCAATCCAATGCCTTGGACGCCCCAAGACTCACAGAGCCCAGCAGGATTGTGAAGCTGAAAAAGATTGGGTGGCTCGGCATGTCCGTGTTTTGCACTCGTTCAGTTGCCTGCGCAGACATCACCCAGCACGTGACAGTAGCTGCTTCAGAAAATGGAACACTTATATATATATATATATGGGCAATGTACATTCATGTCCACAAACAAACAAGCGTGCCAAAATATAGCATCGCACATATGTTTGGAAACCCTTCTGGTTGCCCTTGAAAAATTTCCCCCAATAGTTTTCCATACATCGCAAAACAGAGGCTCCCCAATTAAAGAACGGCAACAAGAACGTTATTGAGTTGTCCAGCCCCGTGCAGCTGTGAAGGCGGACCTGTCCACATGAGACTACCATCCCAAACTCACGCAACCACCCCATGACAAACACCTCAAGCCACCGCCAAACCAGCAGCACACTTAACACAAATCAGCTCCAAACGCCCCCCCAAACCACCCAAAGTCAGCCTTAACCCCGCCCAACAGATGTCAGCCCTTTGCTGAGCCTGAATGAACCCCAAACCAACCAACCCAATAACCACCCTCAGACCACCCATAATGCTCCCAACTGCCTCCGAATCAGAGCCAACAGGCAACCCGAGGCCCCAGGTTCAAGCGAGGCTAGTGATGCGAGAGATGCGGCCAACCAACCAACCAACCAACCAACCAGCCAGCCAGCCACCCAACCAACCAACCAACCAACCAACCAACCAAACCAACCAACCAAACCAAGCAGCCCGCCAGAAAACCAGACCTAAAATCCAGCCCTAGGAAAACAACCACCTCGTCCTAAACTCAGACCCCCAAATCTTTAGTAGTACTATCCTTCCAACAGCTCGAGGCGCTCGCGGCTCGCGCGCACCTCCTTCCGCATCTTCTTGAACATCCGATCGTCACGCACCGCCTTCGGGACGTTCATGTCCTGACCGCTTCGTGCTGAAGCCGTGATTGCGGTGCCTGCTGCAAGGGTTTGAATAACTATCATGCGGGTTTGGGGTAACATGACACTTAAATCAAGTCATGACCATGAGAAATTAAAACTTACTCAGCTGGTTATCCTGAAAGAAGTCGACGCCTTCACGCATCACAATGGAACGCCAACACGTGATGTCACCTTTGCACGGCAGCACATGTGATATTTGCTCACGCCCTCGCGCCGTCCCGTATGCACAACTATCACAATGAAACGATGGTGAACTTAGTAGGAAGCCTTACCCGCTCAAAAGCAGCTGCTAGACATGAATCCCCTTGTATTTCTGTCCACCAAAGCATCCAACCATCTGAAGCTCATAGCACCAACCCATCCTCTCCCTTTTAGCGTTGGTTTAAAACGAAAACAAAAGTGATCACCTTGGAACCACACATCCACATGAAACCATTTCGAAGCCAAAAGGACGCGGGGAAGGAAATCATGTTGGAAATCAAAACGAAACCAACCACCCCGCTCACTAATTGTGCAACAAACCCATTCTCTCCCTCGAGATCGGCCGCTGGCCGAACCGCGCTGGGCCGGGCCCCACGGGCCCCGTGTCCTGCTCGTCCTCCGAGTCCGATGCTTTGCCCGCAGCCTCCAAGGGTGGCGCCTGAAGCGGAGCCCAAGCCACGCTTTGCGAGTTGTTCCCGAGCCCTGCGCTTTGTGCTTCGCGTTTGGTTTTGTGGCTTCTGTATGTGTGTTGTTGCTTGTTCCATATGGGCTCAAGTCGACCTCGAATCTTGTTGTTTTGTTTAACTATATGAAACAGCATTTCTATATGCATGTATATACATATATAGAGATGTTGTCTATCTAGAGGGTTTCATATGTATATGTATATACTTGTGTACATACTAATATGTTTGTACATATTCTTTTACATATATATATATATATGGGAATATGTACAAACATGTATGCATCATGTGTGTACACATAGGGAACGTCATGATCTGGAATCCTTTTTTAAGGGTGGAATTTTGTCTTAGGATGAGCGGGTTGCCCTCTTCGAACTGCTTTTTCTCAGGGCGGACCTGACCAGCATAAGGCAAGGCCGCTTTGGGGTTGCTTGCAAGGGAAATCTCAAAGGCAAACTACCCATTTTGGGGGGGGTTCCACATTCTATGTCCCATTTCGAGACCAACCCAAAATGTGGGCATTCCTTTCGCCAAATGCCATGAGTTAACGCCTTGAAGTTGCCGCCAACCACCTCCGCTTCCCCGAACTCCACGGCGTCCTGGCGCGTTTACACAACCAGACCAACACAACCGCCATGTGCTTGAAACGTGGCAAGGCCGAAGGTCGCGCCTCTAAGATGAGCTCGTACTGCGTCTTGTCCTTGAGCTCTTTGCGGCCTGTCAAACTTGGACCCAAATCACAAGTGGCAAGTGGCAAGCGGCAAGTGGCGGGGTTGGCACTAAAGCTGCTTCAGCTCACGCGTGATCGCAGGATCAGACAGTCATTGGCTTGCACTGATGGCATCCATCTCTATGTTACTTGCATGCTGGCAGGGCTACAGGCGGCGCAAAAAGGCTTGCGGCCTCCCCGACTCCTCGACTCCCTGCACCCCGTTTTGCGATGTGACTGTGGACGCGCAAACTTCAATTACTTCCATCGCGTTCCCGCACGGTGCAAAATCACAGTATCTGAGTTGGCTCCTTCCCACTTTCTCCCTTGGGGATCGGCCACTAGATCCCCTTCCAGGAACTGGCGGCCTTGCCTTTCTGTGCGCCGTACTTGGACACGGCTTTGGACACCGTGGCATCCTCCAGGCGCTGCTCCTCGTTGGGCTGCCACTTCCTCGGAGCTCGGTGTTGCAAGTGATGAGGTCTGGGTGATTGCATGGCATCACTCCCCAACAGCCGCTCGTACATGCACCTACGGTGTCTTGAAAGCACACTTGGAAGGGGCACATGGAAACTCCTGGAAACACCTTCTCAAAGAGATCCCCTCTGAAACCACCCAAGCGAAATCCAAACAACACTGATATGTCTGCCCCAGCCAACGCCAAATGAGGACCTCACCGGACACCTCGGGGCCTCCGGAAGTGACCTCAACGGGCCTTGACTGCCATGGTTGCTTTCGAGAACGGACAACCTAGTGCGCCCCTGGATCTCTAGGGAAGAGTCCCAAAAAAGAACACTAGAGGCTTGGCGGGGAAACAGAAGGTCAGATGGTTACATGTGTGTTGTCAAAAGATCAAAAATTGCAAAAGGTTGAAGGCCAAAGAGCCAGCAGGGAACCCTGGCCACAGTGCCTCAGGTACATCGACCCTGCTGATTTCTTTCCAGTGGCTCGTCGTAGGTCTGCTGGTACCGCTGCTCTAAGACGGCGAAGCGCTTGTTCTGCCCTGCAAAGTCTATTTGGATTTGCCCAGTCGCTCGATTCTGTGAGAGCAGCATCAGTAAAGAATCCAATTATTCTTGATCCTGTTGAGACAGCCTGCACTTGGTTTCAGGTCAATCGGGGCCATTGTCCGCAGACCAGTCCCGGGAACGAATGTGGAGATGATGCCCGAATGCAATCGCGCATGCGCCAGTTCTGCAGTGTTTTGTCTCCTGACGCACTGAAAATGCTTGTTCACCAGAACGCATCTGGGTGAACAGCAATATTCCACCGACCCCAAATAAAGGCTTGCGAGGTTGCTAGCCCAGCCGTTTTTTTTGACTTCTCATGGATTCCAGCAGCCATCGGCTCACGACCTTGAGTCAGGGGGTCTTTCCTGATCCTACCCTCGTTTGGGTTTACACCAACCATTTGTGAAATTCCGCTTTGAGACAACCCCGTAGGTCCAAGGCCTTCTCAGGGCCACAGGGATCATACCTAGGCCTAAGCGCGGAGAGTTGGCACGGAGTACCGGCTCCGGACTTAGGCGTTCGCCCAAATGGATTCATTTGGGTTCGGTCACAAGCCAGAATTTCGGCAATCAGGAAGCATAAACCCGGGTGTTTCATTCCCCAAAGACTAATCTCTCGCTCAACATACCAGACAAATAGTGCCGAGTTGAGACAACTTCCAAGCAGATTTGAACAAGGAATTCTTATCAGCATGTATGAGGTCGCACCCACTCCCCCCCTCGGTTGTCAGGATGCTATACTTCCTCCAATTGAACCTGCAAAAAAGTGATGACATGAGCACAAGATCGTGGACCCCAACCTCGCCTGCCGCGTTCTCCTCATCATCGTAGACATCTGGCATGTTGTAGCCAACCGCCCGCTCGATGCCACGCTCCTTGCGGCTCGGAGGCTAAAGCCAAGCTAACAAACCCCGCCAAATGGGAGAAGAAGGTCCAATTTGTTTTGGACGCGCACATTTCCGTGGTGACTTCCTTTGGCTATTTATGAGGCAGGAGTCCCATTTCCTTCTGGTTGACACCCCCCTTCAAAAAACATGTCTGCCCACGGCTCGTTTGCTTCTCCACGGTGGGCCACTTTCGGCCAGCTCCGCCAAAGAGCCTGGGCTTCCTTTCCGATCCCAGTGGCTCCATTATTGTAGCAGGCAACCGGATTCTTTGCCTCAGGGGTAGCTGGATACTTTTTGAGGGTGCCCGTTTCGGGGTTGGTTTAAAGGGAAACCAAAAGGAAAAGCACCGATTTGGGGGGTTCCCCGTACTTTGACACTTGCCATTTATAAGGCTTCATCCATTCCAACTCATGCACGCACAAAGTCCCGCGCCCACACCATTCGACTTCCCCGCCCCACAAATGAATGGGTTTGTCTCAACATAGGCGACCCCAAAATGGGTAGGCTCCCTTCAATCTCCCCTTACATTAAGCAAAAAGGGTATCCTCAAAAACACACGCCTAAACTTGCTTTTGTTTGCCACTCCTCCATCCGCTGCTTTGTGACGTCGTAGAGCTGCCGTTCCAGCTTGAGGTACCTAAGCTCCGACTTCAGCTTGCTGTTGATGTTTGGTCTTTTCCCTTTGGCCAGGGACAACATCTGACTTAGCCCACGCTCAAACGTGCAACAGGGGGTTTTGGGGTGCTGAGCGTGGCTTGGGCAGATGCCACCTCCCCCCTTCCCCTATGAATGAGTATGTTACAGGTGTGCATCATGTGGCGTTGCGAAGCGGGAAAAGTCACAGAGGCAGGTTCTCGTGGTCAAAGTGGTCAAGCCCCCAGAGCTTAAACATGGTGCCTGGTCACCGATGTCACTTGCAACCACACAACCTAAGGAAGAATGATAAAAGGTCAAGGCCTTTGATCAACAGACCAAAGACGGGCAACCAAAAGGTCAAGAGTGGGAATGCTGGGCGACAATGCTGGATCACACGGCAAAGCAAACCCAGTAAAGCAAACTGGCGTCCCTGCAATGAAAGAGAGGATGAACAAGAACCAAAAAAAATAAGCAGCCAAACGAGTTTGCGCAAGTTTGTCGTTGAAGAACCTGCTGATTGCCATGATAGATGCAGAGTTTACATGTTTGACCCCCCGCTTTGCTAGGAAAGTATGTTGATCACAAGCTTCTTATTGCTGAGGAGGGCGTCCTTTCCCAAAAGCGCTTAAGTAAACCCTGGATCGATGCTTCCTGCTGAATCCATCTAAAGAAGATCCCAGCCCAACCCCAACATCCCCTGTCCCTTGTCCATGCTTGCCTCTTGCAACCTGCTGTTGGTTCATCCTCCCTGATATGCATGGAACACCATGCGCACCTCTGTCACCCGTCTGGAGACTGGCACTTGAACAGAAAGGTCCGTTAAAACAATCAAAGGTCCTTCCTCCCCAAAACAGTCCTCCCCGCAAATTCTCCATGGACCCAGTGAACAAAGTCGACCATCCGTCCGGCCGGGGCGCTGCTGCTCCGCCTCCGAGATCTTCTCACCCTGCATGAGCCACTCCGCGTCGCTCACCTGCCTGCCCCGCAAATCCGAGATCTTCACCTGACGGCGATGGCTCCGAGACGGCAGCTGCAAGCGGATGGGCTAAACATGGGTTGGTTGAATCCAGGGTAAGTTTACAAAGAGAAAAACTTGGAGGGGTTGGCGGCGAGGTGTTGAGATTCTTTCAGCTCAAAGCGAAAACGCCTCAAGCCCTTGGTAAAAGCAGCACATTTGCCTGTTTAGTACGCAGGTGGTTGCAGTGCCTTCATTCTGTTGAAGCATGAGAGTCAAAAAAAGGTCTGATGCAAAAACTTAACCTTGCTCATGCAATCTGCAGGGAAGCCTGGCCTTTTCTTTCATTGATGAGCCTGTGATTTACTTGGCTACAATACAAAAAAGAAAACAGCCTGAAATGAGAAACCCCCAAGCCCCTAGGTGTGGAAAACCGAAATCTCGAATCCTTCCAAATGAGAGCGTCCAAGATTTCAAGGACCTGCAATGCAATGCTCAGGGAACACAAAATTTATGATATCCCTTTGCTCTAGACAGATACCGTCTTCGAAAAGGCACCCCAAGCTGTTCGATTCGCCAGATCGCTTGGTCTACTTGGTTACCTGGTGATGAATCGAAACTGGAGGGCCGTTGGATGGGTTTAAGGAGGAAGCTCAGAAGAAGCTCACCATGGCCTTGACACATTCCTATACGACACGTATCCCTCGCAACATGCTTCCTGATGCTGTCGTGCTGTCACGGGCGAGACTTGCTGGGTCCAATGTGACATCCTCAGACTTAGCCTCTCCATGGAATAAACAGGGAAACCATCCCAAACGATAATTAAATCCGCAAACTCCAAATCCAACCGCTGCAGGGGGGGGGGGCAGTTTTGCTGCGCCTCTCGCTCGCCCAGGTACTTTCGGCGCGCGGTCTGGCGGATGTGCTCGATGGCATCCCGACGATCCTCCTCCGACTTGAACTCGAAGGTCTTTTGGTCTGCGCAAAGCACTGGGTGGTTCTACAATTAGCGCCTTTGTTTTGGATGGTCTAAGGAGTCGAAGGAAAGTGCCCATTTGACTGGGACAGTTATCTTGAGAGACACCCATATGGGTCTCTCTCTTGTTGAGGGTGCTTTTTGGAAGTATATGGGAAACCCAAAGCAAACCAACCATCAAAAATGGTGGTCCTCCTACATAGCCATGTTGGGGGCGTCCTAAACTCAACGGTAAACTTCGGCACCTGCTGGCTGCTTTCAACTGAACCAAGAGGACCCCCCCCACCCCCCAGGTGCTTGTTCGAGGTAGCCCGCATAGCATGATCTATTTCTGCTAGGCTAGTTGAGTTGACCTCCTTGCAAGAAACCTTTACTTTCTGAAGCCGGTTAGTGCAACTTGTTCAAGGGCTTTACGAAGGGTTGAAGACCAAACCAAAACACACACAGTTCCAATCAAGGCCCTCAAGGTTTCGACCTTGGAGAAGTTGTGGCGCTTGACCAGCAACCGCAAGTGGTCTATTCGACCGCAAAGAAGGGGATTCTCAGGAGCTTTCATGACTGATCTTGCCCAGCTCACCCTCTTAAATTGAGGAACGTCTGTCAATGCAAGACATTGGACGAGGGTCTTCCAATTGCCGGCTTTTCCACTTCAGTTGACTGCCCCAGTGGGCAGTCGCCAAACAGGCTCAAGCCCGCGATTGGGTGTGCAGGTTGTAGCTTGCTAGTTCAACATGTTGGAAGCCGCCGTGTCAAAACAGACAAGAATATGTCAAAAACAGACAGGGTTGGACGCAGCAATCTGTTGTGTTGAAATGCAAAGCATTTCAATAACCCAAGCCACCTGATGATTGAGGATCTCTCCATTTGCTCTGTCGAGTCCGTCCCGCCCCCTGTGCATCAAGCTGCAGGGTTGGGCCAATCCCTTGTTCAAGCATCTTTGAACAGCCATTCTTTTTAAGCATCTCCTTCTGGTTCCCCTTCCAGGGGTAGGGTCCAGTTGTTTCATGGAGTCCTTAAAACCAATTCTACCACCAACCCGGCCCCGCGCGCGTCGCTGCGCCGGGTGGCCCTCAGCGAGCACTCCCCCTGGGCTTCCGGCTCTGCGGCTCAGCGGCGCCGGCGGCGCCGGGGCCCACGCGCTTCTTGTTGAGCCGCTCCTTCTCCATGAGCCGCTCATGAAGCTCATCCTCCGTCTTTTTCTCAGGAGAAAAGGTTTATAAGCATGCAGGCTCCGGGCCCAAGGGTGGGTCTGAATTGCAGACTTGGTATAAACATGGGGCTCAAAAAGCATTCCTGGTTGAAACAAACATGTGCTATGACTCGACTCCCGAACCACTTTTGGTTCAACAACATCCTTTTGGTTTGCCTTCATAGGAGATGGGTCCGGCTATTGGATACCCAGGTCTTGCCAAAAGCTCCGAGTCAGCAACCAGTTTGAATGTGAGGATGCAGGTAGGAGGAAGCAAAGAGGCGATGTAGGAATACGTACACACTCATTCAGAAACGTGTATGCCTGAGCAAAGCACGCAAAGTACGCTTTGGAAGCTCCTACTGGAGCATCGCACTTGCTCAATAAACGCATCGTACACAGAGTGCACGTTGGCAACTCCAGCCGCAGCATGGCAACGTTCCAGCGCAGACGCGTAGAGCATGAAGTGCACTTGGAACATAGCAAACTTCTCGCTACTACAAGCGTAGCGCACCCCATGTGGCGAAGCTGGCAGCAAGGTCTATGGGCGTTCGGAAGACTGTCGCGACTCTTGCGCCAAATATTTTGGCTATGTGTCTTACAGGTCTGGATGTTTCAACTCAGAAGCGTCAAGATGACATTGTGGGAGTTAGTTATATGTTCCAAGCTTGAATTAGTGATTTGTTCAGTACGTCGATCAGTCTACAAAGGTAGGCGCCAACTCATACATTACGTGGGGCTCTTGAGCAAAGCTCTTACAAGGTCCACTGCGGCACTTTTGCGGCCACCAATAAATAAGAGCCGATGTCGCTCCCTTTCACATCTCAATACGAGGACCTTTCGACTGCCATATACCAGCATATACAAGGACCTTGGCTGGAAGCTTAGATGCGATTAGATGCACGCAAGTCACAAGCTACAAAGTGATATTCGACAGGTTCAAACACAGTGGATGTTTGACAATAAACATGCCTGAACACATGACACGGCGACACACGATATTGAATCCACGACACACGATATTGAATCCACCCGACCCTTGCTCCTTCCTCTTGTTGATTCTCATCCCGGATCACTAGAAGTGAGACAAGTCTTCTGCAACTTGTTTGGATTGCCTATTAAAATTTGGATTTCCCGCCATTTTCCGCTGCATTGGGAATCAAGGTAGCAAACTCTGCAACAAAAATGCAAGGGGGCAACGGATCAAACTCGGAAATGGTGGCAGGGCCAGCCCCGTTTTGCCCAGTTCCATGAGAGGGATCCAAAAGGAGACAGAGTGCTAGGCCAGCTTTGGCCTGCGGCACCAAAACGGGCCATCCCCACAACAAGGGCTTCCCACGGATCAGACAGTGGCAACATGTGGCAACCAGCAAAAAGTCATTTTCCATGGACCAATGTTCACTTGTCAGGTTCCCCTCAATTGGTAATTTGGATTCTTGGCTTGGGGATTGGGAGCCCTACTTCTTGCTGAGGGAAATGAGAAGCTACCCCCTAACTGTCAAACCAGCAAAAACCAAAACACCAAGTGCTGGGAAGCTGAGTCAGGAAGGGCGGGGGGCCCTGCAAAACGGAAATAAATAAAAAAAGCTGCCGCCATGGGCTGCAGCCCGGCGGCGCGCTCGCGCTTGTCCTTCTCCCGCGGGTCCTGGCCCACCCCTTGGTTTGGATCGGGTGTTCCATTGCTCAAACAATGGGGGCAACGCCGGCAACCCCCGAACCTCCAGTCACATCACCTCAGGCCATCTCCCCCAAAGCTGGGCGGCCCCTTGAAGCAAGCACTTTGGGGGGGTTCTCAAATTCCACTTTGCCAGTAGCTTCCATAACATTTGGTGACTTTGAGGACGCCACTGCGGTGGACCCAGCCGCCAAATGTGATCCAATCCCCTCTCCTCCCGGCTCGAAGCAGGCTTCTCGGCTTCCATGGTGCCAAGGTGGCGTTTCAAAGCCACTAAAGTGGAAGACTGCTCTGGAGCATGTTTGAGTTGGTTGTTTCCTAGCTTCTGTGGTTTGATGTCTTGTTGTTTGCCTAACTTGGGTGTGTGTTGATGTATCGTTGCTTTCTGTTCTGCAGTGCAACAGGTGAAGTGGCATATGCTCACCGGGTGAATGGGTGCATGCTCCTAGAGCACGCGGTTGGTTCTGACGGCATGCCCAAGACTCTTGTCATCGTGCGCTTCCATGTCGCTCGAGTGGCGAAGTTCTCTGTAGCCGTTGGAGGTTCATGGATAAGCTGACTGACCCCGGCTGTCTAATCTCTCTGCGAGAAGTTGCGGCGAGCGCACGAATTGATCTCTTGCCAAAGGCGCACAAGTGCAGCAACAGGCCTGAAACTTTCGAGCCCTTTTAGATCTCCCATGGAAACAGACACTCTGTGATTCATTTGTGTTCAGCACTCTACCGAAATTACGTCACCTTCCCAAATGTCCCTTAAGCCCTTGGCTGTTGATTCTGGTCACTGCTCCGCCAGTAAGGAAGGAGGGGTCATGAGAGGATCATGACATCTTCTGCATTTTGCCTTTATTGCAGCAAACAACCAGAAGGTCGATATGATCGGCCCAGGTCGTTAACATTCAGTGGCCATGTCTCCTCTCACCTGGATGTTGGTGGTTAACCCCAAGGAATGCCTGCCACGTCATTGAAGAGCCCCCCTACGAAGCGATCACACGTGTTCCCCGTCCCTAGTCCGCGAATCTTGGACACATGGCAAAATCCATACTGTGTTGTTCTCTTCCAGGTTCTCTAGCTGAGACTCTTCTGAAGTCTCGGGCGATGCAAAGAACCCCCAAGAGGGGAAAACGCAGCTTTGTGTTTTAGGCCCTACACCTGTCTTGCTTCCTTGTCCGAGCTGGCAGGGCTAGCATTGCCTGCCATTCTCTGAATTGGTCGGACAGGTGTTAATCAATCTGACGTTCTATTCGGGCAGGACCGGTTGGTACCAGCTTGGAGACTGTTGAAAATACGTATGAACATCTCCAGTGTACGAGTCCAATGCTTCAAAGCTTCAAACACATGCTCAGCTAAGCCAGCTGACTTCGGGCGAGCGTGCTTGCAGCGGTGGACCCAGGTTGTATCCCCAACAGTCCGGAATCTTATAGAACCTCGCGGTGGGGAAAAAAACATCGCCCTACTCCCCGAAAGTGCGCAGTGACAACACCAGCAAGACTTGTCTGCAGTCATGCGTTCTTCGAAAAGAAGCAATAGGGGAAACCGCACACCTACCCGATGACATGGAATATACAATAATACATACATACATACATACAATTACATACATACATCATATATTTTTCTCAGTGATGGCATCTTGCAGAAGGCGAGGACTGAGTTGGTGCTTGAAACAAGGGCGAGCGACACACAGGGGGCTTTCTCCGCAGATCCCATACGGCCGTTCCTTGCCGGTAAGATCGAGACCACTTGGTGAAACTCGCCAGCGGATTCGAGTCAGTTCCGCCACCTGGCAAAACAATTTTGCTCAACGGGCTCTTTGTCCGATTCGCCTGGGACATACTGTAGCAGGTTGGAGCTTCTTCGCAAGGCCCATGTTGCATCTTGCTCCCTTCGAAGCGCATGGATGCAGCCAGTCAGAATCATGTTGTTTCAGCATATGGCCAACTCATGTCAGCAAAGGCGGCAGCACCATCAACAAGCTAATGCTGAACGTTCCTTGCAAGAAATGTTGGATTTACCTGAAAATGAATATCCGATCTCCCTTGGCCAACAAAAACAAGGAGTTTGGCGGATGACAAGCCAGTTGTGGCTCCAGCGCAAATTGGCCAAATAAACATGAGGCCCAGCGCTTTGCGTTGGGCAGCCGTGAGCCGATTCAATGATTGCTGCAAAACATTGAATCATACTGATGCTGAACAGGAGTGTTGGGTTAGCTCAAGCGGGGATGAGGTGTTCGAAGCGTTGCCATTGACGCGCATACATGTGCAAAACGTATATAACCTGTATGTCATTTGTTTGGTGTCGCGGTGGTGTCGCTCAACATGTCCATACAGATGCTTACTCAAGCCAAGGGACCCACGGAAATGGTCAGGTTGGATATTTCTTCTCTAAGACAAACCCATAGGATCCATATCGCGCAACACGAAGGCTGAACATCCGGGTGATAAGCTAAGCGTAGTTTCAACTGCCCCTACTAGTCCAGTCCGCAACCGCAGTTAACACTTCCACCTTAGCAGGTTGACCCCACCAAAGACATGACTTAGCGAACCTTAGATTCTGGTCCATATTCGTGAACCTGAACATGTGAAAAAGTTGGAAAGAGATCCCTGATGTGTCCCTTGCTTGCCGCATCCCCGCGCCTCGGGATCAGTGGTCGGTCCAGGAAGTGGACATACCCGTTCCAGCACCGGATGTTGGTCTGGCGCTTCGCTCCACATCCCGCAGCAAACCCTTGGTGACCCTACGACATCCTGCACCAGTTTATAGGTGGTGAATCCCAGTGGATACAGAGTACCATCCGTCCCAACAGCACTTGAACATCTCAGCAAATTACCAAGCATATGGTTGTGCCTGACAATTAGGGACCTTCTTGGATGGGGCTCAGCGGGGAAGCCAAAAGGAAACAAGCCAGTGTTAAGGTTCCCCTAGTTCAGAAAACCTTAGTACTTACAATCATCGCAACTTGCCAATCGGGTTCACGGCTGGACAAAGTGAGTGGGCACTGCGAAGCTATCCGAACACATCCAAGACATGTGTAACAAAGCATCAGCAAAGTTGCAAAACCGCAAGTTCAGTCACCTGCGAGGTGCTTACAATAGTAATCGAGAGCCTCTGGCTGCATGCGACTCAAAAGCCTGAGTGCTGGTTGTGCTGCTAAACACAAGTCATCGGGCGTGCACAATGCGCACGCGTTTAAATCCTGGTGGGGACCGCCAGTGTGTGCTGCTTGGTTATCTTGGGGAGATTGCATGCCCATGTGAAGCGCTCGAGACCTACGAGCGCAAACCAGACCGTCCACGTCGGTGTGGGCCTTGGTGATCCTGGCTCCATCCACAAAGACCTGGCGAAGCAAAATTGACGCCCCGGTGTTTGTTCCTATCTCACAAGGTGGATATGATATAGATTGAAACAAACTCCAGTGCCGAAACCAACGGAAACCAACCAGTGTTTGGAGTCACCCTGGGTTTGTGGCCAAGCCCAGTAGCTAGCCTAACGGACCTAAGCCTAAGCTGTATAGCCAAGCTTAATAGCTTGGATATCCCTAGACTTCTTCCAACAGTTTCAAGCAAACCCGCCACGAACTCTTGGCAAGTTCCTAGGGCAGCTACAACCGGATGGTGCCAGAGGAAAACCTCCAATTTGCTCGTTGGCTAAACCTGATCCATTTCCAAATAACTGCCCAGAAAACTGCTAAGCTGCCTGGCCGACGGGAAAGGAAAACCGAAAAAGCACCAAATGGGCCAAACATTTGGGATAGTTCGCACAGTCAAAAAATGCCAAATGCAAAATGATGCCACATGTAACACGTGTTCAATGTACAACACTCTATTCCAAACTGACCCAATATGGTGGACCCATAACTGTGTCATTTCAAATGTAGGTAGGTCCCAAGTCCGTCCGATGGGTATTATTGGAGTATTGGTTTGCAGGTAAGGGGTTGGTCTCCAGTGGACTCTAGACCAGGGTTCAACCCCCAAGCCACCACACCACCAGTCCACACCACCAGTCCATACCACCAAAGTCAATCTGATCCCAGCCCAACAAACCGCCGACCTGGCGGTCGTGGGTCTCCAGGCTGCCGGTGGCAGTGATCTTCAGCGGCTGCTCCGCCAGGCTCTCCACCTAGGCTCTCCGATCGGGCAGGGGGAGAGGGTTGGGGACATAGGTGTCCTTTTAGGGGAAATAGATGGCCCTGGTAGATGATTAAACCACCAGGGACATCTATTCTTCTACCAAAACAACCAAAAAGGACACCTATGGTTGGGGAATGAAGCTGTGAAGCTAAAGGAAACCGGGCTGTTGAAGAGACTCTTTAGAGGGCCCCAAACAAATTGCTGTTGGAGGTCGGACACCCCGCCACTCGGAGGGTCATTTTGAGGACGTCTCACTAAAATAGTCGCAGAGGGATGAAGGGGATGGGGATGGGGGCTCTGGTCACCTGCACGTGGCAACGCGCGTTCCGTTGTAGGGCAAGCATATGCTGGCCAACCCCACCATCTAAAAAAAGCAAACGCAAGGGCTCGCCTGTTGACCCCTTGTTGAGGAACCAAATCATACTGAATAAACAAAAGAACAAACACTGCTTTGGATAGAACCATGAGAATTGTTAGTTTGTGATGTGATTGAGCATCCACTTGTGCCTCTACCCATCCTTTTTCAATCATAAATCAACAAGGGTTTCAACTCTTCCCGACACACAGAACCCCCTGCAGGCTGCCATTTGGTCCCCTTGGTCAGAAGCATGATCAAACCCCGCTGCAGGTGGATGCCAACATTTTTTACCCCCTTTTCATCTGCAACCAACAGGGCTCCTCAAAGGACAGATCCAAAACAACTTTCTTTTCTAGGAATCAGCTGGTATTTGTCTTGTTCATTGGCCCAAATGTGTCCTACACCCCCCACCCCATGTCTCGCTGCGCCTTGGCTCGAGACTTCTCCGCCTCCGCCAGGTCTTTGATGCCCCACTTCCCCCGGACCTCGGACCGGCGAAATAGCCCGGGCGCCCGACATGTCCAGCTTGTGAAGACCCTAAAACGAGATGCATCAAATTGGCGAAAGGTGATGTTGGAAACCAGCCTCAATAGCATGGGGATGTGGAAAGTGGCGGAAACGTGGGGGATAAACGATATGTCCCCATGAAGGAGCTCTGACTTTGATAACCCCTAAACAGGTGAACGCAGTTTGGATGTTAAGGGGGTGGTCCCAATTACCCACCACAAAGACCAGGATGCTGAAAGCAGTTTTGGGGTAGCTCGGGCAGAATTGACGGATGACGTGCTCGAAGTTGTTTTCCATTGACGTGCATGCATGTGCAAATCGTATACAATACGTATGTCATTTGTTTGGTGTAGCACTGGCATCGCTCCATAAGATGTCTTTCTGAACAAAGATGGGTCTACTGGTTCTTGACCCGTGGATGTTTACTCCAGGGGACTCACAGAAGTGGTCCGGTGGGATGTTTCCCCTTTGAGACCAACCCATAGGATACATAGCTCTCAACACCAAGGCTGAACATCTGAGTGATCTTACAGCCAATGGAAGCTCAAGGGAACCAGTTAAAAGCCACCCATTGTGGGCTGGTTCCATACCACATTTGGCTGAGCTTTGCTGCGGGCAACACTTAACAGGAGGAGCTCGTCAGTCCACGAGTTGCTTACCCGAACAACGCCAATTTTAAACAATGACAACCACTTGTGATTGTGAGGCGCCCGCCCGCGGCAAATTTTCTGCTCGCCGCAGCCATCCGCAGACAGTCGACCCATGCTGGCAGAATCCGTCTTCTCTGGCAGCCGTCGAGTTCGACGCCGCTTGGCTCTGTCATCTGGAGAGCCAGAATTGGCTAGCCAGATACCAAAGCCAGAAACGTCGAACTCAACGGCTGCTGGACAATGCACATCTTCTCAGTCACTCTACACGTGAACTGTCATTCACGTGCGCCAAGACCCCGAGACAGGCACACACTTGAATTAGTGAGATTGGGAACAACCTGAACGAGATCATCTGTTCAACAAGCGCATCGTCCTTCCACAAGGGCTCCAATTTTCTTCCTCCAGAGACCTGCCAAAGAGCGCTTTCGCCCCTCCATGCCATACGCCCAGCAGCGCAGTTCCACCGAGCCCTCAGTTCAGAGCTGCTCTCCGCATTGTCGAAGACCCCGAGGGTGTGGCACCTCAGATCCTGGCCGGCGGTGCCGCGTGGTGCTTTTGCGTTCGCTCAGGCCCCTTTCAACTACCTAGCCTAGCATGCAGACTGGAAGGCTCGACAATCGGGTTCCCCACTAAACCATCATGGGCATCATGGGTGAAGACGCACAACCTCTGTGTGAGGTTGCCTCAATTTGCCCAGCTTCATGCTTCTGCTCAAGTGCAAACGCAACACCTGCCTGCACTCGGCTTGTGCACCCGGTGACTTCCTCTGGTCTCCTCAATCAACGGTCGGAGCCCATTGCTGTCAAAGAGACAAGTGTATAAAACAGGGAGGAACAACTGCGTTGTTTTCAGGGGCACCCGCTTTGGGGATGTTGGGAAGGAAACCAACAGTGGATCCACCCCTTTCTGGTCCGGAGATGCCAAATGGATTTGCTCAAGACCCATCACCGAGCCTCCAGCAAAAGATTCGCCTTGTTTGCACAACCAATGTCAACTGGCTGGAGTGGTTGGTGTGGTGTAGTGTGGTGTGGTGTGTGGTGTGGCGTGGTGTCGTGGTGTGGTGTGTGGTGTGTTGTGGTTGTTGTTTGCTGTTTGTGTTGTGTGTTGTTTGAGTCTCGCGCGCGCGTATGTTTTTGTGTGTGTTTGTTGCGCGCTGCATCTGTGTGTTGCGTGCGGCGTGTCGTATATGTATGTATACGTGTTGTTTGGCTGTTACAATCTGTCGTTTGCTTGTGTGTGTGTGCGTTTTTGTTTGGTTGTTGGGGTGTGTGTGTGTGTGTGTGTGTGTGTGTGTGTGTGTGTGTGTGTGTGTGTGTGTGTGTGTGTGTGTGTGTGTGTGTGTGTGTGTGTGTGTGTGTGTGTGTGTGTGTGTGTGTGTGTGTGTGTGTGTGTGTGTGTGTGTGTGTGTGTGTGTGTGTGTGTGTGTGTGTGTGTGTGTGTGTGTGTGTGTGTGTGTGTGTGTGTGTGTGTGTGTGTGTGTGTGTGTGTGTGTGTGTGTGTGTGTGTCTGTGTGTGTGTCTGTGTGTGTCTGTGTGTGTCTGTGTGTGTGTGTCTGTGTGTGTGTCTGTGTGTGTGTCTGTGTGTGTCTGTGTGTGTGTGTGTGTGTGTGTGTGTGTGTGTGTGTGTGTGTGTGTGTGTGTGTGTGTGTGTGTGTGTGTGTGTGCTTGTTTGTGTTTGTGTGTGTGTTTGTGTGCGTGTGTTTGTGTGTGTTTGTGTGTGTGTGTGTTTGTGTGTGTGTGTTTGTGTTTGTTTGTGTGTGTGTGTGTGTGTTTGTTTTTGTTTGTGTTTGTGTTTGTGTTTGTGTTTGTGTTTGTGTTTGTGTTTGTGTTTGTGTTTGTGTTTGTGTTTGTGCTTGTGCTTGTGCTTGTGCTTGTGCTTGTGCTTGTGTTTTTGTTTGTGTTTGTGTCTGTGTCTGTGTCTGTGTCTGTGTCTGTGTTTGTGCTTGTGTTTGTGTTTGTGTTTGTGTTTGTGTGTGTGTGTGCGCTTGTGTGTGTGCGTGTGTGTGTGTGTGTGTGTGTGCGTGTGTGTGTGCATGTGTGTGTGTGTGCATGTGTGTGTGTGTGTGCGTGTGCGTGTGCGTGTGCGTGTGCGTGTGCGTGTGCGTGTGCGTGTGCGTGTGGGTGGGAGGGTGGGTGGGTGGGTGCGTGCGTGCATGCGTGCGTGCGTGCGTGCGTGCGTGCGCGCGTCCGTGTTCTGTTGCGTGTGTGTGTGTGTCCTGTGTTGTGTGCTCTGTGCTTTGTGTTGCGTCTTGTCTTGCGTGTTGTTGCGTGTTGTTGCGTGTTGTTGCCTGTTGTTGCGTGTTGTTGCGTCGTGCTGCGTCTTGTTACATGTTGCTGTGTGTGTGTGTGTGCAGTGGTGTGTTTGTGTCTGTCTTGGTTTGTCGTTTGTTGTGTGTTGTGTGTGTGTGAGTGTGTTGGCATACTATGTGTTGCGCTTGTTGCTTGTGTGTGTGTGCGTTGGTGTATTGTGTGTGTGTTGTGTTGCCGGTGGTGGGTTGTGGGGTGTGGGTTGCAACGTCGCCGTGTTGCGTAGCGTTGGGCCGTTGTGGAGCGGTGCGTTGTGTAGCGCCGCGAGGTTGGCGCTGGTGTTGGTGCTGCTCAAATGATACTTGCTTCTAATATATCTGCGCCTCGCATACATTTCGTGTCTGTTGGTTTGATCGTCCTTCAGATTTGACCCGCGGAAAATCATGCCCTGCTCCCGCCTCCCTCAACCTCATCCCGACTCAGGACTCAATGAGCTCAGAATACCTGCCGCGGATAAAGCCAGAGCTGGGGCCCCTCATGTCCTGGCGCGTTGCCTGTTTCGCACGGACAAAAGGGCAGAAAGCCGACGCCCAAACGCCAAACCGGAGGATCGCCTGCCCCACCCTCTGGGCTTGATTCAGTATTTTCCTTTCGAGGCAACACACCAATTCAGATCGGACCCTGCAGGCTTGTCAATACTGGACTGGGCCACCAAAAAGGTGGTCTTCCTGGTACCGAGCCTTAAAAGACAAGCACGCGCCCAATTTGGTGTGGCCAAGTTGATGTCTAGTCCAAGGATACCGATACTGCTGTAATTCCGAAGCATCCTTGTCGTTTGTCAATTGGTAGTTGGTGGATGACAATCGCCGGGCATCTGCCCTAATACTAGGGTCACCGACAGCATGGTAAGGAACTTGCACACGTGCACTGCTTGGCGGAATTGAAGAGAGGCGAACGGAAAACCCAGCATTTGGCTGATCGAGTTCTGATAATTCACGCTGATATAGGAAATGGAACTGATAACATTGCAGACATTCTGGGATTCATCAGGAGGCGCATTTTGCCTAGGAAGCTGAATAGCGGTTGCCTGGGCGGCTTGACTCAAGGGAACACGCTCAGGAGCAAGTGTCCCGGCAAGATGCACAATGTGTTGCAGTCAAAACCGAAAGCAAGGCGATACACTGGCTTCAGTCTCTTGATCAGGCTGTACATCACATTCTTCCACACAGTGGCCCGTACGAGGTCAGATTCGGCTGGATGCCAGAGTCAAAGTACCAGATTGAACTTCTGACATCTGAGTGGCATACAACAACTGTGCAGCATGGATCGAGCCAAATCTTCATAGCGCTGATCAAAGATGCAACATGGGTCTCGCCTTGGGCAAGTGAACTCTGCAGTTGCTACCATCGGTTCATCAAGGACTTGAATAGTCTCGACCATTGGGAAGGGAGGGTCGAAATGGTGGGTTGACTCTGAATGAAAAGAAGCATCTGCTCCGCATGTCATGTTGAAGGCCCAGTGTATCAAGAACTGGTTCAGTTGCTTCGAAGCAAATGATCCTACTGGCCAGAGTTGACAGCGATGAGGATTGAGTTGCAGCAAATGCATGCATTCCACACGTTATCATGGTGTGATTCCGACACTTTGATTGCGCGATCGACAAAACGGCACATGTGTTGTTCAAATGTCATGAACCATCCGAGGCAGACTACCCCAACAGGGCTGCTACGTGAAAGCTGAGCCGAAACCCACCTGAGAAAGGAACCTTCATGGGTGAGGTTGCGAAGACTCTTTGTGAGGCTGCTAGTATTTGCCCGGGGGGAGGGGGGCCGGGGCAATTTTGAGGCCACTCTGATCACGTTCCACTGGAAAGGCGTAAGCTGGCAGCCGGTGGGCCTCCGGGCATGGTGGCTCAATCACTCTGGGACCAGTCGGGGCACGCTTCCAGCACGCGGAAGATGTAGTGCAGAATCTGCTCCTAGTCAGAGATTCTCCCGCGGCAAAGTGGGTCGTGCAAAAATATGGGAAACTGCAGTCTAACGGTTTTTGCGTCGCGGTTTCGTGTCCTTATCACAATCCGAAACTGCCCCCATTGACACTTCTCTGATCACTTGGTCCTAAGCTACCGACGAGCGATCCTCGCGAACCTCTGGATCTAACCCATGAAAACCGTCCGAAGGCCGGCTCTGAAAATGCTAAGAACTACCAGCTGATTGGTCCAGCAACACAAGATAGTACCTCCTGGACTCCTCATTCCTTAAGACAAACATGGCTTGTCAAAGCTATCAATGCAGCTGCAACCTCATGCACACAGTCTCAATTGCTGGGAGATGTTGTTTGGACCAAACAACGACAAGCCTGAAATCCCTTCCAACTAGATAGGAACCCTTCATGTATGCGCATCCTTGCCAAGCATTCGTTTCGAGTCTTCGAAAGGAACCCACCACCTGCGTGTGATCTCCCCGCCATCTGCACATGGAACCCCCAACACAAGCTGAGCTGGCTGGAGAGAGTCTCCTTTTCTGGGCGACCCCTCCCTTTTTGGGAACTCCAACTCCGCCGGCCGCTTGGGCCGCTTTCGTTTCGCCCACGGCCGCCCCGCCCATCCGCCGAGCCTCGGTGAAGAAGCTCCGGGCGAAGTCCTTGGCGCGGCTGGCCATGGCGCGGCACTCCGCGTCGTTGCGCCGCGCCCAGCGGATCTTCTCCACGAGATCGCCTCGGGAGTGCTCGAGGCAAACGGGGCGCTTCTGCCCACGGGTCGGGCGGCCTCCTTGGGGCTTTCTAAACCAACCCCCAAAATGCGCTCAAAAACCGACACGCCCGTGTTACGCCAAATTTTTCAGTGGCTCCTCGCACGCCAACCCCCCACCCACCCACCCCTCTCCCGTCGCCCGGCAAAGCCGCAATCACCAGCCAAGGTGCCAAAGTCCTCGCGTACGGGGACAAAGTGCCTGGAACGAGCCCGTCATCCTAGCTCTGACTAAAACCACAGGGGAGCACACAAGCACAAACAAAAAGCAAATCTTGACATCTTGGTGCTAAACAAGGGCGATACAAATCGCAGGGTCTACAAGTTTATGACCCCTACCAGGTGGAACCACTTCTACTAGGAGCTGTGAGCCCTCGGCCGTGCCTCCAGGGCTCCAGCCCAGGGATGCCGTAGGGCAGCAGTGCAGTGATCTGCTTGAAGACCTCAAATGAAATCTCGGGGGTGATCCCCCTCTTGTTTGGGACCGTGGCGTTTGTTTTGGTGGCAACAAAATGGGTTTGTCTTCTCATGGAGTGTATAGAACCCCCAAGAACGGGCTGGGTTCTCCTTTGGCTTCCCTTGAAAACAGCCCCGGACATTTAGAGCTTCGCTCAATTTCACCCAAGCAAAAAGCCTGGCAGCTGACAAAGGGCTGCGCGCCGATGAAACTGGCCCCTCTCCACATCCTGTCCGGCGCATGCCTTTGGCTGGCCTCCCGAGCGGCATCAGCCGATGAGGCGCCAGCCAGAGAACCGCTGGAGAGCATCCAGTAGATACGCGTGTCGTCGATGGTGGAGCCGTCCTGCACGTTCGCCCCAAATCAGTCGAACCCCAAAAGTGGTCCTAAACCCACAGCCAAATGAATGGAGGGGCTGGGTGTTGGTGTGGTGGCCGGGAAGTAGGGAATCATCCAAAAGGTGTTCTAGTCTTGAGGACCCTCCCCTACCTATTTGCAGCTCGTTGCGCATTACATGGAGAAAACATGTTTTAGGCTAAGAATGGATGAAAACTAAAAAAACAAAAAAGCTACAAGGATGGCCTTGGACATTGAGGCGATTTGCTGACACCAAGCCTCTCACGTCTCATCGAGAAACGAAAAGCGATCAGACAATTGCCTGTTGCTTCGGGCCGAGGTTGTGGATGGCACGAGTTGGAAGCAGCATCGGGGTATGTGTCAAATATGGGAACCACAAATTTTATGTGTTGCCTTTTGGCGTCCCTTTGAGCCAAGCCAAAAAAGGATACCCTCAAAAACACAAACACATATACATATATATATATATACATATATATATCCTCACCGAGATGCGCAAGGAGATTTGCTTCCAGCTAGATATGATGGCTTTCTGACATGAGGGGTCCCCTGATAATGCGGCTCACCAAAACGCTTCTCGGGTTCGTGACCGCAAGCCAAATGAGCATGTGGTTCAGGCCTGGCACAGTGTTGGGAACAAACCCGAGCAACTCGTCCTTCACTGCACCCAATTCAAACTATATGAACTTGCTCCGCAAACCAAATCAAGCCAAGACCCACCGTGCAGGCAAGCGTCAGTCAATCGTTGCAAAAAACACAGCAGAGTCTCAAGACAGCACTAGGGCCACTCCATGTGGTTTGCCTGCTTTTCAACGTTCTTGCACAGGTCGCACACAGCGAGAACAAGTTCCAACCCTACCCAACTTCAAATATTAAATGGATGTGTCAAAACTGTTTTAGCCCTTCACCTGGCTGATTCCCATCAAGTTTGCTTGTCAACACAATGCCAATCGTTGGTCATTAGTTCGGCACACCGTGAAGGCTATCCTCAGACAAAGCTCGTCGCACAAAAGCATAGGCCCTTAGAAATGTATTCCTACAAAGTATCAAGCTCATCAAGTCCAACAACTGCTCGGAAGTGAATTACCCAACCTACCTCAGTTCTTACCCCGCTTACAAACACCAATGTCGATCTCCACATTCCGTGGACAGCAAAAGTTGTCAAACATCGGAGGTCCCAGCAACCTCTACAAACAAACACCTCTGTATATATATATATATATATATCTTCTTTTTCTTTAAACAAAAAAGCAGCAAGTTCGGCGCCCGTGGCCGATCTTCCCGCCCGCGCCGTGGAGATGAGGTATTTGAAGCTCAGCTGCTCCGCCGGCTGCGCGTAGCTGGCCACCAGCCGCCGCTCCGAAGCCCAGGGCCGGAGCCTCGAACCCGCGACGCGGAAAAGCCGCGGGTGGAACGCGGGGGGGGGAGCGCGACTCGGGGAATCGGCATGGGTTGGCCTTAGATGACTTAAAGAAGGAAAGACCTGAAGAACTTTCTTGGCAGTTTGGCATGGTTGTTGTTTCTAAGAAACCAGATCCAGGAGCTGCAAGTTAGCCTTAAATACCCAAACGAAGAGGGATTTGTTTGAAGAATGTCGGGTAGCTTAGTTGGAGCTTGGTAAATGAACCAATGGATCCCTCTTATCCTTAGACTACCTGAGCAAATCACAAGTCAATCCTAAACCAACCCTAGACCCACCCTCAATTCACTCTAAACCCGACCTCAAAGCCCCCTGTTTGAGTCCAGCCCTACATGCAACCCCGAAACCAGCCCCAAACCAAACGTGTGCCTACCCTAAACCCAACCCCAAACCACCCGAAATCTACCCTGAGTTAACCTAGCAAACCTCAACCAATTTATACTCTCAACCATCCCTGAAACCAGCCCTAAACCCACTCAGCCCGAAATCGAAACCAAACCAAAACCCAAGCCCTGAACAAGCCTCGACCAACCCTAAACGAAATCGAAAGCCGCTGTAAACCACAACCAACCCTAAACCAATCACATACCATCCCTAAGCCTACTCAACCCTGTCGGAAACGAACCCTTAAACCCTTCCGAAACCGATCCCAACACAACCCTAAACCCAACCCAAAACAATCCTCGACCAACCCCAAACAAAACCTCAATCCCAACCTAAACCAACCCACCCTCCCCAAACAAACCGACTAAGTTCAACAACAAGAAACCCAGCAGCTCCAACTTTATTTCGAATCATGGATGTGTCCTTTTCACACCGGCCAAATGGGTATCACCAGTTAAGGATGCCTCTAAAGCTTGTCCATCCCCCATCCGTCCTTTCAACAAATGAGACGGATCCTGCATTACTGTCTACCCGGATAGGTAAGACCCAATGTCAAACAACCTTCCAATCCGTCCCTCCCTTCACAAGTAGAGATTGGAAACAGCTGTTATTATTCCGGGATCCTCCTCCCATCCCCCATCCTCATTGATTCAATGAATTATCCCTGCCCTGCACTTTGGAGAAGACATAATATATACGACGCATATGCCGCATATGCATATTGAACATAATTCATTGAATATGGGCCGGGTTCTAAAAGGATACCTCCCAGCTCTGATGCCGCGGCCCATTTCAAGCTGAGCCCCGGGCTCACCGTAAGAGTCTGGGATGTATGCCAGCTTCGCATCCACCAAATCCCTGAGAGTGAGCCAGGCACAAGTGCCAAGGAATTGAAAGCTCTTGGGAGTGAGAGCAAGGGGCAAACTCGAAGTGTTGGCGAAAAAGTACTTATTGACAGCTTTTAGTTCATGGCAGGATTGCACTTGGTCTGTGTTTGGTTGATCGCTTGTTCAAAGTGGACAAAAACAAGGCTTCCTTTCGGGGTCAGTTCCCGAGACAGTCAAAATCCTCAAGCAAGGCCACCATTTGGTCCACACCCCCAATTTGGAGCCCGAATTTTGTTTGGCTTCATTCTGGCCAAAAGGGGCGTCCTCCCCAAAATAGTTGACACACCCCATATCATTCAAACCTTTTGTCAATAAGGTTGGGGCCAACAAACTCAAGGGCCCCTTGTCGCGCCACACATTGCCAACAGTTTGGTGCTTTTGCGACACCTCTCTCAGGCTACTCAAGCACAATGGCGCCTGGTGTCATGCTCGTGAGTCCTTGCCCGCTCCAAGTGGAGCAGCAAAGACAAAAGAGATGCACCAAAAGTTGTGCTTCTACCAAAGGGCAGTGTGGTCGGGCCAAAAGCACAAGGCACAATTGACAAGATGATCCGAGGAGTGATTGACCAGAACGGACTTTTCGATCAACAGGAACCAAAACAGGTATGTGCGTGGTCAAGCCGCGACTTGATTGCGGCAGGATTTGGAATGCTTCTGCACCAACAAAGGCCATCAAAGAGCCAAAACATGCAGTTGGACACACCCAAATCCATTGCAAGAATCTGCGAGGAATACAGTTGTATCAGTTCTAGAAGCAACATGCACAACGGGTTGGCATGCGCAAAGCGGCACCCTGCACCAACCTGACCGAACATAGGTCCAAAACATCGCCTGCCTTGCTGATTTTGCCAGCGAAATCAAGTGGCAAAAACACAATGTCCAAGGGTTCCGAAGCCCTGACTGAGATGGCCGGTTTTTGGCCCAGCGCACCCCCCAGAAACAAGAAGGTTACCAGCAAGCCAACTACAACTCATTCAATTCCCCAGGACACTACCAACTGCAGTCCAGCGCATCCGGCAAAAGCCCCCTCGTGCCCCATTCCAATGCAATCCAATGGCTTCAATTGTGAGAAGGGTGTCGTGGGGTACCACTAAAGCAACATTTCGCAATCATACTTGGTTTGCCATGTCAGGGTGGGAGGGATGGGCACTGAGTTTACAACTCGCGCTGGCCCAGCGAAGGTGAGCAGCCAGAAATTAACCGGGGTCACAGCGAAAAAAGCACCCAGCTGAACACACCATGCTGCCAGTCCCAAATTCCCCATACCTTTGTCTTGTTCTCCCGTCCCAATCTTAATCTAGGCTGAGGGTTACCCACTCTAAACAGCCATACCAAAGGATAGGATCACGACCAATCGAAAAGAACAATACATATTGATGAGAGCACTAAGTGAAGAGAACGGGAAGCCCATTCTAGAATTGACCCATGTCTTCCTTTTCGCCTGCCAACATCTACCAAACCCCTCGCATCTTTCCATGGCTCCACTCGAGACGAGGGGCGGGTGCTGCCGGGAGATCTCACAAAGCCGTACGCGATTGGAGAACCGGAAGCTGCTGCCTCAAGAGTTGGGTATGTGTCAAACTACCCAAAATGGTGGCTTTCCTTTTGACTGCCCTTTGAAACAACCTCAAAAACGGGTGGCCCAAGCAAAGACACACCCAGTTGGTCGGTGGATGCCGGGATAGACATCTGGGTGCTTCTCCAAATTAGGTGGGTTCCTTCTGGCTTCCCTTTCAAACCACTGCGTAAAAAGGGTACCCTCCAAAGACCATCCCTTGTAGGAAAATAGTGCTTCTGAATTCTTCCAGGTGGGTGTTTTCTTGTTGGCTTCCCTGTCAAATCATCCAAGGGGATTCCTATTTTGAGACCAACTCAGCTGCATTTTGATGCAGAAGGGGGAATTGTTCAAAACCCTGACTCCTCCACGGTCGACAAGTCTTCATGTGCTGCCATGTGAGGCGCAAAGCCTTCATCAAATCTACTGGAAGCCAGCCACTATGCCTCTTAGGGTCCATGAGAACAGATTCATCAAAGACAGTTGGAATACGATGAGGTTACCTAAGATGAACAAAACTCGAACCAGGCCTAGCCACTTTCTTGATGGCATCACCACCGCCAAACATAGGCCGAGAAAACGGCCACTGTCTGTGACACGCGCTTGTGCCATGACACCGTGAGAAAGGCAGCAGCTCGCGAACACAACGAATGCATTCATAAACAATTTCGAGAAAGCTCTCGTGACCAAACACTCATGTGTTGCCGTGGTGTCACGTCTGAGATCTACAGGTGACATAATGCTGTGTCAGTTCTGTGTACAATGAGGCAGGAAAAGAAAAAGTCCCCACCACAAAGGCACGTTTCGCCCATCGAGCGGAGTCTTTAACAAATGTATTCGTGTTTTTGTGAAAGGCAAATCCAAATGCCAAAAAAAATGTCCAGAAAGCCAAATACCACTGCCAACCAATTCGTTGACAGACTCACCTGAAAGTTGATGGGGTGAACCCGACCAAAATCAGGGAGCTTCCCCAAGACACTCCGGGACACTGCACTCAACCGCGAACACGCAAACACAGCTTTCTGTCCTGGACAACTTCTGAATCAAGGACCCCCCCCCAGGCGTGCTGAGTCAGCCGCGTCAGCCGAGTTGCGGTTCGTCACATGGCGCGTGCAGCCGCACGAAGAAGAGCACAGCTCCGGCGGCTGGTCGTGGCCTTGGGTCAATTGAGTGGACCCCTTGGTGACCTTGGATAACACATTTTTTGGTGGAATCAACCGGAAGCCAAGGGCAATCAACCATTTTGGGGGGGGTGGTTGAAGATATGAAATAAGGGACCGAATGGTGAGCTTCCCTTTGGCGTGCGTGTAGAGCGACACCCCTGCTGAACAAACTTGCCCAATGTCGAAAGTAGGGTCAGGATTCGTTGAAACACCGACCCAGCCTAGTTGCCAAACGCCAAAAACCCAGCAAACATCGAGCTGAAGGTCTTGGAATCTTGGAAGCAACAACTAGCATTCAACTGTTGAGTGGTTTGGAGCTGGCAACACGGGTACTTTCTCGTCCGGCTTCGACCAAGACAAACGCGAGGCTGAAGCCGCGTCAGGGCACAACAAAAGCTCAGCCTGGCCCTGTTGGACCTTTCCTGTTTTCGCGGGGTCTCTCTTTATTTCCAGGGGGGCACAAGGGTTCCAAACACAAATACTTGATCCAAAAGGGTGTCCAAGCACGATGAACAACCCCTGTCACCTGCCCAAAGGTCCACCTTTCCCGGTTGGGTGGATCTCCCCTGGGCTCTTCGGACCAGGCGAGTCCCCACCCCCGCCGTTCAGAGACGCCCCCGGGCTGGGCCCTCGGGCACGAACCGGGCGGCACCCGCGCCAGGAGCTGCGACCCGTTCAGCGAGCGCCACCTGGCCGGCCAGTGCTGCGCGCCGGACCTGGCCGCAGGGAAAAAGGGGCGGGTTTTGAGCCCAAAGCCAATGGCTGTGGGTCAAAACCAAGGTACCATTTTGGGGTAGGTGCACCACCCATTTTAGAACCTATTTTAGTGGGGGTTGGGATGTTCACTGGGGGTACGGGATTTTGACCCATGGCCAAAAGGGCTTGCCCCCCCCCAAAAAAAAAAAAACATAATGTGTTGCGACTGGATGCGCAGAAAACGTGGCTTTCAAGAGAACCCTTGCAGAAGTACTTAAGCTTTCGAGGAAAAGCCAGGGCTTCAAGACAAAAGCCGATGGGGTGATGGGTGTGCAGAAAAGCAAGGGTCTTGAGCAAAGTCCGAGTTTGCAACAAAATGGGTGCTCGGGAGACAACTCGATGGTGTTAGAAAACTGCAATGGGTTGCGAGAACAGACTGGGCTCCAAAAGACGGGGCGTCAACGGTTTCAAGCAAAACAGTCAAAAAAATGATCGCTCAAGGAGAAAGGATCGAAAGAACTGGGGTTTCAAGGGAACAAAAACGAACAAATGTTCAAGAAAAAACAGGTTGTCTTAAACAAAACAAAAAATGCTAGAGAAAAATCAGGGCTGTCCAAACAGCAGATTTGAAAAGAATGTGCTTCGCTGGTTCAACAAAAGTTGAGGCGTCGAGAAACAACTAGATGTTTGTTATAAACACTGCATTGGATGAACAAGTTGTCGTTTCAATACAAGCTGGGGCGAGGTGGAAGAGGAGAAGGAACCGGGACGCGGAGCGGAAACAGAACAATTATCAAAGAAGGAGGATAGTTCCTAAACCCTGCACAGTTCAAAGGGCTGAACAGAAAACCAAAAAGCAGAAGGATAATCGTGGACTCTCGCCCTGAATCCAATTGTGGCCCCTATGAGCATGATTCATGTATGGACAACTTCAGGAGGCTCCCAAAGTTCGGGAACCATGTACCGCGCGCAAAGGGTCATTCCTTTCTCCCGTTGACACAAAGACTCCACTGGCCATAGTCTTGGTATTTCTAGCTCAACAGCAATTTCCCTGAGAAGCACCCATTTCCCTCCTCACCTGCAGCCGCAAGAGTTGAAGCTGCGCATGCCCCCGCGCCAGAAGAGACGGGGCTCCTCGTAAAGGGCAGTCTTGGACTGGGACCATTAGCAAGGCATCCTCCAAATGACTCTTTTAATCGTGGCTTAGAAGGAAACCACCCCAAAAGCAAATTTGGGAAGCCCTCAAAATGTTCAATTTGGCGGATGCAGTGTTCGAAACTTTCTGGTTCCTAGCGAATGAGGGAATGACCCTATGAACAATCGAACTGGTGGCGTCCTTTAGGGGATGCCCTTCCGGTTCATTCCTAAAACCCTTGGCGATTTTCAATTGAGTAGCAGGGGAAGGCTGTGTCTAAAGGTATGGGTGCATTATATGTCTCATGTATCTCTCACATTCAACCTTGCCAATTAATGGGGAAATCAAGCAAATACCACAATCCACTCCCTTCATACGAGAGATTTGGGGTTTGGACTGTCAAAACAGGGCCAGTCCACATGTGGCCTTGCGCCTGTGCTAAGCCGTGCTCATACGAACTGGCTGAGCGACAGCGGCCAGACTTTATCTTACTATTGGCTCGCTCTGCATTGAGGGTTCCCATTGAAGAGATCCATGCGCAACTGCATGTGTTGTTCCATTTATATACACATATGTACAAGTACGAGTACTTCGCACTTCGCCTGATGCCATCACCATGGCCATTTCGAAGCCCCCAGCCCAGTGCCCCCAGCTCCACAGCCCCTCTTTCCCCCCAAGCCCTGCACTCCTTGGCAGCCCAGGGGATGGCCACCAGATCCGTGCGGATCTTATCGAGCAGCGGCCCCACGAGCCTCGGACGAACAATTCCGCCAGCATGCGAGCCCAAAGAGTGCGTGGTTGTTTCGCCCACGGCAAACTGGGGAAACCCAGTAGACCCTTCAAGTATCCTCCCAAAAACAATGAGTTTTCCTCTCGGGACTTTCTTTCAGCTTCCATATTTGTTTTTGAGAAGCTATCTTCCATGAAAGGTCCTATTTTTTATGCTCCCCGGAGGCGAGCTGGGGAACCCTGGAGGCCCTGAACATCCTGAAAACGGTCCCCCCACAAAACATCCCGAACACCTTGGGATGTTGAACAGGTCTGCCATCAAACAAGAAAATATAAGTCCCTTGTGTGCGTTTTCTTCAAACTTGTGAGCCATTTTGCACCCAACCAATCTGGGGCCATGGACAAAATTGGACAAAATCCTGGAATCGGCATCTTTGATGATCTAGCGTGGGCTGACTTCTTTCACCGCCTTCAGGGGCCTCACAGAAACTTGTGCGGTGAGAGGGTCTTCAAGGAGACTTCCTCCAGCAATGATCTCGATTGATCTTGCGAATATGCGCAGTCTATAGTCGGAAGTCCCCTTTTGGGTTGGTCATACTCGAGGAGAACCAAATCCTCTTGGAATAACCTCTGCCACAGATACTACCTAAAGCGGTACATCTCGTTAATACCAGATACATATCAATGCATGTTGGGGTGCCGTCTCTCTCTCTCTCTCTCTCGCTCTCTCTCTCTCCCCCCTGGCTGTGCGATTTTGATGTACATACATCGGGTGCATGTGTATATATGTTCCAGTCTTCCTTGGCCCCCCAACCCCCCCCCCCCACCCCCCCCACCCCAATGGTCATGCTCCGTCAAGAAGGTAGGTACAAGCCCCCCCGCCCCCCTGTAGGATGGGTGGGGGGTCCATGGTTCTCACCTGCCCCCCTGTTAGCAGGTAGCACAGTGAGAACTGTACATATATATATATATAGAGTGTACATGTATATAGACGAGTAGATAGATACCAGCCAACATATAAGTCCATCCATGTGTATTGTGTGTATAATATACATGCAAAAACAAATTTGGCGGGAGGTGGCGCAACCTTCCCGGCACCAAGAGCATCAGTTGATTCAAGGCCTGCGGACTAAAGTTGCAGGCAACATCTCCCATGTCTCTTGGGCTTCCGCACTCGTAGGACGGCACCCGCAGCAAGTTCCGGGCAAAGACGACCCGGGCCTTGGTGAGGACGGGCACTGGCATCTGCTGCTGGTCCTTAGTGCGGGCCGAAACGAAACCAGCGGAATCCCGTAGCCGAACTGACCTGAAAGAATGGCAGCCTTAGAATGAAACCAGAATCCCATCCATGACCAAACTGATGCAGGACGGCCCAGGGTTGAGACAGAATCTATCGCATCTGCAACCTACGAATTGAGGCGAGAGGCTTCGTAAGCCTTCGCACAACGAATCACACGAATGCCTCCGACTGGGGAGTTCCAGTCATCCAGTCCCATCTATCGATTCAAAGTCTGGGGTCTACTACAGCGTCAAGGCGGAAGTTGTGGGGAAATGGTCGGGGGCCTGTGCAATGCCAAAGTGCTGATCTTCTGGTTCAGTGCTCACAGAAACCAAGGCTCTGGTTTCGGCTCCTCTCCAATCTGTTGCACGTATAGTGCCCCGAGAGAAACAGCTCAGACCGTCGTGCCACTAGCGTGCCGAGATCAACGACTGGGCAGGATGTGCCCTGAAATGGGGGAGGACCCCGACAAAATGGTGGTTTTCTTGTGTTCCTTAAAGCAACCCTCAAAAGGTGGCCTTGAAAAACACACGCCCTGGTGCAGTGGGAAGCAACTGAAGAGGCAGCCGGGGCGCAAAGATGTTGGGCGAGACGAAGAAGTCCTGCATGTCTCTTTTCTTGGGGTACCTGTTTGGGTTGGTTTTTGAGGGAATTCAAAGGCAAACCACCCATTTTAGGGGGTCCCTATTTGGAGACAACCCACAAGCAAACCACGCACATCATTCTCGAATGATCATGCCTAAATCAGTTTTTGGCATACCGCACAACCCAATAGAAGTATTTGGGCCCTTACACTCGCAACGCACCTGCAAAGCTATAGGGAAATAAACCAGCCCAGGGTTGGGGGGATGGTGCAGCTTACTTCCTTTGAGATCACCCAAATGTGGATGAGCATGAATGTGCTGAATGCGGATATTCGGGCGCGGAGCTTCGCGCATCCGACCTGAACACACCCTGGATCGACAAGGAGCATCTCTGAGACGCATGCCTCCAGCGTCCATCCAGCGTCCATGGGCTTGCCCCGATGAGACCCCTGCATCCCGAGCCATTCTTAGACGTGAGCTTTGGGTGGTGACACATGGTTCTGGGAGTGCGTGTGGGAAGAGTACGTGCTCTTGCGCCAAGCCCCCACCCCACAACCTCCCCTCCCCACTGCTTGTTTGACAACAAAGGCTGACTTCCCAACTCAAACGCCCGACTTTTCAGGCCTGTGGGGAATTCTGGAGTTGAACCCGTTCCTTATATGTCCCCTTTAAGCATCACCCCATCGAAAGGAAACCCATTTCAACTTGTCTCAAAACATGTTTGAAACACGGGAAGCCAAAGTGAAGCCAGTGGGGACTTCCCTCTTCGAGACACACCCATAATGGATCTCAAAAGTTGGCTTCCCAACATTTTCCGAAAGGGGCGCTTGTTAGGCGGGAGTCCACGACCCCAAGGGCCCCGTCTCCGCTCGGGGAAAACCAAGCGCCCTTGGCCAAGCTCCTGTTGAAACATGTGTGATCTGCTCAAAAACAGCTTCTGGTGTCCCTTCGGTCGCCAGGGCCCTGGTTCCAAAACAAGCGCAAAGCCTAGGTCAAGCTTTTGGGACCTTGACAATTGCACCAAGGGAAATCCAAAGGTTTCGAAGCTCGGCTTCGGCTGCACTGCAACCGCCAGGCCATCGCTTGGCGAACCAACCGTTCGGCGGATCGGATCGGATGCCTTGGCGGGCAGCAGGTCCAGGGCCAGCAGCAAGCGCGCCGCCCGCGCCAGTGCCTGGACTGGAAAGGGAAGCGGGTGAGGTGGGTCGAAGGAAAATACACCAGGTCCTCAGGTCCTTTTTTTTGGATTAAATGCCTCCTTTGGCGCTTCTTCGGGAAGGAACACAAAGGCAGGGAGGTGGGCCAAGGTCTGAGTGCTCGGAAGTCGCCTTCACGGGATGCGTCACCCATGCTGGCCCAAGCAGCATCACTTTTTGCCCCACCTCCAACAACTAGCGAAATGGCGCACAAATCACCAATCAACCAACCAAACAAACCAAGCCAAACCAAACCAAACCAAACCAAGCAAGCAAGCCAGCCAGCCAGCCAGCCAGCCAGCCACCCACCCAACAAGCCTACAAGCCTACAAGCCAACAAGCCTCGCCTCGTACTGGCCCCAGGGCTCACCGCTGGACCGCAGCAAAGGGATCTTCTCCGTGTCGCAGGTCACCAGTTCCCCTCCGAGCCAGGCAGATAGCCAGCCCGGAGAGGATTGTACCCCACTGGCTGAGTGTACCCAAAAGAACTCCAACCACACATCTGATTGAGGACCCTGGTGGGCGTCATTTATGTCGGAGAGTCATGGTGGAGACTTCGTTTCACAAACTGCAGCTGGCATCATAGTGTCGACCCCGGATTCATCAACCAGCCTCTACAACGGGGGTCCCATCTATTCCTGGTTTCTCGCTGGTGTTGACGGTGATATCATCCTATTGGGCTACAGCCCCCCTCCTGCTACATGCAACTTAGCTTTCGGAGAGTCCAAGTACTTTAAGCACCTTAGCCGTGCCTGGGTCCAAGTACCCACAGGTGAGCCAGCCACTTGAGTTGGAGCCATGTCTGTTGCTTGACAAGGCAAAATGAAGTTGACAGTCCTCTCGAAAAACGAAAGCCAACGATTGCGGACATGAAGTTCTTGGACCCTCCGCAAAAAAATGCGACCTTTGTGTTTTCCTTGTGGGTCGAGAGCTTTTGATTGTATAGTAGCGCATACAACTCCATTTCAGCCGAAATGCCAAGCCGAATGACCAGTTGCTTTCAAAGAATGGCTGACTTAAGCTGAAGACCTGTGTTGCAGCGGCTTCAGCTGATCTTCGAGTCCTTGGGAGTCATGCAAGGGAGTCAGACGACACATCTGAAAGCAGTTGCTTGCTTATTGGTTGTTCGTCTGTTGCCTCTTCCAGCCCTTCCGCGTTTGCTCCCTTGCGCCACCTTCCCATTCCGAATCCACGCCTCCACGCACGCGGAAGCGGCAGAATACATGGCCCCAGTCTGCCTGAAGGGGGGAGGGCACTCAGGTTCCCCGGAAAAGGTGCTTGATGGATCTTGGCATGATGGCTTGTGGTTGGCCGTTGGGATCGCTGAGGCACCTTTCGCTTCAACAACAAGGGGACGTCAAGAAAAGACAGGAGCAATAAGAGCATGTCGTGTACTGTTTCTTGCAATTCAAATCCACGTGTGTGCCACACCCACTTTCACATACAAACCGTTCCCATGTCCCACCGTCCCTTCAGCTTCCGCCTCCATGGCGTCCATCTCCTCCGTGCGGAAGCGCCGGACGCTTCCGGAGCCACGGTCCACGTCCCCGCGGATCTCTTGGCGCATCCACGGGGGCGCAGGCGCCTGCGATGGGACGCTGTGGGGCGACGGCGATGGGACGACGATCTTTAAAGTGTGGCTTCGCATCTTCGGTTGGCACCCTTCCTCCGTCGAAAATAGGGAAAAAAAAAGTGCAAGAGGTTGGTCAATCTGGGCGCTTTCCCTACGTGACAGTGATGTTTTGTGGGACAATGCTGACATTGCTGCACAGGTCATTGTTCAACCCTTGCCATGGGTTCGACTTGACCGCGACTGGCAAGCCAGTCAACGTTTCAGTGGGGGAGCCTTTAACGGAGATCCCTGGTAGTGGTCGTCCAGCGGATGGAGATCTCGTAGCGTTGGGGCGGGGCATCCCGAATTGCCCGGGCTCACTGCAAAAGACCCCCAGTTGCTACCCGTTGTGCATCGACATGTATCAAAAACCGAGACAACGACGTCTCAGTGCCTCAAATCTGCCCAACCTCTAAACACCACCCCGGGGCACAACTCACTTTCAATCGGCAACCGATCAGCTCACTGTCAATGGGTAAGCAGGAGATGCTTAAAACCAGAGGAATCAGCCAGCAGCCAGGCAGGCAAAGGAAAACTGTGACCCACACCTCCTCAACCAAAAACCGCAACCAAATAAGGAAAGAAAAGCTTGAAACCAAAGGAGTCCATCGACCGATTCGAACCGTCGGCCTTCACCAGCTGTCGGAGCCTCGTGAAGTGGCACCCAAAGCCTTCTCCGGGCTTTGCTTCTCGCAAGGGACACCTCCAGTTGGTTTCCTTTGGGTGTCCCATAGAAGCCATCCCAGATGGGGACCCCCCAGGTTGAGAAACATGTGATCAATGCCCCTGACATGACAGACTTGTGATCAAAAGATACATGTCTGTGTGGGTGTGCCGCCGTGAATCGTTTCTAGCATCATCACTTTAGTCAGGGGCAAAGTCGCCTGCAGATTGACATGGAACCCAAATGGTCTCATTTCTGCCCGGATCTCCTTTGGAGGTCTCCCGTTTTTGGCGATGTAGTCACAACTCCGGGGACCCAAGACTTGTTCTCCTTTTGATCTCGCTGTGAACCCGCCTCAAAAAGGGAAGCGCCCTTTTTGAGCAACCCACGCTACCAGTGTCTTCACCCAACTCGCTGGGCGCTGCGACCCTTGGAAGCAGCAGCGGGCGTAGCGCCCAAAGTCCCCCGCAGACCAGCAAAGTCTCGGTGAGCGCAAACTGTCGGTGGGTGCGGGTGAATCGGGGAGCCGCCTCATGGACGATGTGGAGGTATCAAGAAAAGAAACACCGAACATGCTGAAAAACACGTCTTTTTCAGGAAGCAGCCTCATGTCCATGGTCATGATTCCCGAACCAAGACTAAGGACTGTGGGTGTGGAAAGAAAAGGGATGAACAGTGCGGAATTTGAACCACTGAACATTCACAAAGCAGTGCGGTTGGGCTTGGCACTTTCTTTTGGAGTGGGACGACTGGCTGGACAAACAACCAGAAGGAAGATTCAGTGCACCCTTGTTACCTGCCTGTGTAGACACCCATCGCCAATGCTTTCCTAAATGTTTGCTCGTGTCACTCAAGGCAACCTGCTCTCCCATCAGTTTCCTTATGAATGCACACACTGACAGCCTTTGACATCTGGAGTATCCGAACCAGCTAGACCCTTTCTGGTTGGGCCCGTGACTTTGAAACAACCAGTGCAAGAGGAGTCAGGGTTTCATCACATTTCCAGATGATGTATATATTGGGGGCCCTCACCACCTTTGGATGTGCACTCAGGGTTGCCTTCTGACCAGCTTATTTGGAGACAACAAAGAAACCAAAAACAAACATGTGGGGGTCCAAGCACTTTTAAGGGCTCCCTTTGCTTTCAACCCAAAGGGGTGTCCAAGGCAAAACCTATTCACATCCTCACGTCATGCTCACTCGAAACTTGGTGGCCCTGCCCGTTGTCGTTGGCGCCGCTGCCTGGGGCGTTTGGCAGCCCTGCCCGCTTGGCAGGCCACTGGCGACAGAAAGGCCCTGTCTTTGCTCTGGTCTCAAAACGGAGAAACCCCACGAAATGGATGGCGTCCCTTTGACGAAAACCCGCAAGGTGAGTTTATGGAACTGGGCCAAACGGATCCGACACCCAAAAGCCAGGTCTGGCTGCGAAACCGGCACTTTTTCGGGGGGAACCCCTTTTGATCGATTCTCTAGAGAAACCAAAAGGACGCCAACCATGTTGGTTCCCTAATTTTGACACAAACCCAAAAAGAACACAACTCTTCACCGCTGAAAACCGACCGCCGGCACCGTAGCCTCCCCACCTGTGCCGTCGCCCGACCAGCCCATGCCGCAGCAAAGCTTCCGCACCAGCTCCTCCTGGCGAATTGCCCGTACCCCCAGATACGGCTGTGGGTCAAAACCCTGTACCCCTGGTAGAGCATCAAAATAGATGGCAAATAAATGGATGTTCATGCACTCCAAAATGGAGCCATAGGTCATGCCCCATGGCCATATTGGGCAAAAAGGGGACATGTACTTTTTGGCAGGTGTTAGAGTGTAACCCCTCCATCACCTGTCTAGTCAGGCAGAGGCCCCACAAAGTTGGCCATGTCATGCGTGTGTGTGTGTGTGGGTTCACCCTGTGGTCCCGTCCCATCACTTTTCAACGACGTTGGTGTTTCATTGAGTCTGGATCTGCACTCAATTTCTAAACTCCTCCGCTGCATAGTGCTTCGGTGTTAAGCACAACTTTGCTCTGGACATCAAAAATCATCCCTTTGGTATGCGTCGCAATAGCTTCTTTGGGAAGCGTGGTTCTCGCTTATGGAGTGGGGATGGAGTGAGGCCCCCGATGAATCGAATGGAATCCCTGTGAGCTTCCCTCATGGTGCAGTCGTGGACCGTTGGCTTTCCAAGAAATGGCCTGACTGCGTATCAGTATGCTCATTGGAGACTTGCTGGAATGGACTTTGCAATGCCCCTTGCCTTGTCTGGATAAAATTCTCAGGGGATGATCGCAGCAACAAAAAAAAATGGAGGCCTTTGCTTGCCTCTCCTGGTGTTCTGTGATTCATGAGCAAATTGGCTATTCGCAAGCCGGAAAGCAGCAATCCAAGTAGGGGCATCCCAACGAACTCATCCTATCCCGGTCGCAGAGCTCGATTCAAGTCGTGCAGAATTCAAACTATCTTCTTGAGAGGAACCTCCTTTTGGCGATGTGCAACCCATCTTCAGAGGGCGTGAGTCCAATCTGGCCAGGCTAGCGCTGTCCACCACAGACTCCATCTTCCAGAGGCCTTGCAAAAAGCTTCTGAAAAGCTGCTGGCAGGCGCGAAAGGGAAGAAATGTCCAATATGTCCACTTCAAAAGAGGGGCCTCCTTGTTTCAGAGTTTGCCATCCACTTGAAAACCAAGCAAGAAACGGCTGAGTTTTGCTCTGAGACACTGCCAACTAAGGACTCCTGCTCCGAATCTTCGACGTTCAGGGCATGCAACTGATTCGACTTGTTGGGCTGCTGGGTCTCTCCCAGAGCGCGGCTGCCCTGAATTCCTAGTCTTGCAATTCTGCATGCGACAATTTGGGACCAAGCATCCTATATAACTGGAGAGCTGGACATGTGAAAACCTTCTGCAAAGCTCATCGTGACCTTTCAGAAGTGACTAGCCGCAGTTTTGTTTCCGCACATGTCCGATCCCCTGTTAGTTTCCTTAAGATGGCCTATTTAGATCACGGCTAAGTGACCAGGAGGCTTCATCACTCTGGTTCAAAGCCATGAAATGGCAAGGTGTTCCCCTGGCTCGCAAACATCGCGGACTGAGGTACCCCGAAAAATTATGGTACTGCGGGTCCACGCAAGGTGAAGCCCAAGCTCGCCTTTCACCCCTGCTCGCTTGGCAAGTCCCTCACCCACTTTGGCCCCCGAGCGCTCCGACTCCACATCGCGGGCCTGCCATCCCGAAGCTGCCATCCCGATGCATTCCTTCCCCGCAACGCCCTCAGCAGGATCTACACTTCTCAGCAAATGGAAATGAAGATACCACTTGTCAACTGGATCGAAGGCGGTGGTTATTTTGGATGACACTGCTTCTTGGAACCCGCGTGCCTACCGTCGATTTCTTGCAGAGGGGTTGGAGGGTCGGGGTGGGGAATCCAAACGCGTCCGTCAAAGCCACGGCCCAAGTGGCCAAGAAGACGTCATGACTGTTGTGTACTGTTTCGCATGGCCCTGCATCGCAGTTTGTTAAGATTGCGTGCCACCACGTACATTGGCCGCAAAAGTATAAACATGTATACAGTCTGTAAGCGTTGTTGTGCTTGAGAGTGCTCCGCACCATGCAAGCTCAGAAAATGCCACGCAGGCCATTCAACACTCCCGGGCCCCAAAAAGCCGTCTCATCTCGTTTCACGCCTGCTTGGGTCCACCTTAAGTATGCTGCTTAAAATCATGAAATTGATGTTGTTGTGGTCGCAGTAGAACTCACTCGTGGCAGCAAAAGGAATAACCTGCCAGAATCACAGCATGCTTGGCTTGTTGTCTAGAAGAGGCTGACTATGTGGGGATACTCGAAATTGCATCCGTCAAACTCATCGAGCCCAGTGCGGCACGGATCTGGCTGCGTTTTGACCCGAGTGACCGGCCCACGCCCACAAGTCTATCGTCCTTGGATGCCCTCCGTTTGGCTGCACACGCTGTTCGTGGCGAAGGGAACATCCAAAACCCGACCAAGCACTGCGTTGCCTTAAAAAGTGGTCACACACCGGCTTTACAAAGAAATACAAAGAATTATAAAGATAACAAGTCATCACTTGGCCAGCTTGCTCTCCTTCTAGACCGCCCCGTGCTGTGCGTCTTCGACGCGAGCGCACTGAAAAATAAAAGAGCGGTGCATCAGGAGGATGTTCGTTTCACTATTTCGCCATGCGCAGGAGGGGGGGCGGTTGCGTCCACCACTATCCCAGCCGTGGATGTCAGCACTTGCACCTTCCACGTTCATTCTTTGTGGAGCAAAATGTTCTGTGGGATGATCATCCTTTGTGCTGGTACATGTTCCGTACTTCAATATGATGCTCAAGTGCTTGTTCTCTTCATTGGCTCCGAGCATTTGTACTGCAACTCCACACGGTACGAGTCAAAATAGGGGAACCCCAAAATTGTGGCTTTCCTTTTAACTTCCCTTTCAAGCAAGCTGATTGGATTGCCTTCAAACCAAGCTGACAAGGGTAGCCTCAATAAACCTGGTTCCCATGACTGGCTCAAGAAAGCACCGCCCCTTCCCTCGCGCGGCATTCGGGCGCTGCGCCCGCCCGCATCGCGGGTGGCGATTCAAATCCCCGCGGATTCGCAGCGATCAGTCTGCATGGTACCCGTCAGGCCTCGCAGGGTCTAGAGAAACAGAACCAACGAAAATGTAAAGCCCAAGCTAAGGGGAGAAACTCCTGGCAGCCCGAACATCGACCTGTTCGACACGGCTGGATGGCTGTAGCCAACCCAAGAGACTTGAAATCGAAACATTCCGTGGCCAACAAAGTCCCCAGTAAGGAAACATCAACTTCTTCGGCTCATGTGGAAGCAAATCATGACCGGCCAAGATTTCAAAAAGCACACCATGCAATCTTCGGGGTCTTCAGGCCTTGAAGCATTGAACTGTTCGTTGCACCGTTGCAACACTTCTGCTGCTAGTCAGCTGCTGTCTGTCACTGAAAAGCCTGCCCCAGGCACCTCAGAGGCCTTGCAGGCAGTCAAAACACCAGTGATGTATTTGCCGAACAGACGACTGCATGCATCTTTTATAACCCATGTCCTATCAATTGGATCAAGCGCGCGGACATCAAGAAACAAGGGATGGATGTCCAGCCGCCAACCTCTTCAAGCATGTTGAAACTCCAGATTCTTGAGCAAATCTCCTTTGGGTTGCCCTTTGAATGGGCCCAGGGTCTGGTTGCTTCACATTTTGCCCAACCCTACCCTCCACGCTTGCTCTGGACGAAAGGCACCGGCACCGCCTGCGGACTTACCACAGCCAATTAAACATGAATCCGCCGACCCCTTCTCCTCAAAGGGGAGGCGCACGGGAAGGGTGGTTGCAGTACAAGCGCATGGATTAATCTTTGAGGCAAGCATATGACTACTGGCATCATACGGATGCCCATCATCATCATCATCATCGATATGATCCTTCATCATTCTTATCGTCAACATCATCATCATCATTTCTATATCCTTCAACATCATCATCTCTTATTAGCCAGCACTGGTGATGCCGAGGATGTCATCATCATCTCTTATTAGGCAGCACTGGTGATGCAAAGGGTGTTATGATGATAGTTGTCATCATAATCATCATTTGTGATGTCATCGCTCTTCTCATCATCATCATGATGATCATCATCATCTCATTCTTATTCTTATTCTTATATGCATTTCAAAAGTAACGTTAGGCCCCATTGGCAATGCAGAGGATGATGCTACGATGATAGTTATCATCACAGTCCTCATCCTTATCATCACTATCATCATGGTCATCATCATCTCTTGTTAGCCGGCACTGATGATGCCGAGGATGCTACGATGATAGTTATCATCACAGTCCTCATCCTTTATCATCACGGTCATCACCATCTCTTATTAGGCAGCACTGGTGATGCAAAGGGTGCTACGACGATAGTTATCATCATAATCATCATCATGATCATCCTTATTATGATGTCATCGCACTTCTCATCATCATCATGATGATCATCATCATCTCATTCTTGTTCTTATTCTTATATGCATTTCAAAAGTAACGTTAGACCCCATTGGCAATGCAGAGGATGCTACGACGATACTTATCATCACAGTCTCGCCCATCGTCATCATCACCGTTATCATCATCGATGATAACCATCATCGTGCATCCTCTGCATCACCAACAGTCATGATGATAACGATGACTACGCACCCTCTGCATCTCCAATCTCATCATCATGATAATCATGTCCACGCATCTTTTGCATCAACAATGGGCTCTGTGGCGCTGATGATGATGATGGTGATGATGATAATGATATGAAGAAAAGATCCTGCAGAGGCTGCGTAGTCATCGTTATCATCATGACTGTTGGTGATGCAGAGGATGCACGATGATGGTTATCATCAATGAGGATGCACGATGATGGTTATCATCGATGATGATAACGGTGATGACGAGATTGGAGATGCAGAGGGTGCGTAGTCATCATTATCATCATGACTGTTGGTGCTGCAGAGGATGCACGATGATGGTTATCATCGATGATGAGAACGGTGATGATGACGATGATGGGCGACGGCTGTGATGATAATCCTTATCTTTTTCATATACGATTCAAAACTGCCGTTAGAGCCGATTGGAGATGCAGAGGATGCGTAGTCATCATTATCATCATGACTGTTGGTGATGCAGAGGATGCACGATGATGGTTATCATCGATGATGAAAACGGTGATGATGAGATTGGAGATGCAGAGGGCGCGTAGTCATCATTATCATCATGACTATTGGTGATGCAGAGGATGCACGATGATGGCTATCATCGATGATGATAACGGTGATGATGACGGCTATGATGACGATCCGATTCAAAAGTGCCGTTAGAGCCGATTGGAGATGCAGAGGATGCGTAGTCAGAGAATCAAGAATGCGCCCATCCAACTGAAGGGGACTGGGCGGCAGCCCTTAAATAAGAATAAGAATAAGAATGAGATGATGATGATCATCATGATGGTGATGAGAACAGCGATGACATCATAATAAGGATGATCATGATGATGATTATGATGATAACTATCATCATAACACCCTTTGCATCACCAGTGCTGCCCAATAAGAGATGATGATGACATCCTCGGCATCACCAGTGCCGGCTAATAAGAGATGATGATGGATCGTCATCATGGCCGTCGCCCATCATGGTCATCATCACCCTTATCATCGTGCATCCTCAACCAACAGCCATGATGATAATGATGACTACGCATCCTCTGCATCTCCAATCGGCTCTAATCATGGCCGTCGCCCATCATCGTCATCATCACCGTTATCATCATCGATGATATCCATCATCGTGCATCCTCTGCATCACCAACAGTCATGATGATAACGATGACTACGCACCCTCTGCATCTCCAATCTCATCATCATGATAATCATGTCCACGCATCTTTTGCATCACCAATGGGCTCTAACGCCACACTTGAAATGTATACTATACAAAGACATGGTGACGACTACGTATCAGCATCACCAGCAGTCCTCATGATAATCATGTCCACGCATGATGATGATGATGATGGTGGTGCTGATGATGATGATGATGATGATAATGATAATGGTATGAAAAAGATTGCAGATGATGATGATGATGATAACTATCATCGTAGCATCCTCTGCATCTCCAATGGTGATGATAACTATCATCGTGGCAACGCATCCGCAGCACCCTTCCCGTGCGCCTCCCCCTTTCAGGAGCAGGGGTCGGCGGATATGCATTTCAAAAGTAACGTTAGACCCCATTGGCAATGCAGAGGATGCTACGATGATAGTTATCATCACAGTCCTCATCCTTATCATCACTATCATCATGGTCATCATCATCTCTTGTTAGCCGGCACTGATGATGCCGAGGATGCTACGATGATATATATATCATCACAGCCCTCATCTTTGTATATAGAAGAAAGATAGAAGAAAGAGATGATGATAATGATGACAATCATGATGACAATGATGAAGGCGATGACTATGATGACAATCATCATGAAGATGATAAGGATGATGACTCTTATGATAACTATCATCGTAACATCCTCTGCATTACCAAAGCTGTGGATGACTGTCATGATAACTATCATCGTAGCATCCTCTGCATTACCAAGGATGCCTAACGCCACAATTGAAATGTATATAGAAGTATAGAAGAAAGATAGAAGAAGAGATGATGTGACAATTGATGATGACAATGATGATGACGATGATGAAGGCGATGACTATGATGACAATCATCATGAAGATGATAAGGATGATGACTCTTATGATAACTATCATCGTAGCATCCTCTGCGTTACCAAAGCTGCGGATGACTGTCATGATAACTATCATCGTAGCATTCTCTGCATTACCAAGGGTGCCTAACGCCACATTTGAAATGTATATAGAAGAAAGATAGAAGAAAGAGATGATGATGATGATCATGATGATCATGATGCCAATGATGAAGGCGATGACTATGATGACAATCATCATGAAGATGATAAGGATGATGACTCTTATGATAACTATCATCGTAGCATCTTCTGCATCACCAAAGGTTCCTAACACCACATTTGAAATATGAAGTTATTTTTTTATTAATATTTGTTTACTCAGGCTGGTTAAAAGTGTGTGTTTGTCATCAGAGTTTTATATGATTTCATTGAGGGATTTGCTCAAGCTGGAGCCAAGAGATGTCATGCCTAACGCCACGATTGAAATGTATATAGAAGAAAGATAGAAGAAACAGATGATGATGATGATGATGACACTCATGATGCCAATGATGAAGGCGATGACTATGATGACAATCATCATGAAGATGATAAGGATGATGACTCTTATGATAACTATCATCGCAACATCCTCTGCATTACCAAAGCTGTGGATGACTGTCATGATAACTATCATCGTAGCATCCTCTGCATTACCAAGGATGCCTAACGCCACAATTGAAATGTATATAGAAGTATAGAAGGAAGATAGAAGAAGAGATGATGTGACAATTGATGATGACAATGATGATGACGATGATGAAGGCGATGACTATGATGACAATCATCATGAAGATGATAAGGATGATGACTCTTATGATAACTATCATCGTAGCATCCTCTGCATTACCAAAGCTGCGGATGACTGTCATAATAACTATCATCGTAGCATCCTCTGCATTACCAAGGATGCCTAACGCCACAACTGAAATGTATATAGAAGTATAGAAGAAAGATAGAAGAATAGAAGGAAGAGATGATGATGATGATGATGATGATGATGATGATGATGATGACAAGCATGATGACGATGATGACGGCGATGACTATGATGACAATCATCATGAAGATGATAAGGATGATGACTCTTATGACAACTTTCATCGTAGCATCCTCTGCATTGCGAAAGCTGCGGATGACTGTCATGATAACTATCATCGTAGCATCCTCTGCATTACCAAGGATGCATTTCAAATGTATATAAGAGGAAAGATAGAAGAAAATCATGATGACGATGATGAAGGCGATAACTAGGATGACAATCATCATGAAGATCATAAGGATGATGACTCTTATGATAACTATCATCGTAGCATCCTCTGCATTACCAAAGCTGCGGATGACTGTCATGATAACTATCATCGTAGCATCCTCTGCATTACCAAGGATGCCTAATACCGCATTTGAAATGATAGAAGAATATCATGATGACGATGATGAAGGCGATGACTATGATGACAATCATCATGAAGATGATGACTCTTCTGATAACTATCATCGTAGCATTTTTTGCATTACCAAAGCTGCGGATGACTATCATGATCACTATCATCATAGCATCCTCTGCATTACCAAGGGTGCCTAGCGATGATCATGACTACGCATCATTATCGAAACGGCACCTCGCCTCAGATGCCATTTGTGTCATTGAGATTTGGAGTCCTGCCTTGATGATAATCATCACTACGCATCATTCGCAGCATCTCTGGCAATCATGAGGATAAGCATCACTACGCATCCCCAGCATCTCCACCACCGATGATCATAATCATGACTACGCATCACTGTCGAAACGGCACCTCGCCTCAGATGCCATTTGGGTCAAAAAGAAACCAAAGAAACCAAAACCAACAACTAAATCCAGGGGTCGGCGGCACCGGACGTGATCGGGCCGCAGGCCTAAGCCCGTTAGGGCTTACCTTCAGGTATAAGGCCGCGCGCCCCATGCCGCCGACCATGCGCAGAACATGCGCAGAACATGCGCAGAACATGCGCAGAACATGCGCATACGTTTTATGCTGGGCCCTCCCTTATAAGGGGCGAAGGATTTGCGGATTGGTTTAGGCGATTTCCGAGGATTTTTGTAGCATCTCCCCACAGCGTCCAAAATCGAGTCCAAAAACGAGTATTTTTAGGGGGTGCCTAATACCGGACTGCACCCCCAGCATTGCCAGCATCATCCCGGCTGATGCGGATGATGCTATGCATGCTGGCGATGCGAAACAAGGGGCTGAAGGGGAAATACAAGGAAACAGGAGTGACTGAAAGTGAACGAAATGAAAGTCAAAGGAATTGCAGGAAAATCAAGAGGGCACTGGAGAGAAACCGAGATGCAGGAAAATGCAAGGGCAGAACGTGAAGAGATCCGGACAGCGGGAACGAAAAGGGAAAGGAATGCGAATAAAGGAGTCTTCAAGGAAATGAAGGGAGCTGAAACGGCAGTGAAGTGGAAGGACGCGAAGGGACATGCCAGGAAGGGAAGACATGCAAAGGAAGTAAAGTTCAAATCATCCCGAGAACTAACAGGATTTAGAGGGAAAGGAAATGAAAGAACGGGGAAGGGGTGCCCGGTGGCCGGCTGTGTCGCGTCAGCGTGTGAATCCGGCCACCGGACGTGATCGGGCCGCAGGCCAAGCCCGGTAGGGCTTACCTTCAGGTATAAGGCCGCGCGCCCCATGCCGCCGACCATGCGCAGAACATGCGCATACGTTTTGCGCTGGGCCCGCCCTTATAAGGGGCGAAGGATTCGCGGATTGGTTTAGGCGATTTTTGTAGCATCCCCCGCAGCATCCAAAAACGAGTCCAAAAACGAGTATTTTTAGGGGGTGCCTAATACTGGACAGCATCATCCCGGATGATGCAGATGATGCTATGCATGCTGGCGATGCGAAACAAGGGGCTGAAGGGGAAATACAAGGAAACAGGAGTGACTGAAAGTGAACGAAATGAAAGTCAAAGGAATTGCACGAAAATGAAGAGGGCACTGGAGAGAAACCAAGATGCAGGAAAATGCAAGGGCAGAACGTGAAGGGAACCGGACAGCGGAAACGAAAAGGGAAAGGAATGCGAATAAAGGAGTCTTCAAGGAAATGAAGGGAGCTGAAACGGCAGTGAAGTGGAAGGAAGTGAAGGGACATGCCAGGAAACTGTCAGGGAAGACATGCAAAGGAAGTGAAGTTCAAATCATCCCGAAAACTAACAGGACTTGGAGGGAAAGGAAATCAAAGAACGGGAAGGGGTGCCCGGTGGCCGGCTGTGTCGCGTCAGCGTAAATAAATCATTGGAATGGGTTTGTGGGGGTAAATACATTCAAACATGCACGACAAGACCAATGCTGACAATCATTTCGTCGCTCATATCAAAAACACAACAATCAAACTCGGACCAACGCACACCCATACAAACATCAAACCCTGCTGACCCATCCGGTCCCTCCCAGTTCCTCCGAAAGCTGGGCGCCGTGCGTGTTGCCCCTGCCGCCCTGCATTGCGCTCCAGATGGGTGGCTCCCAATGGGTGCCCTCCCTTTGGCATTTCTATAAGCCGACCTGAACCTGAAAGGGGTTCTCTCAAAAAATAACACACACCCAAATGGGGGAATGCTTGGATGGTTCTCATTGGCTTAAAACTAAAAAAACAAAAGAAATAGAGATACACTCCCAAATGATAAACAAAAGGCAAACATGGCGAGACGCCGCAAAAGATAAAGAGCCAGTAAAAGCTAAGCAGCCAGAGGAAACAAAAACCGGGAAGCCGGCTTTGCCTCAAGCCAGGAAGCAAAGGCTAGCTGGGAAGCCAAAAGACGCAGAGAGAAAGGAACCCAAAAGAAAGGACACGGCTAGACACTAAAAACAAACACAATAAAACGGGCAAACCAAATATGCCATTCCGCACGTCACTCACTGATCTGTCAAACTTGGATGCGCAAACAGGGCCCCAAAGCGTATGAGGCCAACAAGCTCCATTTCCTTCCTGCAAACCTGAAACATGATGGCAAAGGCTTGATTCCAAGCAAGGCAAGGCTTGGCAGAAAACATGAACCCTTGTCAGGTATCACCATGTTGCCGTCAATTGCGGTGGCGGGACGCGTTGGTCGCTTTGAAGGGTAGTAGCAGTTGGCAGTCGCAAGCATCCCTCCTTGCGAGTCCCTTCAAATTGCGCTGCGGCAATGAGCGACACAAACGACGCGACATTGACCCACCAGCCAGGCATCCAGCCTATCAACGAGAGAGAAGATGCAAGGCCATAGCACGGCAAAGGACTAAAATTTGGTAGCAACAAGAAGATTATGATTCAATCTAAGTCACACCACTTCAGCCTGCAAAACAAAAGAAAGCACGAAACCTGCTAAAACGATAGCAGGGACCTAATACAGTTAATTAGAGTCACTATGAGGCGGCTCTGAATCCCTGAAGACCCCGCACAAAAACGGGTTGTGCCGATAGTCACCTTTTAGTTGGGGCAGGACGAGCAGGATTGCCCAGGCAATCCGGAAGGTCCTATTATTGTTCAATCAGTGCAAAAGGGCAACATACTCGCTGGAACCCCCCTTCCCTGCAAACACACACACACACAGACCTTCTCACTTGGTAGGTACTCTATCCCATGGACTTCATCCATCCCTGAGGCCTGGTCCAAGTCGGTGAGCTCCGGCGACCCGCACCGCGCCCCACTTGGCCCGGACCTGAGGGGCAAGCCTTTGAATGGCCATGCTCGGGCCGTCCTCCGGCAAGCCGAGGCGTGTTCTTGGTGGGGGAGTCTGAGGTGTGTCAAGTGAGTCCCCTGCGTCCCCAAAAATTGAGAAGTCGATCATGCTCAAATCTGAATGTTTGACCGAGCTTCACGACCCCTTGCAGAGCCCCACCATTGCGGTGGATGCCCTCAGGGGCAATCCTATCATTTGCCGCACTTTGAGCAGGGTTTTGTCACTAGTTCATTTCATGCTTGATTGATTCACTTGGATTTGGGTATGCGTCGAAGTAGTGGGCCCTACAAATGGAGGTGTTCCTTGTGGTTTTCCTTTAAACCAACCTCAAAGGGTACCCTCAAAAACCCACACCCAGCTGTTTGGGAACCTCCCACCCTCGCTTGAGCGCCCAGCGCCGCCGTCTCGTTTCGGGGCCGCGCGCAGCAGCGCTGGTACCTCCAGTGAGGATGCGTCCCATTTTCGCGGGATGCCCTTTTTCAGGGCTCAAAGGACACCAAAGCCCATTTTCTGGATCAGGCTTCAATAAAACAGATACTCAATCTCGGGGGAGATGTGGCTACGGCGTCGCATGAACACGTCACTCCAAGGCTCCAAAGCTGTCCCTCACGACTCCTGTTTCCCCAGACCAAGCAAACCCAGCTCATTTCTGTCTTACTGCTAAAATCAAAGGTAGTGCAGCAAAGCTACACCTTGGCTGCAACACACCTTCTTGGCCTGTTCAAGGCATCTTGTGAGTGGCCCTCACCTCGTTGCTTGCATTTCGGCCTTTGTTGCTGGTGAGGGGTATGAATCAGTTGCTACTGCTAGAGATGGTGAAGTACAAAGCCCAAAGAGTCAATGACTGAGGTATCAAGTCTCATTACTAAAATTATTAACTGCAGGCTTCTTGGGAGTCGGCAGAGTCAATGCAAGTTGACAAGTGAGGTGATGAAGGTGCATCTCAGCAAACGCAAGAAAGATCGCAATCACATGTTGGGCATGGATGCCAAGGCATCATTATCTCGCTGGATTCCCAAGGCCTGTACAAGCAAGCAAGAAATCAAGCAAGCACGCAAGCAAGCATGCGGGCGGATGGGCGGGCAGGCAGGCAGGCAGGCAGGCAGGCAGGCAGGCAGGCAGGCAGGCAGGCAGGCAGGCAGGCAGCCAAGCGAGCCAAACAAAGCCAACAAAACCAAACAGCAAAACAAAACAATACGACCAGACAAACCAAGCCGAGCCAAAGCCACAAACAAACAAGCCAAAAACAAACCAACCAACCAAAAACAGAACCAAGCAACCAAAAACAGAACCAAGCAACACCAACAAACCAAACTACATCACCAAGCAAACCCAACAATTCCCTCCGTGCCGTTGCCGCCGGCGCACAGAGACCCGGCGTTGGGCCCGCAGAGCACCAGCACCGCCGGGAGCACCTCGAAACCCGTGCTGCTTCTCGGGTTGTTACGTGGGAATCGTCGGAAGCGGTGCTGGCTTCTGAACGGTGCGAAATGGGTGTGGGTCACAAATAGGTACACAAAACGGAACCCTGGTAAATGGAACCAACAACTACCTGCGGTACCTGGTGGTTTGATTTTGACCCATTGGGTCCATCCAGAGGCAGCTGGGGACTCGAGGTTTCATCCCATTGTAGGGAACCTCACAAGTGGCGGACATCAAGCTCCCTTGATTGACGGACCGAGTCTGAGTCAGAGGGCCTCGCTATTCCTGTTGAGCATCCCGCAAGAAAATGTGCGAGAAATGCTCCAGCCCATGATTTTGGTCACTGTATTCTGCAAAACAAACACCGTGGTACCATGTGTTTCTTGAGGTCAGTTCAAAGGGAAGCCAAAAGGGAAGCCACTATTTTGGTGGCTCTCTTTTGACACAAGCTGGCTACATGGTGCTCCTAGCATCTCCGCTGCCTGCAACCCACTTGGCGCCCGGCCACCAGCGACGCCAGGCAGGAGAGGAGACTCACCGCGATGACCACCTAGCTTCGGTTTGTTTTCGCGGCGCGCCTGGGGATCCGCTGCCTTGCCCCTGGCGACGCTTTTGGAGTGCGGGATAGCTTTGCCGGTGGATGGAATTATTCTTCTCCCTGGACTTTACCATCGCTGGCTTGGTAAGGCGCTGTGGGGTTGACTTGCGCTGGACTGGTCTCATTCAGCCCGGAGCCGTTGAGAGAAAGGGAAACCCAGAGACGCGGGTGGTCCAAGGGGTGGCCCTCGGCGTCCGGGCAGAGCCCAGCTTCGTGAAGACCTGCATGGTGGCGATCAGCAGAAAGGCGCTGGCGCCTTGGCCAAGCGAAACGCCGCTTTCGCGTTCCAACTTTTTCAGGAAACACCGGGGGCTCGCTCTTTTTGCTCGAAGGTACCCCTTTCTGGAAGGCAAAGACAAATCACTATATATATATATATATATGTACATGTTTGGGGGGATTCAGGATTCACTATTTGCAGACAAATCAAGATGTACAGTACCCACCTAATTCCAGCCAGTTACAACTAACCACCCAGAAAAATTCTGCAGAGTGCCTCCCGCCAGACTGCTGTCCTCTTGAAAAAAGTGCTGTGGACTTCCATGTACTCCGAGGACAAATCTCAAAAAACGAATCCGATCAAGGGACACTGGCATGCCAAGTAAAGAGCATGCCCAGACCTGAGAATTCATTCCATCGATGTTCACCGGGCAATACATGCGATGGTTGACCCGCGGACACGAGCTCTCGACCGACTTTGGGCGGGGCGGGGGCCGGCCCGGGGCCCCGGGCCCACCGTGGACAGCGTGGAGCTGAGGGTGGAGAGCCCGATCCGCAGCACCGCCTGCCGCACCCGCACCTCGGGCGAGCGAGCGTCCGAGGGGGGCGGACGTCTTCCTCCTCAGCTGTGCCAGGTGGGCGTGGGTGCTTTTCAGGGTGCTCGTTGTTGTTTGTTGGATTACAAGGAAACCAACAGGGAAGAAACAAAACATATTTGTTGGGTTCCCTTACTTTATTTGCCCTTCAGCATCACCGCGCCAAAAGAAAATTCACTTCAAACCGGCAACCAAAAAGTGACGTTCAGAGACACCAAAAGGGGAATTATACAGTAGGGAGGACGTGCTTCCTCGTTTCGTTTCGGGGCGCGTTCCTTCGGCCAAAAAAGGAGGAGAACATCAGATGGAGCAGACTGGGGGGGGAGCAATTCAGCCAGCTTTTCTGGAGAAGTGGAGCAGGTACAGAGTTGCACCTCCATACCCCTCCCCCTTTTGAGGATCACAATACCCATACGGAACTGGCTGACTTGCCCAGACCCCAGACCCACAGGAGCGTGAACAGACAGCATGTGAGGGATGCATCAAGATGAGTTTCCACAATAGAACCCGGACCCCGATCCAGGGCCCTCAAAACGATCTTCGCTGCCCCAGAAGCGATCAGCAGTGAAAGCCAAAGGACGGCCTGTAGGAATCAAGTCGCTGCAAAGAATTAGAAAGTACCAGAAGAAGCCAGCAAGGCCGGTCGTGTTGGCCGTGTCAATCTGAAGCATCAGGTAACTTGATGTGCTTCGGAAAGAGGTCACTGCCTATTTGGCATCAAAGCACACAGCCACAATGAACCTCTCTTCTCTCAGCGGCTAGGCCAACGCGTAGGTGGGTGGATTTCTTGTACGAGTAACTAGGTTTCATTTGGAACACCGTCCAAAAGAAGGGCCCGAATTCTGAACCAATGGAGAACTTCGATATGGACGGCTTTAAGCCAAAACCAAGATGAAGCCGCCCATCCTTGTAAAAAATATTGACACATAATGTTGGCCAAGGATTACCAACCTCTCGGATGAATCTGGGGGGGTGTTCAAAAGTAAAGGATCCGATTGCCCGCATGAAGCAGGTGTTAAGACTGCAGCACAGCGGTGTTCCCGCGAAAAGTGATCCAGAATCCCTCTAAACTGCAGCAAGCCCCAATCAAAATCAACCAGCAGTTCATCGATCTCGCACACAAAAACACACAATGGGCTAGCCATCAAAACACAACCCAGTTCCCAACTCGGCATCCGAATCGACTTGGGGCCGGGCAATGCGGAGCTGCTGGTTGTCCAGCTCCATGAAGCTCGGCGCCTGGGCTCTTTTCGGAGGAACCCATCTAATGCAGAGCACGCGTCTCCGGTTCGTTTGCCGCTTTGTGTTATCTCTTCTTTTTTTGGGGGTGGGGAGGCTTAAAGGGAGATGAAAGGGAAAACCAAACTCCATTTGGGGGGTTCGAATCCCCCATTAGGTCGTCTTTCTCCGAACCAGAGCACAAAATGGGTAAGACAACACTGATTGATTTGGTTAGTCTACCTTTCTGGGAAAACTGCAGACATTGGGGAGTCCCCCAACCTCTTGGACACACTATGGGCAATGTTGTCTGTTGCTTGGCATTTGCCATCGGCAAAAAGAGCTCAACAAGTGAGGGCCGACACGAAAGGGTCAGGACCTGTATAACAGTCAGGCATGCATTTCAGCCTACATAGCAGTAGCACCGCTCTGGTGGCCCAAAATCTGTTTCAGGCAATATTACGTAAATGTGTTGTCCAATGTTGTACATCGTATGGTCAGTCAGCAAGAGAAGGGATGGAATCACTATTGCCATTTGGCAGTAAAAAAAAAATGTTCTGCCCCTGAAAGTTTTTGTTTGTATTAAGTGTCAAGATTCTTGTCTGGGTATGCAACTGTCAATACACATCCTGTGAGGCTGAGCTATGCCTGTTTCTATCAGTCTGCACGTGAGCCCCTCGGCAAATCGCGAATCCCCGATCCCCGCCTCCAAAAGCGGGGGAGCCTGTCGCCAGTGAAAGCAGATGGCTTCCGAAGCCCGATGACTTTCCAAAAGCCGGTCAAACCTAGCAAACCCCTTTGGTTGAATCAAAGCTTGCTCTGTTTCTCTCAAAAGGTGTGAAGCTGCGAAAACTCCGTTTGAAGTTGACAGCCAAAGTTGGCTAAATGGCTCCAAACATTGAAATGGAGAATAGCCTAAATGAACCAGAATCTACCTATGCTAATCCGTGCTCCGTGCTGTGCTTCAGCGCTCCAGGAGAGCTGTGAACAACAGACTTGGAAGGACACAGCAAGATGTGCAAAATGCCGAGGCATTGCCCTCAAATAAATGGCCCACTCAAAAGACGTGACGATTGTGAATAAGCGCTTTTCAAGAACTGCAATCCCTGAAGACAAGAAAGCCTCGCACACCATGGAACCAATGCGAGCGCTGCCTGCTTACACAGCGTTAGTACAATGGCTGCCGAACTCAGACATCCAGCCCATACTCAGGGAATGATGGCCTATTTGTAAACTTCTCGCAATTACGCGTTTCTGGGCAGTACCTGAAACAAATGTGGGCATCACCCTCTTTGCAACAAGGCCACAAGCAAAGCAAGCAGGATGAGGATTGGCACGACGCTTCGCTTGCCCTTAGGAGTTTCTACTTCCCCGGAACCACTACCCCAGAATCGCCGTATGCGCCAACCCATGCGCCATGCCTGGGCGGGCGGGGCCAGCGATCCCGGCACCTCGATCGGTTCCGTGCTCGCTCGTCCAACAGACTGAAACCTAGAAGGCTGAGCTTTTGGGTCATGCCCAAAACTTGGCCTGGCCTGAATTGGGCAGCCGAAAGGCTGCAAACTGTCCGCACACCACTTCCCGCTAGTCAACTGAGAAAAGGCTTCCTGGGATGCCAGCAACCTGTTGCGCGATTGGCGCTGCTGCTGCAACATTCCTGATAGGTTTCATCCCCTGACTAGGTCTGCATGCAAGCCCTTCAAACCCGAAACCCTCAGCTTGGCCCAAGCGAGCTCCGTAAACGGTTGGAAAAAATGTTCAAGCGCTACTCTGCCAAAAGGAGCCATGGTCAACTTCACCAAAACGGGTCATCATTTCGACAACTCCTCGACATGAAACAAGGCCAATGCCAAGGCAATTGTGGCCCAAAAGAATGCAGAACTCCTCGCCAGCCAGCTCTGGAAGCTTCTCTGAGTCCATCTGACGTGTGTCATACAATTTGCATCCTATTAAACCACTTGGCTCCCTGTAAAAAATCGCCGCAACAAGCGTGCCCAGATTTCCAGGCCTGCCGAAGCTCTAACCAACAAACAGGAAACCTCAATCGCGCCTCATCTTTGTCGTGGCTCCTCAGGCGACGGCACAAAAGTCGGCCCCGGTTTAATCCCAGCAGGAGGATGGGGGGCATCCGTCGCGAAAAGCCAAGTATCAAACACATGGCAGTCCTTTCACAGAGTCCCCTACAAGGGGAAACACTTTAAAGCTGCGTTTGCCATGTCGCGGGATGTGTCAAAGATGAGATCCCGAAATCTTGTCTCCGCATGTCCTGCTTCACGTGTTCCTTGCTTCGCAAGGCGCGATGTACTATCAAATCACTGGCTCCTGGCACAAAACCACGGTAGCACATTCAAATTGAAACTTGCCTACATTCGCAGCCAGTGCGCCAAAGCTGGTGCTAGGGGAACCGACCATTCGCCAACCATTCAAACAGAAAAACTTGACTCCAAAACACAGCTCTTTGTGCGGGCCGGTTTCGCCCTGCTCTTGAAGGATTAGAAGGCCTGCTTGATGGGGGAAGAAACGCTTTCGAAAGGCGGAAGCTTGCTACTTGATGGGTACAAGCCGACATATTGGTTCTAATTCGCGAAAGCGAAACCCAGTTCGTTATCACAAGCTTGCCCCTTCCCCGCCCCCCGCATGACCGGGACCCAGGCTGCACCACCACCTGCGGCTGCATCTGGTTCACCTGCACAAAGTCAGCCATGAGCTGGTAATCGTTTCAGTACCCTACAAAACAACCCAGAAGTTCTTCCCCCAGGAGAGTCATTTGCAGATGGTGGTGGTCGGGGTTCCACGTTACATGGGAGCATTTAATGTGACGGGTTGTTGGCATCAAGAAAACTGCTTGTGGTATGATAGCGGCTGAGCGTTGTAGCAATTATTGCGTGCAATCAGTGTTGAATGGTGTTGTGTTGGTCATGACTGCTGCCCTCATCCTCAGCATCAGTATCCTGGCCATATGCGTAACTGTTATTCATTTTTGCGGTTACTATGTGCCAAGTGGCCGAGGCTTCAGCAAAAATGTGTTCTTACTGCTATCCTTGCCATCAGCTCAGTAGTGTGTCTTAAGCAATAAAAACCAAATAACTGACGATGTGATCCACAAATATTACAATATATATATATATATTGTATGCTCAACCAGCTCAACGGCAGCTTCACGCACCCACACATCATGCACCATCTTCGGATCTCCCTCGTAGAGACATAAGTTTGCCTCTACCGCCTTTATGAACAATTTGGCGGCTGTCTGGTATGCAGGTGGCATTGGCGTGAGCAATGTCAAAATGTGAGAACCCCCAACATGGGCGGTTTCCTTTGGTCTTCTTCAAAACAACCTCAGAACAAGCGTGCAATGATACCACCATAGAGGCTGTCAGAGTCGGCATTCCACGGAGCATCGGTCTCCATAAACTCCAAAATGGGTGAATTCCCTCTGGTTTGTCCCTTCAAAACAACGCCCTAGAAGGGGTATCCTGCAAACATATATACCCAGGAAACCGGGGCTCTGTCTCACTTGCTGTTTGGACACCGCGAGCGCCTGCTGCTGTGTATACTCCTCGGGTAAATCAAACCGCCGCTGCATTGTCAAATGGGGTTTTCAAGACAAGGGTCCCCTAAAACCTTTGGTTTGCTTTTGCGTCCTACCAACCAAGGAAGGTCCACATTCTTGGGAAACTCCCAGATGGGTTTTGGAAGACTGGAGGTGATAATGCTACTCATTGGGCCCTCCATACAAACGGGATCTGAGTCAGCCTGCAAATGATCACTCTTCCCAGCAACAAGTGGACATCCCGGTCGCAACAACAGGCTGAAGGGTCCTCGAAAGGAGGAATGCAACGTTTCCGTAGTTACGGTCAACCGCCTCATTTTCAGGGATCCCTCTTTCCCAGAATAGCCCACATCTGGAGGAGTGGGCTGTTTGTACAGGAAGGATCCCCTGGAATGAATAAGGATCCCCTGTGCGGCGGGCAAGCACCACTTCAAAAGCTGGATACATGTGGCTCACGCATATTCTCAATTGTCCGTCGTTTCTCTCTGACTGTCAAAGGGACTGGGAAAAGCAGCAAGCGTTGTGCTCAAACCCTTGAGCTTCGTTCCACCAACGCGCTCTTACTCAGGTTTGCAAGCCCCCTCAACACCCTGATACTCAGACGGGCAGAACCACCACAAGGGCTGTGGGCAGTGGCCTCTACAGTCTGTCAGCTTTCCGGGCCCCGGACCTCCAGACCATCCACCTGCGCAAAGGCAGCTTGATTTACCGCAGGCAAGTGGTCACCTGCAAAACGGCATCTTACGATACGGCATGGCTTGTAACGCTTTTGGGAGCTGACCGCGTTTATCTCCAGCCAACAGCTACAAGCCTTTCAAACTTTCAGTTCCACGCTTCTTAGGCTCTTAGACCTCGGGTGTTTATGAGAGCGGTGCTTCTTTCTCGAGGCCAAGGGCTGCCTTCCAATTTTTGGCGAATCCGAAAAGTGGGAGGAAAGCATGATCTATGACCAAAGGTTTCATGGCCAGACCCCCGAACCATACCCCTTCAGGTAAACCCCTAATGATCAGGAAACAAGGGCAACAAAGGGAACATGAGGGGTCAATACTGGCTCTTGGTAATTTACTCGCGTGAAAGGGTCCGACCAAAGGGGTCGATGCCCGGAGGTCCCACGTCCGCCTCCCCGAAGATGTGCGCCACATGCAGCCTCAGACGGAGCGCTTCAAAAGCGGATGTCTTTGGAGCACACGTGCCTGTTCGCTTTTCCAAGGTCGAGGGTCAGATATGGAAGGGCACATTCATGTTGCAGATTCTGCTGAATGGCATCAGTACCGAAGAAATCAGTGTCTTTTGGGCCAAAAGGGTCTGGCACACGGAGCAACCGCGGACACCCTTCTCCAAACGCATGCACTTGGCTGAAAGCCGAAAGCTTGGTGGCCTACATAGATTAGAATGGAATTGTGGAATTGTGGGGTGCTTTGAAACAATTTGTCCATGTGTATAACTATTGGGGCCCTCATATGGCCGATCTTTTTTGGGGAGTTTGTTTCCAGCGCTTTTGGGAATTTGTGTCCGTTCCATTATCCAGTCACTTTTGGAGTGGCCTGGGGCGTTTCAGGGTGCTTGAGGTGGGTTTAGGGTGGGTTCATGGTGGGCTCGAGGTTAGGCTTTATTTTTTGGGTGCTTGCTTGCTTGCTTGCTTGCTTGCTTGCTTGCTTGCTTCCTTGCTTGCTTGCTGGCTGGCTGGCTGGCTGGCTGTCTGGCTGTCTGGCTGGCTTGCTTGCTTGGCTGCGCAGGGGACTGGAAAAACATCCCAATCCAGCGGGAAGAATCAGCCTTACATAATATAGCACCCCCCTCATATTACCATCAGCTTGTTCATGACTGTGGACGAGGGCCTTCACCCTACATCACCAACATCCCATCCAGGTTGGCGTGGAAAAGCATCAAAACTGGGCAACACTCCAAATTGCAAGACAGGTTCGCGCTGGTTTCCTTGAGCACGGACTGAACACAGCCCGCTGCAAAACCCTATCACGACAGCCGAGTCAGTCTCCTCCACGGACCCACGACAAAAATGCACTCTCAAGTTCGCGCCTGAAAGTGTCACTGTAAAGTTGCGGAACAACAAAAAACCCACAAGGGACGACAATTCCCCCAAACTTGCAAGCAATACGATCACTGACCGCCGAAAGTTACAGGGGGCCCCTTCAAAAGCAACTGAAAAACGTGCGTGTTTGCTCTGAAGCAAAGCCGAGGGGCGAGTAGGTGACCGAGTATCCCACGAAGACCACCAACGAGATGACCTGCACGGCGCTTAGCAGTTTTTTTGAAGGAGACCTGAGACGTGGAAAATCTGGGTAAACGAATCCACCAAGTAGCTCCTGACATTTCTTTGGATAGTCACACAGGTTGATGTATGTCCCTCCCTCGCATTGGGCTATGTCAGTAGAATGGGAAGATGGAGCACATCCAAGCGGCTTGCTTTTGGTTGCCGACCGTCCACCGAGTCTTGGGACGCCTGGATCCAGCACGCTGACAAATGCGGCAAGCAACTTCTCCATGAACAACAACAAAAGCAACAACAATCCGCAACGCAACTGAAGCAACCTAAAGACTGAACATCCAGCACTCCAGCATAACCATCATGGGTTTGTCTCGAAACAGGAGGGAACAACAAAATGTGTGGCTTCTTCTTGGTTCACTTCAAAGCAACCTCAAGAAGCGTAACGAGCCTCAGTAAAGAAAGACACCCCCCACATCACATAACCTTAACACATCCCCTGCCTAAATGGCCAAGGTGTCAGAATTCGCGGCCCTCTTGGTATCCCCTTTGAAAAGGCGCACCTTGAGTGGCACCAGGGTCCAAAAGAGGCTAGTTATTGAGACACCCCTTCTCGCCTCAATGGGCCCCAGCGGCCAAGCCATGATCACAACCTCGGTCGGGCGTCACAGCCATGATGCAATGAGGTGTATTCCCCGAAGTAATACCAGACAGAGGGTACATCAGCTCAATAAAGAGGTAGCCGCAGGAAGCTACCTGGAGCCTGAAGCGACCCTCCGTCAGGTCCGTCACATAGCGGTGATTCCATCAGGGTAGCCTCCTCTTCAGGCTCTTGTTCTCAGATTCTAGGGAGGAAGTACGCTAGACACCCCCCCCTCCCGGCTCATGAGCTTCAACGAAACGCCGGACTGAGGCCCCCAGGCCATGAAGAAGGCCAAACCCGTCACCACGCCCATGACCAGCAGCAACACCAGCACTGCCAGCACGGGGTCCTGAAAACAGAAAAGGGGCGCCGAGTCATGAATCTAAACGATTTTCAAGGTGTCTCCCCCAAACTGGTAAAGAATAAACAGGGCGGGGGTTCCGCGCCTGTGCCCTAACCTGCGACTACCAGGGTTTTGATTGTGGCTCGCCTGTCAGACATGGGCTTGTCTCAAAATTGGTTGGACCCCTAAATGGCAACTGTTTCCTTTGGGCCTTCTTTTAAGTTCAAGGGGTACCATCAAAAACGGAGGGAAACCCACACGACCCTTCCCTTTCTCTCACCTTGTTTGGGGGGAGCTGCAAGGTGTGGTCCGTGGACACTTCGGGTGGATCTAATGTTGCAACCATGCTTGTTTAATTACCTACATCAGGTGCTGCCACGAAAGAAGACTGACAGGTTTGCAGCTTGGTAAGCATGTGACAATAATGTCGAACATGGTCCCAGCATGGCTCAAAATGGTCGCCATGTTGTGAACCCCAGAGTGGGGGTGCTTGGGTGCTTTGGTCGTTCTCCCAAGGCCCCCGGCACTGGTAAAGAGCAGCATGCACGCGAAGCCGCCCCTCAACAAGAACAAGTGACCGGTGCTTGTCAGCTCGATTCCATCTGGGTTGCTGCCAAAAAAAGAAGTCCTACCAACATGGGAAGCAAAAACCATGCAGAAAACCTGCAAAGAGCATAGGAGCGCGAGTAATTATGCAATACACATGCCCCACGAAAATAAGGGCGTCTGTTTTTGGAAAGCCAATAGGCGTCTGTTTTGGTATACACGTCCTCCCGAATCGCTGAAGCTTGAATTGGACTCAATGTGGGTATGAGTTTGAATTGCGTGGGCCCTCTAGTGGACATCATGTATAGGAGCCACGTTCAAACTGGTAATGGATTGTGTCCACTCATAGGGGATTTGTGTGCCATCAACCCACTTCAAGTGTTCCAACAATTTGATGCAGCTCCCGGCGGCGCGCTGAACGTGATTCGCAATGATGCCTAGCCCGTTACCAAGGGGTTTGACCAGCCGGTGCAGCTGAGTTACAATCAGTACCCAAAACCATGTGAAGAATCAAGAGGGCGGCCGCGCCTATTGTGGTTGCCACCCTTCATTTCGCCGGGTTTCAACCATGGATCAACTGGAAACCGTCAAAAGCACGAGACCACGACAGCGGCAGCCGGTCTCAGAAGGGCCTCGAAGATTCCAAGGCTCCCCGAAACAGTGACAACTCTGCTTTGTCTTGGCATGAGATTGTACGAATCTAGCAGGTCGGCCCACGAAAAGGGTCCCTCAGGCTGGAAATGCGTTCCAAAACCAAATGGACCCGATGAGATGCGTCTGATATACCAGCCCCAAAATAACCGGTTGCCCAAGACAAAAACGTTTACGGGGGAAAGCGGTCGCTTGCCAAACCCCTTGAGCTCGATCGCTTTGGTCTTGCTCGAGTCCACCGACCGATTGCACGACCTCCTGGGCCCCAGGCAGCGCGGCCACCACAATGGTCAGGATGGTGCTGTTGATGATCGCCACCTCCGCCTGCGCGCGCGAAATGCTCTTCGTGGGCTTTGGAAAAAATGGAAACACCTCCAACAAATCAGAGGCGATTAAAGTGACATCTCAAAATTACCCGCTAAATGGTGGTGTAAAGGGGAAGCAACCCCCCAAAAGTAATTCGGAGAACCCTTCAGACTGTTCGCTCATCTCAAACTAGACACCCGCATTTCTTCCGGAGCTGTTTGTGCCACTATGTTGTGTTTAAAGTAGAATCAGCGCTATTGGCAGGGGAATCCTCGCAACCCCAAAAGCTGCGGATCTCAATCTTTAGGCAGAGCACATGTAGCTGTGGGTGCTTCACTTGTGCGGGGTTCTCCTCCCTTCCCCAGACTGCCGAAAGCCCATCTGCAATCAAAAGATTCTAAATTCCTGCAAGCGACAGCAAGCAATCCTTTGCTAAGGGGACTCCTTTTTCTGAGCACGAAAGTATGAAATCCGAAGACAACAACCTCAAGGGAATCGCTGGGTGGAAACTTGAGCTATGAAATGATGCTGCGCATGGCAATGGCGTTGGGAGTGTCAAGGTCAACTGGGGCTCATGAATAGGTCGGTTGCTTTCTATATTCAGAAGACAGGGCTGCAGCCACAAGGGCCGTGTCTCCTACAAGTACCAAACTGCGGTTTCCCTCCTCCTAACATGCTGAGTATCCCTTCGGCGTCCCTTTAAAAACCGCCCAAACAATACACGGTACCCGCAAAAAACCACACACACACACACGCACGAACGCACGCACGCACGCACGCACGCAGGCACGCACGCACGCACGCGCGCGCACACACACACACATACACACATACTCATACACACATACACACATACACACATACACACATACACACATACACACATACACACATACACACATACCCACATACACACATACACACATACACACATACACACATACAACACATGCACACATACACACATACAACACATGCACACATACACACATACAACGCATACAACACATACACACATACAACACATACACACATACAACACCTACGCACATACACACATACACACATACAACACATACACACATACACACATACAACACATACACACATACACACATACAGACATACAACACATACACACATACACACATACACACATACAACACATACACACATACACACATACAACACATACACGCATACAACACCTACACACATACACATACACACATACACACATACACACATACACACATACACACATACAACACATACACACATACACACATACACACATACAACACATACAACACATGCACACATACACACATACAACACATACACACATACACACATACAACACATACACACATACACACATACACACATACACACATACACACATACAACACATGCACACATACACACATACAACGCATACACACATACACACATACAACACATACAACACATACACAAATACAACACATACACACATACAGACATACAACACATACACACATACACACATACACACATACAACACATACACACATACACACATACAACACATACACGCACATACAACACATACACACATACACACATACACACATACACATACACACATACACAGAGACAGAGACAGAGACAGAGACAGAGACAGAGACAGAGACAGAGACAGAGACAGAGACAGAGACAGAGACAGAGACAGAGAGAGAGAGAGAGAGAGACAGAGAGAGACGAGCATATATCCTTTCGTTGCCCGCAACGCTGGCTTCACCGTGGCACCCCCCCCCTCCCTCGGAAGGCCTCGGCCATCACCCAGGCCTCTGCCAAGAGCCCACAACCCATGTCAGATGGGTCCAAGGGAGGTGGCTACGACAGGTGTCTCAAGAAATGCGGAGCCCCTAATCCCAAATCGGCAGAATGGATTGACCACATCCCGCCCTTTGAGGTGAGGCCATCCACGTACCTCCATACCCCACAGCCAGGGAGTGAGCCAAACGAAACCCAAGTAGAAAGACAACGCGCCATCTACTTTCACCAAAAGAGGATCTGTTAGAGGAAAAGCAGCGGTTCGTTTCAGGTTCTACGCTTGTTTTTGGGAGGGTAACCAGCTCCATCTTTCAGGTTTCAGGCGCGTGGATCTTAAAACACACCCCGAAATCGCGGCGTTCCCTCTAGTTATCCTTCAAAACCCACCCCAACAAGGCGCCCTGTAAAAGAAACAAAAAGAAGACGCGCCCGCCTTTCCAGAGGCGGTCCCTTCCGGCAGCTCGGGCTCCCGGCGGCCGCGGTGTGCCAGGCCATGTTGGCCGTGGCGGAGGACTGGCCGGAGGCTTCGGATCCGAGTCTGGGTCCATCGAAGTGGGCGACGATTTGAAGAAATGCGGGGATCTTTGTACGTAACACAAACAGACATTGAACATTTTGAGCTTTTGGGGTCTCAAAGATTGCTTTTGGGGTTGGCTTTTTGTCTTTAAAAGGCCATCCAGCAGAAGAGAAGAAGGGATTGGACCCCCTTCACGGGTTTCAGTCAATGAGAATAGAGACCAGCTGTTGCTTTCATGAATCCCGCCCCAAGCCATCAAAATGGAGGCTGGCACCTCTGCATGTGTGCTGGGTGAACCCCACAAAAGCACAGTCCAACTCCTATACGGCATCAACCGAAAAACAACAAAGTCCAAAAAAAGAACGGCAGAAAAATCAAAGAGCGAAAAAAATCCAAGAACATGTTCAGGCGCCACTGCGATTGCTGACATGTTTAAGGTTGCAGCTCTGCGAGATTCATCCATGTTGTTGGCGCTGTTGCTGTCGTGCTGACCCTGTGTGAGTTGCTCTGTGTGTGCGTGTGCGTCTGACCAAGTGTGGGCTGCTCTGTTTCTTAATTGCAGCTCGTTGAGTCCCTTTGAGCGGGCAAGCAAATCGCATCTGGAAAGTGTGGTTTCTTCGCAAAGTTGCATTGCATCCGGTGCTGTCTTCGAGAAGTGCATCCTTTGTGTGGCCGAATCCCCTTCTTCACTCAACTGCATGAGTTCCCAGTGGCCATGGGAAGCAATAGTCCTTCCTGATCCTGATCGATTTGCAAGGGAGCCCAACGCAAACCAGGAAAAGGATGAAATCCTGGCTGTGGAAAATCACCCTTGTGTGATACAGCGGGATGCCGATCCACATGACTTCATCCATGTTCAGGGGATTCCAACTTGGCAATTCCACAAGTGGCTGTACCTAACAACACTCTTACACAGCTACCGGAGGAGCTTGACCCATCAGCGGCAACCTCTTCCCGCCCGCCTGTGAGTTGCTGGCATCCATGTACCGGTCCCAGCGGGACTGGCGAGGGCACATTCCCGGCCATTCCCGGCAAAACCCGGCTCAAGACCCTCCTGATGAATGCAAAGACCGCCTCTTGGAAAGGCTCGCCTGTGCATTGTATGGAAAAGCCCAGGAAACAACACAATACATAAAGAGACGTTGCACTCCTTTGATTGAAGTATCCTGAGCACTTTCAAATGGTTCGCAATCTGCGCCTTGTTGCAACTGAGATGAGGGACTTGTCGAGTCACATGTTGACACAGCCCACCCAGTGTTTGATCGCAGAATGGGTGGTGGGTGTGGAGGTGGTGGTGGGGGCGGCGGCGACAACGGCGGTGGCAGTGACGGCGGTGGCGCTAGCTGTGGCGGTAGCGCTGAAGGAGCATCTCTTTTGGAAATCAATGAGCGCCCTTCAGCCGCAAACAGCTACAAAAATGCTGCAAGTAACACAACAACCCAACAAAGCCAACCCCTGCTAGTCCTTTACAAAAGACACACAAACAAACAAAAAGACTTTAAGTCGGTCATGTGTGCTGCAGAGCAGCACTCAACAAACTCACAAGCCTCAAGAGCCAAAAGCAGGCCCAGTTCATCGAACCAGGCATCTGGTTGAGTTCCGCAACTTTGATACTTCGCAGCTCTGGCCTTTGCCTATCGGAAGGCCGCAGAAATCGCTGCTTCGAGAAACTCAGTATGGGCATGGAAGACTAGGGAGCTCTCGAGCTAGCTCAGTTGGCGAGAACTTTGGCCCGCGGAGGGAGACCGAAGGACATTGGCCAACGGTCTTCCCTTTGTGTGTGTGCATCTTTAGAGCTTTGCGAGCCTGTAAATGAGCAGCAACCCTAGTCACGCGGGATTTTAGGGGGTCTGGGGATTGCTTGGAGGTTCATTCGGGGTTCCTGCCCTGCACGTTCACTTGGATCCACCCCAAAAAACGAAGCTCTGTTTTAGAGGAATCTGCGTTTGGGGTTCCTTTTTGATTTCCATGTGAATTTTACAGAGAATTACCAGCAGTTTGCCGGTCGGTTCGCGAGCGAACGCGGTCGGGCCTTGTACTCCAAGATGGCATCGGCACCCACGTCGAAGGCGAAGTCCACGTGGAAGTTCAACATGGCCGCCACCACCGCGTCATCCACCTAGTTCGATTCCGATTAAAGCCCTCGAAGCATTTTTGGCCTTTTGTTGCACCCCTGAGATGTCTTACGCATAGGAGAAACTCCCGAGTCGGGCTTGGAAAGGTGGTCCAAGCTGGGTCGAGGGATCGGCACCTGATCATGCGGTTTGCCTATGAGCAATTCGATAAAAGCCTTTGATGAGGAGAAGTGGGAGTACAACGATTCGGAGAAAACCTGCGGAATGAGCATGTTGCATTACGATCTTGAAAAAGAAGCCGAACCGAGATTTCAGAGAATCGAACAAGAGAAGCCTTGGGAATAAGCATCTCACAGAACGCGAGATCGGGAGACACGCCGTGATCTAAATTGGATTGCAAGAGATACAGGATGCGAGCCATACCTTTCAGGGTGAGGCTGAATTTTGACAAAGTCCTTGATAAGGGGCGTGTCAAGAATACACGGATAGTTCAATTCCAGGATGTGCACCATACTTTCGGAACAAGGCTGGATTTTGACAAAGTACTTGATAAGCGGCGTGTTAAAACCCAAAATTCGGAATAAACGGATTGTTCAATTCCAGTCAAGATCCAGGCTGCGCACAAGACTTTTCAAAATAAGGCTGTGTTTTGCTAAAGTACCTATAACGGAGGAGAACGGCTTGTTCTGGTCAATCACAGTACCACTTGGCATCCTTAACTATTGTTGCATCACTCTCGTGCACGCACGCACGCATCCGCGGCGCGGGCGCGCTTCACAATTCTGCTGCCCCTTTGATGAGCAAAAGCTACAGCTGCCAGGCAAGCCACAGCTACTTATTCATGAAGAGAGAAACTAATTTATGCAGGAAATGAGTGCTTTCTTTTTGGGGGGGGGGGGGAATCCAGCAACACGTTGAAACTATGCAAAATGTCGAATCTCTGGGGAGAACCCGCTGAGAAAAAAGGAACAACCATCCGGGCATCTCTCAAACGGGAAATCGGGGAATAAGAAAAGGACCTTCATGAGCGTGTTTTTCTCCAAGGTGATCTTGTCATGTGCCCAAAGCCCGCCTTACGGTTAGATTCCCTTGTCTGAGGTTTGATGGGTATGAATTTGTCTCCAAATAGTGGATCCAAAAGAGGGCGGACCTGTGGATGAAACAAACTCTGCACCAGTGGTTTACCCCACCGACAAGGCTTCCGTCCCAACTGTTGCCTGGCAAGTGGACCCCTCGCCCGAACCTGAGACATGGGCCATCCATAGCTGCTCCTGCATCGCCAGGCTGTCCGAAGACCAGTACAGCACCTCGACTGCAAGCCGGAGAAGCAACAACAATCGTTTGAGTCCTCAATCGTTTCCGTTGGAACAATTCCCAAAGGACTCCCTCCCACAGCTCACGCCATGTGCCGAGCAACCTTGATGCCTTCCAGAGTCAGGGGGCAACTGGATCAAACCGCATGGCTAGTCGGTGTGTGTTTGTGCGGGTGTATATATATATACATATATGATAACCACTACAGTATTTGTCAGTTGATCCTTGGACGCGTTGTCGTTTTCCTCGCTCCCTGTCGTTTTGCGGCGTTCGCAAGCCCGGGTACCCTTTGGTACTGTTTCCTTGAAGCGCTCATGACGCTGCTTTTACACATGACGGTATCGATAGTTTTACTCCTTATCGTTCTGCTTAGAATCCGGCCCATCGGTGCCCTTTGGAACCAGCCCGGGGCAATGCAACGGGGCAGGGTGAGTATACAACCCCTTGTGGTGGTTAGAAATGGAAGACCCAACCATAAGCTTTGCACATTGCTTGGAGAATTCCCAGCGCAAAAAGCAAGGACATCAGACTAAGGTCAAATGTCCAACTCTGACTGATTAGCACATAGAGGTGACCAGGGGAAGGAGGTTCTTGTTGTTCTTTAACATGAGTCTCAACCAAAATTCCGCAATGAATGGGTTGTTGAATCATCACGCCATGTCTTCACCGTAGCGCCTATCGATCATATCCTTAAGCGTGCATCCAGGTCTTAAGCAATACACGTCCTTGTCGCCCACGACATGTTCATGGTCCCCGCAAAAAGGCGTATCCAATCGTTATCCCAGTTACCCATGCTAAATGCGCACTGGTCCAATTTACTCAGAGCACGGGATGATGTGTTCATTGGGCTCAGCTAACCCCGACAAACCATGAAACACAAATGGGAAACCAATAGACAAAGTCGATGCAACCAAGCCGTCTTTGTATCCACCCTTTTCTCTTGTTCGCTTGAGGTCAACCATGCCCCTTCAGGGAAACAGAGATCGTCAAAGTTCCCAAAAAGGATCAGAAAATATTCGAGATCCCGCCTTACCAGCTCTTGTGCAGCAAAAGATTGAACTTCCCCCTATCCCAGAGTGGCGAGTGACAAGAAGCACTTCGCGTTTTGCTGATTGGAAGTTAACCCAAAAGAAAAAGCAGGAAACAGCAGAAAAGTGCCGAACAACGCATGAAAAGGCAGAACCTGAAGGTCTGGCCAATTCGCATCCTTCCTTGAGTCGCCTGCTCCTCAAAACGCTCCCGTTGGGTGCGGCACCTCTGTGGTGAAGGTCCGGGAGGGGAATCTCCTGAAAAACGTTCAGGGTAGCTGGAAAGAGAAAGCGAGTCACCCCTTTGTTTAGGACATCTACCCCATGTTTATGAAATGTTGAGTCGCGCGCCGAAAGACCAAGGGGGAAGGAGACAGTCCAGCAGACGCTCTGATCGATGTGTGTCGGAAAACCCCACTAAAGGCAAACCCTTGAGAGGTATACGGAAGCCCCCATGAATAGAATAGACCTGATTGTGTCGTGATACACACCTTGGGATTCCACAAAACAGCTACTTGCCAAAAGGCTGATGTGGCAATTGATGGCCACTGTTATGCGGCCACCTTCAGGTGGTGGGAAGGCTCACCAACAGTGCGCTACCCTTTCTCCGGCAAACGTACCACCTGCAGGAGGGTACCTGGATGATAGAAGTCGTCTTGCAGGGACCCCCCTGTCGGGTGGCACGCTAGTTGGAGGCAGGAAGCTCGAGCTGTACGAGAAAGTAAGGCGTGTGTCAATTTTCATGCTGATCTTGGCCCACTTGCCGCAAGCCCAACGTCAACAGATCCAACTATTCTATTGACAAGGCCGGAGAAACGGAAACCCAAGTGAAACTGGCTTTGACACTTTGATACTTCCTAGCAACCATCAAACAGATTGGCTCACACATGAAGCCTGCCTGAGAAGCGCGGGGGTGGGTTCCCCTTCCCAGTCCACAGATTGATCCGAAGTCCTCAAGCGGTCTTTGAGATCCACGATCCAACAGCCTAGGCCGGACCACGCCTGTCTTCAGCCGAAATCCGAGCCACAGTTGCACAAGGTCAAGGTTTAGTCTAACAACAAAAGAAAGAGGCTGTTCACTCATGGGCAATGCCACTTTATCGTATGATAACACAGCCTCTGGTGGACCGGACTTCAGGGATTCTTTCTGAACGGCACCCAACTCACTGGACCCCGCCCCTTCTCTTGGACCGGGGTCATGATCATGTGTTTGGTGCCAACCAACAAACATGTAGGCCAAACGCCTTTTTCCTGAGACACGTTGATAGCGGTGGTTTCCTTTCAGCTCTCTTAACCACCAGTAGGCTTGGTCAACATGAGCTCGTCCCCTTTGAACAGGAAAACAACATGCGGCCCGACCAATTGGACACCCCTGTGGATGGGACTTACCGCGAAACCACGCGAAGCCGATCTCCAAACAATACTGCTCGTTGTAAGCCGCTGCTCACCTTCTCAGCCCTCGGAGTCTTCAGACGCCATGCCCTTCAAATTCAGTTGCCTGGTAGGGAACCTCCAGTGGATGGAAATTCCCCACCACACACACAAAAAGGTCATCCATGCGTCGACAAAATGCTGGCATCCCAAATGCACAAAAACCCTATCACACCAAGCTTGTGAACATATAATATGTCTCTTCCTCGCTTGGCATGAGCTCTGGAAAGCTCCCAATCCTAGCCAAGGCCCGGTCATATGCATGCAGCCCCAAAGTGCCCCAAGGCCATAAAAACTGAGCGAGGAATCGGGGAAAAACATGGAATCCAAGAAGGTGAGCACATAGACCCTGAAGCTCCGAATAGGCAACCCCCCCCCCCCCGAAAATTGAGAGGCGGATGATCGAAAGCTAGCCAGCCCAACAACGACATCCGAGCCAGTGGTTAGATTAAGAATGGCAACCGTAAACAAACACGGAAAAAAGTCATTGACACCCACACTTGGACCAGGTCCAAAGGAAAAAGATTTGCTGGCCGCAAATATGGGGTTGGGGGGGGGGCAGTAAAGAATGTGCCTTCGAATTCAATCCCTGAAGCCGCCCCAGCCCCATAAATTGTTAACACTGGCAAAATTGAATGCTAGCATAGCTAGCTTTCGTAAATTGTTCCCATAAAGCAACCCAAACAAGAGTTTCTCCCGATACGGACAATATTCCAATGGTAAACTTGGGCTGCCCTTCCCCCAGTTCGTACCTGCTCAGGCTTGTGATCCTGCCAGCCTCTCAAGTCTAAAAGCTACGAGTTAGTCGTTTCCGCTGACTTGTCATCTTGATTCTTAACACAAGATAGATCAATCAATAAATATTGTTTGTATATATATATATATACACAAACAACAAGCTGGGAACGGGAAGAAGGAGAGAAAGAGGACACCAAACGTTTGGACTGTAGGAAGTGAGGGGTGGGGTCCCATATTTTAGGAATCTCCCGTGTGTGATTCTGCCCTGGGAGGGTGATCGATTGGTTAGTTTAGATATGCATCTGCTTGTGTATTCATTTATACATGTATGTATCTATTGATATGTCTGTCTATCAATGTACTTATTTCTACGCGCACACACACACACACAAACACACACGCGCAAAAACACACTAAAGAAAAGCACGAACAAACAAAAACCCGCATAAGACAAGTAAAAGAAAAGACAATGCAACCACCCAAACACATGGCATCCGCCAATCACGTCGGCTCCGGGCCAAAAAGACAGGGCGCCCGGGCGCTTTCTCAGTATCCGCAGCTCGTCTGGCGGGTTGTCCTGGACAAAAGCAAAAATAAAGCGCCTTCCAATTGGGATCCTCTCGGCTGACTTCGGCTGAAATTGCGGTTGGGATGATTAGGTGAGGAAACCGGCCCGCCAGCTACTAGTTAGCACGCCCCTGACACGGGTGGTTCCCAAAATGGAAAGACTCCAACTGACCAAGTTCCTCAATTGTCGAGATAGATGTTGATAGGAAATGACAAAGGAGCCCGAGATGCTCCCTTGTGCCTGCCCCATGTTCTTTCGGTTGGCAGCATTTTCCTGGACAATCTAGACGCCAGCTGCCAATGTATCAAAGGTGCTCATTCAGCTCAGGCTTCCTTGAACAAACCGCAACTGGCACCTAGATCGGCAGCAGTCTGTCAAGAGGGGCCCCTTTTTAAGACCTATCGGCACACATCACCCAGGAAAAATGGGGTACTGTGAACATCGGTGCATCCCTATCTGGACATGCGTCGAAGCAAAATTCCGCCCCTCAAACTCCAGACAAAAGGATATCGCGTCGGTTCCATTCTGACCAAAAGTCCACGTGGGCTTGTCTCAAAATGAGGGAACCCGCAAAGCAGGTGGTCTCCTTCTTGTTTCCCTTTCCAACAACCCCAAACGGGTAACAACCCCAGCCGGGTACCGGTAAAAAACGACACGCCCATACCCAATGCCCCTCCTCGCACATGCCCAGGACTGCGCGCTGCGCCTGGGATCCGAAGCGGCCCCCCGAAACCCAAGGCTGACCCGAAAAGAAATCGACCTCCACTCCTCCAGCCCCAAAAGTCCCACCAAACACAAAGAGACCTGGGAATTCTCATGGCTCCGGATCCATCAGCCTGACGGATTCACAGGTGTGTCCTCCACAAGTGAAGGATGCCCTCTAAAATGGGAGGCACTAGAGTAAGATGCTTGGTTGTATCTTGATTTCGCTTTGAAACCATCCCCGCCGGAGGCCCAGTGGCTTCGACTGAGTATGTAAAGCCCTCTGGCATGAGGTTTTTATGTGGTGGTGGGTTTGAGCCATTTCAAGGGGATTCTGGTTTCGGGGTGCCAACAGCAGGTGTCAAACCTGGCAGGTTTGGGAACTTGCCGCCTTTGGTGTGGATGGATTGAGCCGTTTGGGCGTTGTCCCAAGAAGTTCAACCTCGTCGTGCTTGCTCTTACTCAGGCCTCAAGCAAGGCATGCAGTGCCTGCCACACGCCAAGCTGCCAAGCTAGGCGCAGGCTTCCCACTGCTCTGGCTCAACGTTCAATGGTTGGAGACCAGAACCAGTTTCCACCTGTGCCAGGGTCGAAACTCCTTAGAGTCATGGGTGTTGGCTCCTGGAATAGACAGCTGTGCCATGGTGCCAAGACACAAAATGGGATTGGCCATGACCAGTGCGATGAACCAAGTGTTTTCACCTTTGCACACCTAGGGTAGGGTCTCACGAGAGGTTTGGCCACAAAAGGAAGCCTGGGCCATAAAGCCCGAGTTCTGACAGGCACCTGCCTGCAAAAGGGAAGCAACTCTCCCCCCCCCCGCAAAGCCCATTGGAAAGCCACAAAAGAGATGAACCTTGACCGACCGGTCAAGCCAAGCAACCCTGAGAACGCAGGACTTTCAGGCTCGGACTACGCATCTCAACTCCACCCCCTCGCCGCTTGGCTCTGCGCAGAGCAGACGCTCAAGGCCCCGGCCCAGGGGTTGCTCATCCTCAGGGCGCTTGGGTGCAGCGTTGGTCTGCCCCGGGGCCCAACACCCTTCACGACCTGCCCTGAGGGAATGCACGAAACTTCACCAGCCTCGGAAAGGAGAGTTCTTGGATTATTTATCAGTTCCCACAAATTTGATGCCGACAAGAAAGACAAATATTGTATGGGACTCGGCCCCACATGGCTGAGGGAAGGGCTTATGTATGCTTCCACGCCACAACTACGATTAGAGAGGGATTCAAGCCGTACTTTCCCATCCCTCAGCAAGCAGTTCAATTTTGTGCATACCGCTGATGAGGACGCATGCACAGCTAATGATGCTGGAGATGCTGAAGGCGATTGCAATGTTGGGAATGCTGAAGATGTTAGGGATGTCAAGGATGCTGGAGATGTTGTGAAGATGTTGGGGATGTCGAGGATGCTGGAGATGTTGGAGGATGATTGGATGCGGGGCAATTGCAGCAGCGTAGAGGATCTCAAATCATTGTGGAAAACCAGTGCCAGGAATGCACTGAGGTTGGGAAAGCCAAGGACCCTCGTCCGATTGCAACGCCCGGATGCCTTTACAAACTTCTTCCGCAGCCTCGAGCAATCTCACGTTAGGAGCCTGACGATGTCTGATATGTAGGATACTATGATCATCATTTCCAGGGTTCCTCATTTCTCTCCCCACGGAGCTGGAAGACCTTTCACTCGCACGACCTCCCCGACCCCCGCACGCCAAATTCGCCAACTTCGGCGAAGCGTCTGGAAGTAGGGGTCGAAGGACCACTGCTCTGGGTTGGGGCCCAGCAATGGCGTTGTCCTCGGCGCCTCGTGGCAGTGAAAGGAGGGTGACTGGCAAACATGCACCCCAAAGGAAAATGCGCAGTGGGCTCCGACCTATCAGTTCCAACTGCCCGGCTCCACACTCTCAGGTTTTCAGCCAGTCATAGCCGTAGCTTAGAACCGACCAGGAAGGTGTCAACATGATGGGCTCATTTTTGGGGCCACCTCGACAACATGTGACTTGGGCTCCTAAAAGGGCCCATTGCTTTTGGAAGAGTCACTATCTAATTCCTTCTGATTGACATGCCTATTTCAGATATCAGCATGGTTGCGGGATGGTACAGCATCCAGGTGAGACTGTGGCAGTTCAAAGGAATTTCCTCCGCTGATAGGGAAGGGTCAAGCGAGCATCCGCCATGGATACACGCACAACCGACATATGTGCGACTAGAACAAGGAGTGAGGATCCATCAGTTGGAAACTATGCGACTATGCTGATCAAATCCACAACACATGCTGCAATGCCAACCTGGCAGCAACCTTGTGAAAAGATGATCTCATGGGTTCTGCTTTTTGGCGTGTTCCTTTTGTTACCCTCCTGTAGATTGACAGGGACCCCAAAAAGCCAACATGTGTACTGTTCTTTTCCTTGTGGGGTATGGTACCGGGTACTCCCTTTTTGGTTTTCATGGTGATCTGCGAGGGAGTTGTTTCTATCAGGCTCTCACCCTGCGGTGTGTGCGCAAAGCCGGGCGTTCTCTGGGCTGCCAGGCCCGGATGCCCCACAGCACCGTCACGTCGATCTGCTTGTTCTCCGGCACTTCCTGAGAATTTGCGGCTTGGAGCTTCCAAACTTGGAGTTCCCATCCAAATCTTGAAGTTCACCCATCCAAGTTGACCTCTTTTCCCGCTGACAACCAAGCTCAGGGTCCCCCTTTCCACCCTCTTTTGGTCGGAGTCCCGGGAGCCTTGACGGGCGCTTCCCGCTGCGCAGCCCACTCTCCCACTCTGCCCCCTGCGACCCAGCAGCGGGGATGAGGGCCAACTTCCGCGCCGCCGGAACCAGCGCGCCTTCACACAGCGCCGACGCCGGCACCTGGCGGAAGGGGAAGCCGGGCAAAATTTGGGGTGTGACAGGCGGGGTGTTTCTAGGAATTGGACCCTAAAGATGTTTTTTCCTCATGATGTCCCGCAAAAACCAGTGACTTGGAGGATCCTTCATCTGGAACAAACCACATGTGCTAATAGGGGGATCCACAAAATTACGGCTTGCCTTTTGATTTCCCTTGCCACCAACCTATTTGGAGGGCCAAATAGGGGGTCTATAGCTTGGTGAATTAAAAACATCCCGCTGATACTGTCGATTTCACTATCGTAGTCAGGAAAATGCAAAATGTATCGTAACTCTACCTGTCCCCGTCTTTTGGGGGAACCCTGAAACATTGTTGGCGGTCAACTTTTCATGCAAGGCGCGTGAGGGGCATCGCTTATCCTGGGCTCAATAGACCATCACGCTTCCATGATCCTTGCGATAGTTTAATGGGCTTGCTATGTTTTGTCGATTGATTTGGAGATTCAAGGGTCTCTGCACCCCTGGATCATACCCTTAAGGTAAGCAGCAAATGAAGGCAAGTGAACAGCTTAAAAGTTTCAAGTCAGACTCAAGTGCCATATTTCTGCTTTAGGCCTTGTCCAGGGTGTGTGGGATGACAAGGCTTGGGATTGCAGAAACCCGAGGATCTTGAGAGTGCGGATTGCAAGCAAAAAAACTGGGCCTTGAGCAGGTGACACATTGACACGGGCCCGGCCATGGAGGCGTGATGTCCTGGAAGGCAGCCTTGTAGACGCAAGGCCAAAAGGTTGGTCAAGCCAGGCGAGTCAAGTCCAGCTCCAATAGATACCACCCAGGCAAGCACTTCTATGCTTTGACAAAGCACCTTCGAGTTTCGAAGTGGCTGCACAAACTCAGTGCGAGTTCAAGTGTCTCCTTGATGCCTTCCAGGCCAAGTTGAGGCTTCAACTCGAGCTGACAATCTTCCTGGCGGTGGGGCCTTTAGCTTCTCCCTAGAAGCAAAGGGGTCCATGTGGCCTTGGTTCGAAAGAGTCCGTGATTTTATGGCCGAAATCATGAACTTCCAGAAGAGAATGCAGGAGTGGTAATTCACGCCTAGTTCTCCTTGGGCTTATTGTGCAGCACCTTCTTTCTTCTCCTCTTCTGCCCTCCACCCGTCGTGGAGACCAACACGGAGGGGCAGAACCCTTCTCATTTGAAGTGCGCAGTCTTCGCTGAAAGAAACTGCACGGTGTTGGATGTTTCGTTGGTTTCGGGGTCCGTTGTATTGCTAGTTAATTAAAGGAAAATGGCCCAAGTTCCCCACTCCGGCTCTGCTAAGCCCTCTTAACCCTATTGCACCGCATCAGGCGCATCAGGCTCCATTGCGCCATTGGCCCCATGAGAGGCCCTGTGCTGGCACCGACTCTGGTGGGGGCAGCTTGACACACGTCCCGCCTCCAGCTCCTCCTCCAACACTTCCAAGCGGCGAGCCGCTGTAAAACTGTCGAAGTTCCCGAGCCTACGGCGCCGAGGCCCAAGTTCCTCTGTGCGGTCAGAATAAAGGGCATCTCTACCCATCCTCTCCGAATTCCAGGTTTGCAGGAAACCAAAAAATCAGAGCATTCAGCTCTTGTTTCACCCCTCCCCACCCTTCACTGCCACTGGGTGCGCCGGGCGCTGTGTAGCCTTCCAGCTCACAGACCGGGACCCCCGAGAAGCAGAAAGCGTCCAGGTCACAGGTCTGGCGAGATGGCAAAATGACCCAGGTTTGTCTCAAAATTGGGGGACCCCAAAATGGAATTTGGTTTTCCTGCCAATGTGCCTTTGAACCAAGGAGAGGGTATCCTCAAACACAAAAAACCAACAAACAAACAAACCAAAAACAGAAAAAACCAGCAACCAGACAAACAAGCAAACAAACCAAAAAAACACTGGGGCCTTTGGAGGGTATCATTTCAAGGGAGATTTGCCTGCCCACTAGCCTGCTCCCAACTTCCCAACCATTGAAATTCATAAGCCGCGGGGCATTGTGGTCGCGGAAGGAAGTATGACGCACCTTATGCGCACCTTTGCCCAATTGCGTGTCTTCTTCGTTTTTGACGAGGACAAAAAAAGACAAGGTCAAGAAGCATGTCAATATGTGGCCAGGGAAACATATCGAAATAACTGGGACCTCATAGGCTGGATGGGTCCTAGGGTGAAGCCTCCGTGTGTGTGTGTGTGTGTGTGTGTGTGTGTGTGTGTGTGTGTGTGTGTGTGTGTGTGTGTGTGTGTGTGTGTGTGTGTGTGTGTGTGTGTGTGTGTGTGTGTGTGTGTGTGTGTGTGTGTGTGTGTGTGTGTGTGTGTGTGTGTGTGTGTGTGTGTGTGTGTGTGTGTGTGTGTGTGTGTGTGTGTGTGTGTGTGTGTGTGTGTGTGTGTGTGTGTGTGTGTGTGTGTGTGTGTGTGTGTGTGTGTGTGTGTGTGTGTGTGTGTGTGTGTGTGTGTGTGTGTGTGTGTGTGTGTGTGTGTGTGTGTGTGTGTGTGTGTGTGTGTGTGTGTGTGTGTGTGTGTGTGTGTGTGTGTGTGTGTGTGTGTGTGTGTGTGTGTGTGTGTGTGTGTGTGTGTGTGTGTGTGTGTGTGTGTGTGTGTGTGTGTGTGTGTGTGTGTGTGTGTGTGTGTGTGTGTGTGTGTGTGTGTGTGTGTGTGTGTGTGTGTGTGTGTGTGTGTGTGTGTGTGTGTGTGTGTGTGTGTGTGTGTGTGTGTGTGTGTGTGTGTGTGTGTGTGTGTGTGTGTGTGTGTGTGTGTGTGTGTGTGTGTGTGTGTGTGTGTGTGTGTGTGTGTGTGTGTGTGTGTGTGTGTGTGTGTGTGTGTGTGTGTGTGTGTGTGTGTGTGTGTGTGTGTGTGTGTGTGTGTGTGTGTGTGTGTGTGTGTGTGTGTGTGTGTGTGTGTGTGTGTGTGTGTGTGTGTGTGTGTGTGTGTGTGTGTGTGTGTGTGTGTGTGTGTGTGTGTGTGTGTGTGTGTGTGTGTGTGTGTGTGTGTGTGTGTGTGTGTGTGTGTGTGTGTGTGTGTGTGTGTGTGTGTGTGTGTGTGTGTGTGTGTGTGTGTGTGTGTGTGTGTGTGTGTGTGTGTGTGTGTGTGTGTGTGTGTGTGTGTGTGTGTGTGTGTGTGTGTGTGTGTGTGTGTGTGTGTGTGTGTGTGTGTGTGTGTGTGTGTGTGTGTGTGTGTGTGTGTGTGCATGTGCTTCTGCTTGAAGAATGGCAGTCTGTCACAACCAAAGTAGGAAGTGTGCAAAAAAACAAAACTCGGTCACAAGGTAAGAGAGTGAGGTCGCCACTCAAGCAAGAACAGAATTCGCAAGTGAAGGTGATGGTGGAATCCCGCCTGATATCAATCCAGGCGGTCTCTGCAATGGTCTCCAATTGCCAATAACGTCTTGCTGTCTAATAGCAAGTCTTCCATTCCTGTCAACAAACCGTCTGTGTAGCAACACGGCAAACAGATTCATAATCAAAGCCCATGCCGCCAAATCCTTCACGGACAGCTGCCGAACAAAGTGTGATATCCTGTCCAGGGCCAAGAAGTAAACAGACATCAACGCAGCTTCATGACAGCCAAATGGCTCATCTCTTGGGGGCAAAACGAGGCAACACCTCCCCCAGCCCCTGGCCGCTTCTCCGCGCGCCTCGTTGGCGCCTGCGAGGGCGCTCAGCGTGGCCCTGGCCGAGCCCATGTAGAACTGGCGGCTGGCCACCGCCTCAAAGCCCGCAGAGAATCAAAAGGGCAAATGTCCACACCGACTGTTGGTACCGATTGACAAAACTTGATTTGAAGACTGGCTGATCGACCATCAATCCCAGCTGGTGCCTGGATTTCGTGGCTTTTGTCACCATCAGTTCAGGCAACACTCCCAGACTGCCAGACCCCACCAAGGGGCACAAGGACTGCAATTAGACAAGGTACAAGCAGAATACCCAAGGGGAAGGCTTCACGCTGATTTCGCCCGCAGGTGTGCAGTAACAGTTCGGGAAGAAAAAAAAGCGCTTGCTTCACGTCTGCTGAACCCTCTCGCCTGTCCTTGCACTTTTTGTTTTCCCACCAGCATGACAGTACAAAGGGAAGCATCGATGCTCAGTCGCAATGACATTTTGATTGAAAAGGACTGGCAAAGAGGCCCCTCGTTTGGTTTTGCAAGCCCCACATGTCAATAGCTTGAATCGGTCTGAGCCAAAATCAGTGGCTAAAACACGGCCTCGGCCCTGGCTTCATAGGCGAACTTTGCAAGCCCCGGCGAGCTTTGCAAACCCACATGACGTGAGGGGTCGGAAATAGAGGTTCACTTTTGGGGTGGCTCCATCTGTCGCAGTGGCGTTAAACTAATATCCACGGTCTCACATAATTCTTGAACATCCTTGTTCAACCCGATGTTGGTCTCCTTTCGAAGCATGCCAACGGGTGCAACTGGTACGTTCCTTACTTGCCCAGTGGTTTCCCTTGGTGGCTGATGTTTTAAAAAATCCGCCACAAGGAAGAAAACATGGTGGAACCTCCCAGTTGTCCAGTGACCCGAAAGGCAAATAATTTAACCACATAGGCCCATTCCATCTTAGCTTGTCTCGAACCCACCAAAGAAAAGGGATTCACATGGTGCATTGAAGAACTGGAGGTTGCCATGGCAACAGCCAAAAACACGGAAAGAAGCCAATCCATTTTTCAGTTTGGCATTTTCCTGTTAACCCACCAAAGAAAGTTCCGGGGGTTTACAGGGGTGGGAATCCACAGAACTGGGCAGGCAACTGAGCTTGCCGGGGCCCCGGCGGAGCCGGTGCTCCAACTCTCCTGCACCTGGCTCGTATTCTGAGGCTCTCAGCGCGGGGGTTCGTTGGAACTCCCCTGGTGATCGTTGTTGGTTTCATGTGGCGGGTATCTCACACGGGGCATTTGTCCAAACAAAACGCTTTGGCTTGGATTGGAGTGGACATAATCGTGGAGCTTTGTTGGCATCATTTACGTGGGAATGGCCATATTTGGTTGGACATGAACTGGAAAAAAAGGGTGCAAGTGTGCCACACACAAAGCTAAAAAGCAAAAAGACCAAAATGGCAGGCAATGAGGGCTGATGCCTTTAAAGTCTGCTCTTTCGCACCACGGACAAAGTCTTCTGTTGCCCTCTTTGTCATCCCTCGGCCGGCCAACTCTTGCAAAAGCAGCATGCCACGCACAAAGCAAGAACCGAAAGGATCACAAAGCGAAGCTGGCCATTTGTTGGGGGGTCAACGAATCTTAGCCAGGCAACTCCGGAAGCCGGGGTTCAACACTGCTCTCAACATGCGATAGGAATACATGGCACAAGTCCAGTCTTCCTACGACCAACGTTACAGGAGTTGCCAACTGCCTGCACTTCCAGAATGGAAAGCCAATGACAGCAATACGATTCAGTAAGTTTGTTTTGGCTTCCCGTCGCCCAGCCCGTTCCGCGCCAGCGTCTTCATTTCTACGTTGACGACAGAGACAGAGGTCTCAGCACGGTGAGCTACTCGGAAGTTCGGCACTTCCCATCACTGAAGAAAGGAGAAAACGGTTCGCCATCTGAGTCCGCTTTTTCTTTTGAGGGTACCCACTTTGAGGTGGCTTGAAAGAGAAAACAAGGGGAATCACCTGCTTTGGGGCTCTCACATTTTGAGACAAATCTATTTCGCATCCTGTGAAAGCGACAGTCTTCCACGACCTCCCTGTCAAGTTGCCAACTTTTGTCTTGCTTGTGGGGTCATTGGCTGGTGCTTTCAAACCACCCGGCTGGCAGCTAAGATGAAAAGCTCGTCCCAGAGAAGGGCCAGCAATCTCTCCTCCCGTTTTAGGGACCCAGATTGCTGCAGCTGTCCAGCAGGGTTCTAAAATTCGAACACCACATCTGCTTTGACTTACGAAGGGCGCAGCAATGGCTTCTTCGCACCAACAAGGCAAAACTTGGCAGGGCAAGGCGTTGTTACTTCTGCTTTGCAGGAAGTGGTCATCGCTTAACCCAGATGGCCGAGCGAATGCACACAGCAATGATGGAGGCTCGCGTCCCCCCTGCTTACGAACCTTGTAGCTATCCAATAGTCATAAGAAGGGCTTTCCGGGGCCGCCGGCCGAGAGCGCCGCATGGTGACGGGAGCCTGGCCGCAAGAAATCCATGGATGCACTGGCAAAAGAAAAAGGACAACACTGCAGGTCTTGAAGCAGGCAAGAGACAGTGGCAAAATTGGTGAGAATCAAGAAGAGACAAACTTTCCAGCCAGCAAAGTGACCCTTTCACAATACTTTGCAGTGCCGACTGAACAAACCAAGGAGGTTCGATGAAAGCTGAACTTTCGAAGCTCTGTTTGGCTCACTGCGCCCACTAGTACTGCCACATTCCCTTTTCGATATGTGCGAACTGGGACAATGGCAGGGTTGATCCGGCGGTACCACGGAGGATCGCCGAGTCAATTGTAAGGTCTGCTCTGCTTCCACATGCTTTTAACTATGAAACATCGCCACACCCCGGTGGAACATCAACAACGGACCAAATGCGGGCAATGTTAAACCTCATCCGACAGAGCTTGGTTGTCAAAGAAGCAAGCGAAACTAGAGCAGCTTCTGTTCCGGTTGTGGGGGTTGGTTGGATCAGGATCCCCTTCCCAGGAGTTGAATTGAGGGCGGCTCCCCAAAGGTCCTAATGAAATCGAGAATTCGCAGTGGACAAAATATCTTCACCAAATCCAAAACTGTACTCCCCTGCAAATTAACATGAGAACTCAAAATGCGGTCCTTTCTCCAAAGGGAGATTCCTCCCACAAACGGTGGCTTTTTGAGTTCCATCTTCATCTGGGGAGGGAGTAATTGCAGAGTTCGTGCTCGAGGCTTCAATGCGAGTCGCAACTCAGCCAGTCGGCTTGGGCCACGCGGATCTCAGCGGCTCACGAGGGCCACTGTCACTTTGCTGATCCAATGCTCGGGAGCAATGCGGCCCGCCTGCTGCTGCTTGGACAAGGGAACTCAAGACCTGAGCAGAACAGCCGACGGCCCTCACATGCTCAACAAGTCAGGTAAAATACGCACATACATGCATATACACACGGTACGAAACACTGGTAAGCTACACTGCTACCCCAGAACTAAAACAAACAAACAAAAAATGATGGTGCCATCAGAATGAAATCGATGCTTCGACCGCACAGCGAGGAAGAGATCCCAAATTGGCACGTTCCCAAAGCAGGCCCTCACCTCTTTGGCTGGCTTCAGAGGGAAACTTGTGCACATCTGCCAAACACTTTCACACCAAAATTAATGCGTGGTAAGCAAACAACTCAGCCCAAAGAGTCCCTTCCGCGGGTCCTGGTGATCTCATAGAGGACCAGTGACAAACGAAGCACCACTTGGCGTCAGGACTCATCTTCACTCTATCTGTCTGTTTCCCTCGATCTCCTTGCAAAAGATGTTGGAGCCGCAAGCCGCGTGTGGCCATGACTCAAATGGACCAAACTTGAAAACCAAAAGGTCAAAAGGTTGAACAATTGAGAACAGGCTACTTCCCCTGCCCCACTGACTGGACAAGTTTGGTTCGGCCCTTTGTTGGTTTGCCACTCAGTCCGAAAATGCCGGACCAAGCATGCAGAAACCTGTGTTCGGTGGCTGAGGGTCTCCAACACCACATGGGAAGTGTCGCTCTCATTTTGCCTCAACTTCAAGAGGCATGACAGGCAATCCAGTCGCAACATGGCCAGGGGGACTTGCTCTGCATCAACTGTATCAACCTAGGCATATAATGGTGGCTGGTGCACAAGTTGCCATGTGGCCTCTTTCTTTGTGGATCACGGTCATTGTTGCCTTAATGGGTTGTGAAACTACTTAAAGGCTGAAGCGAGCTGATAGTGGACTGTGCCAGTTGTCTTTCACGTGCAACTTCTTGATGCAGCCCATCTGCAAAGAAAATGAATCGTGAATGGGTCACAAAGCGACTGTCGACGTCTTTCTACGAGTTCTATCTGACCTGTAAAACGCAGCGTCCTTGTCTCAGCCAAACCACGCACGCACCTCCAAATCCAAATCTTGACACACCTGGCTCGCCCAGCCCAAACTTTGCATTGAGCTCCCACTAAAATGGGGTCGTCTTAAGAGTTGGAATCCAAGCACAAAACACCCTGCCCCGCTCCTGCGCACCCACCCGCCCTTTGAGACAGGGCCCGGGCACTCCTGGCATCTGCGCTCGAAATCCTCGGACCCGCTGGCAACCCTCACCCAACCCGAAATTGGAAGTCGCTTTCCAATCAAAGACCTGGTTCACCTGGTCGAGCGGCTGTTGCCGAACACACTTGAAGATGGAAAGACTTGCTTTTCCTTGTTCCCTCCAATATGCCGGAAGTCAACCCTGGCGACAATCACCTGGCTGACCCAGAACCGAAAGCTCGAAACCTCCAAACAGTTGATATACCCAAATGCCCAACAAGCAGGCGCTGCGGACTGTTTTTGGTGAAGATATACCCTGCTTAGGTCTCTGCAGCTCCCCAGGCATCACCCCACCTATGCTTTTGAACTTCTTCTCAGTGACAACCATACCTTTGAGACACGTAAGCCAAAACTGGTCTTGCGCCCCAGACAAAAACGGCGCCCTTGGGGCCAGTCAGCAGTCGAAGCCGGCGGATGGCACCCGCGCTCGGGGCCCCAGCGGGCCGGCAGCTCCGAGGCGCCCGTAGAGCCCCAGGCTCTCGCAGCGCTCCAGGCCTGGCGGAATTGGGGAATTGGGGGAATTGGCCGGGGAGGTCGCCTCAAGATGTCCCAACTGTCTCTCAACTGGTGGCTGGCCAACAAATTGTGAACTTGGGCTTGGGGCATGGAACTGCGCACTTTTCGGTGTATGGGTCCAAAAGGCATCAAAGATGCTTGGCTGCCTCGTAGTCCCTGCATCCCCAGCAACGCCATCATTATCAGCATCACCAACTCCCAGCATAACCAACATCCTCGACATCTCTAGCATCCCCAGCATCCCCTCCCCAGCATCCCCAGCATCAACAATCTCCCCAGCGTCCTGTGACGTGTCCAATATCTCCGTCTCTGTCCTCGCACCCCAAACCCCAGCATCATCAGCACTTAATTTGCAAGAATTCCAGCATGCAAGGAGTTGGAACCTTCTTGCCAAAGGAGTTGAAGCTACAACCAGCAGGCCGGCCCTCGCACCCAAAGTAGCGGAATGCACTCGATGCTCCAACCAACAAGAGGCTGAACCCTGAGCCGCTGAAACAGTTGTCTCGGCAACCCAGAAAGATCGAAACCAGGACTCTCTCCAAGTGTCATTTGTGTTCCTGTCCAACTTACTTTTTTGCACACACACACACACACCCACACACACACACACACACACACACACACACACACACACACACACACACACACACACACGCGAGGTGCATCCTACAGAATGGGCGACCACCGCGAATGACCACAGCCGGCCAAAAGGGTCGTAATGTTTTTGGTAACATACGTTCGTTTCCCATGAGCGGCGAGGAGAAACCTGCCCAGCCTCCTCCAGAGGGCGACCTGGCAGTCTCAAGGGCAAATCCACAAATTTCCCATCAAAAAAAGGAAGTTGTGAATGCCATCAGGGTCCATAAATCGATGCAAGAGGAGTGCACCAAATTGAAGTCGCCCAGGTTGCTTGGTTGAGGCAATTGGCTTGGGCCGCCTGGTGACACATATCTTGACGCTGCATGCTGCTTCTTGAGGTCATGCCAAGTGATGGCCGGCCGTTTATGGAGTGGTGCCGAGCTTGTTCGCATGTAGCATGCTGTCAACTTGAGAATGACAGAGCCAGTCCAGTTTGACCAAAATTGTCGGTTTGTAAGAATCAGTGCCGTTTGGCTAATCTAACTAAGCGCGTTCCAGGCAAACAATACACAGTCATGAGCTGACGCCATGTTGCTGTCTTGATCAACTGCAGCTCCTTTGGTTTCCCTTAAACCTGACGGGACAGACCCACCGTCTGCAGGTCTCCAGCCTGATTGGTGACGCCCAGCAGTCCGAATCTGGCGGTCGAAAAGCGCAGGGGCATCTTCCCCTCTGACTCTGAAATACAGACATGATTCTGCTAATTTTGGCATATCTTACAAGCCCATTCTAATTCTATCAAGCGCTTATAGTGCATGAAAAACTAGTTGCACTCTTGACTGATGGCATCGAAGATGAGCCAAAAGGGAGGGTTCATGTTTCGCCTTTGGCACATGGCCACCGCCTCAATGTAGCCCTTACGATGCTTGAAATGATGAGTCCGCGTTGGGATAAACCGCGGGGCTCCCGGTTGTTTGGGGACTACACCCATGGGCCAGAAGCTTTGTGCAGTGCAAACATGAACCAATGATGGTGCAAGCCCAATGATTTATGCCAAACAATGCAGGATGATTAGCCAGTTGCTGCCTGTTACAGCCCATCCCTTGCCCCCCCCCTGATGAAACCTCTTGTCAAATGATCGGCACGCTCAGGCAGGAAAAAACCTCCCCTGCAGCTCCCGCCTGAGCTGGACGGGATCCTGCCAGCCGAAAGGAGAAAACTCGACGGGGCCCAAAAACAGTAATGGGAACCCAGGTTTGATAGACTGAGAGGGAGGGGTGACCCACGTAAAAGGGACTCCTTCGTTTGGGGGAACACCCCCCCAAATCCATTAGGTTGATTATACAAACCGGGGTTTGACATTACCTGCAAAACTGAGCTGTTTGGACACCCCCACTTCCCCTCTTACACCATGCTGGATGCAAACGGACCAGTGGAGGCTAGCGGCTAGCACCCTTATGCAAGCTGTTCACTTCATCTTTACAAGATCGTTTGGCGCATGACCTCAGTGGAAACATTTTTTGTCGGCGGTTTCAATAAGGATCCCTACATTCCCCAGCGCCTTTGCCAAAATATCCTGCTGCAGATGTGTTCAAACGCCATCAACTCGGGCATGTGCATTCTGAAGGTGATCACCCATTCTTTTCACCCTCCATGCTTTTGACAAACGAAAACACAATTCCCGGAGCTTCTGCCAATTCAACAAAAACAGCTTGGAGTCCGAATGGTTAGGAAGTACAGCTATTGCCTTCGAGGTGCTCTACGATCGGTTTCCTCTCTTTGCCGTATGGCCGCCAGCTTTTTAAAGCTTCCGTGCAAACCATGCCATGCGGGTGTGTCCCGACATCCCCCGCTGGGTTCCATTGAACATCCGGATTGCCCATTTTCATGCGATCCAAAGAATTCGTCGGCTTCACGCCATCTGGGCCACCCAGCGCCACGGCCTGGTCGCACCAGAAAAGGCTGCAGCCCTGCGATGCAACACCGGGCCGGGGAGAGAAACGAGCCCAATGCTGTGGACACCATCCAATTCGCACCAGTTGGTGGTTCCCAAGCCCTGCCGACCTGGTGACTTTTGGAGGGCCATCCTCTTCCCGCAAGCGTGCCCAGCAAACTTGCGTTGTAACATGCCAGTCTATTGCGCGAAAAAAGGATGCCTTCTTTGTTGCGACTTCGTCCTTCAGGGCAAATACAGGGCACCAGGGTCTCTAACTAGACCACGGTTGGCCCGAAAGCAGAACATCGCAAGCGAGGTCGGCCCAACGCTGCATCCCTACACGAAGCATTTGTGAAGCAAGCGCGAGACAGCACCAGGCAAGGTGCTCTGCGCAAACTGGTCGGTGCAAGTTGGTCTGCGCAAGTTGCTCTACGCAAGTTGCACTGTGCAAGTTGCTCTGCGCAAGTTGCTCCGCGCAAGTTGCTCCGGCAAGTTGGTCCCTGCAAGTGGCTCCCTGCAAGTTGCTCTGTGCAAATTGCGCTCCCTGCAAGTTGCTCTGTGCAAGCTGCTCTGTGCAAGTTGCTCTGTGCAAGTTGCTCTGCGTAAGTTGCTCTGCGCAAGTTGCTCTAGGCAAGGCGCTCTGCGCAAACTGGTCGGTGCAAGTTGGTCTGCGCAAGTTGCTCTGTGCAACTTGCTCTGCGCAAGTTGCTCTGCGCAAGTTGCTTTAAAATGCAAGTTGCATCTTGCGACGCCCGCCCGCGGACCAGGGAGGAATCGAACCCGCGACCCGCCGGTTCCGGGAGCAGGCGCGCGAACCACGAGACAACTCCCGAGGACCAGTTCGAACAACAAAAGTCGCAAAAACCTCGAGTTTTTGCACCTCGACCACGCCGATCCCGCAGAGGGTTGCGCGAGCACCGCAGAAATCGCAAAAAACCATGGGTTTTTGCACCTCGACCACGCCGATCCCCGCAGAGGGTCGCGCGAGCAAGAAATCGCAAAAAACCATGGGTTTTTGCACCTCGACCACGCCGATCCCCGCAGAGGGTCGCGCGAGCACCGCAGAAATCGCAAAAAACCATGGGTTTTTGCACCTCGACCACGCCGATCCCCGCAGAGGGTCGCGCGGGCATGTTGGAAATCGCAAAAAACCATGGGTTTTTGCACCTCGACCACGCCGATCCCCGCAGAGGGTCGCGCGAGCACCGCAGAAATCGCAAAAAACCATGGGTTTTTGCACCTCGACCACGCCGATCCCCGCAGAGGGTCGCGCGGGCACTTTAGAAATCGCAAAAAACCATGGGTTTTTGCACCTCGACCACGCCGATCCCCGCAGAGGGTCGATTTTCGTGTAGTGTCGTCGGCACTACCCCGCCGCCCTAAGAAGAGATTTTAACTCCTCGCAAGTCAATTGCACTTGACTCCTTGCACTTGCAACTTGCACTCGACTCCTTACACTTGCAACTTGCACTTGACTCCATGCACTTGCAACTTGCACCTGACTCCTTGCACTTGCAACTTGCACTTGACTCCTTGCACTTGCAACTTGCACTTGACTCCACGCGCAGCTCGCAATGACTCTCATGACTCCTTGCAATGACTCCTTGCAATGACTCCTTGCAATGACTCCTTCCTTGCAATGACTCCTTGCAATGACTCCTTGCAATGACTCCTTGCAATGACTCCTTGCAATGACTCCTTGCAATGACTCCTTGCAATGACTCCTTGCAATGACTCCTTGCAATGACTCCTTGCAATGACTCCTTGCAATGACTCCTTGCAATGACTCCTTGCAATGACTCCTTGCAATGACTCCTTGCAATGACTCCTTGCAATGACTCCTTGCAATGACTCCTTGCAATGACAATGACTCCTTGCAATGACTCATGAGAACAACTCAAGTGAACCCAGCGGAAGAACCCTTCCCCATGCTTTCGGGAACTAAAAACAAGTTCGGATGTGGCTTTTGTGGATGCACTCCTGCAGAATATTGAAAGAGAACCAAACGAGTACTTAAAAAGCACTAACAGGGGGAAAAATCAGTTAAAAACCACAAAGAGCGGGTCCAAACCGTTTTGTAAAGGGTCTGAAATTCTGGGCAAATGGCTATAAGTCACAAATCGGAAATAGGAATCCCCAAGTAAAAGACCTTCATCTTGGATCAGCTCGTTTTTGCCCCATGGATCGTCGAGCTCGTTAATCATTTGTCCAAACTGGGACCCTTCCCTCACTTCTTGAGCGTTGACCCGACCAGTGCGAAGCTTCTGTTCGCGAAACGGTCCAACCCCCGGGAACTCAGTTGGCCAAGCGGCTGAGAAGGTGCCCCAAGCAGCGTCAGCGGAACCTGCAGAGCCAGGGCTTGTCCCTCCTGTTCTCCACAAGTCTCCCAAAGGAACCCAACCAGCAGCACCCAGCCATGACTCGGACCTCGCCGAACATCCGCTCGCCATGCAATCTGCACATGCCACGTGAACCGTGCGCAAATCATCACGATTGGGCTTTGTGAAGAGGAACACGGATGTGTGAGCGCGTCAATGTCAAAAAAATAGTGCGTAAACAGAGGGAGTTGAAGGCAGGCAAAGAAAGAAAACCATGATAAATAGAGAGCGAGAGAGAGAGAGAGAGAGAGAGAGAAAGAGAGAGAGAGAGAGAGAGACATTCATGAGACTGGCGACTCAAAGTCTGAATCCTGCAACCAGCTTCCGCATGCGTCTTCCCTTCAGCCTGCGAGTCTTTGGCCCCCTCTTTGGCTCCCGGCACACGGGCTCCAGCGGCTCGGGCCCCTCCAGGCCGATGTCCACCCGGGGGATAGAGGAGAACTTGGCCTCGCGACGAAACCGGTGCGCTGGGGCGATCGAGTCCTCGAGTCATGTTCGTTGGAAGCCCCAAAGCTCCCGGGGGCAAAAGTCCGATTTGGGGGCTATGGTTATGGTTCCCCGAATTGCCATCGTCTACAATTCCGATTTGGGGGGGTCGTCCATGACCATCCCGAACCCCGAGCAAAGCGGTCTTTCGACCGCACACGTCTGCCTTGTTTCATCGTGTGTCCTCCCTTGTTAATTCAAATTGAAGGGAGCTTCTTGAACTGTTTGAGCCTCTTGAACACTTAAAGAAGACTGATTGCAACTGGAGCCATCCGGCTTTCTTCAATCTCCTACATCATGGGTTCTAGGTGCTGCAATAACAAGTATGTGAGGGACTGTGGGTGTCTGCGACGCCGTAAACACATAGAATGACCAGGAGGCCGAAGCAAACAACCGAAGCTTGCCTCTTTTGACTCCGTTCTCTAGTCAAAAATTATAGACTCCCATGCAAAGCCAAAAAGGGTTGGTAAAAAGGCAACCCCTGACTTGCCCTAATCCCACCCGCGCCTCCAGAACAGGAAAGGCCACCTGCGGCGCACCAGCGACCCGATCAATGAATGGGCGGCTGGCTCTCCGGCAGAAAATCTCAAAGAGATTTTTGCAGGGATCTAGCATAGAATCCCAGCTTGGGGTCAAATGCTCGTGGGCCCAGGAAATCATTCAAGGGCCCTTGTCAATCCTGTAGTATACCCATCCAAACAACTGTCTTCCCTCAACAGCTTGCTGCAATTGTTGTCATAGCGAAACCGGGGTATCAAAGGAACATTACCCAAAATTATCGCAAGGCATCACATTTGCGTGACCGACTTCAATTTGGTTGGTGCGCGGGGCCGCGCGCCTGATTGTGGCCGTCCGGAAAGATTTGGGGCACCTGGCAGCTGATACAAAGGCAAAGCACAGGGGTCGTTATGGCTCCGCTTTCGGCGTCTTTACACACCACGGTTTGGAGCAATTGTGAATAAGTTCCCTATGGGGGGAATGTGTAATGAAGAAACATCCAGAACCTCGCTATGGACTTTGTTTCCTCCTTGCTCAGAGGCCCCAACTGACCTGACCCGTGAGATCTCACGATTTTGATCGCGCCCAGTGGCCCCGAAATACAAAGGCTTGCTATGGCTATGACCTTGCGGGGAATGGAAACTGCAGCTTTTGGCCAAGCCTGGGCACACCATCAAGCTTTGACTCTTGCCCCCTGCCCCTTTAAAATGGGAGCACTCTTACATAAGTAGAAATCCTTTTGGATGGAGAGCTCACAGAGGAGAGTCAAACGATAAACCCCTCCCGCCCAACACCCGCTCCTGTCCCCCCGGCCCCATCTGCGGGGCCCCCACGCCAGTGGCTAAGCGAATGTCCAGGCTGATGCCTGGACATAGAATCGACGGCCCTTAAAAATGAAATGCTGTCAAGAACTCCCAAAGGGTCCGACTACTCGATGTGTACGCGGAGTTGTTACGAGGTCTTGGGATCCTCTGTCTAATAGCCAGAGAAACACCTCCGAATGCTCCCACAGAAATGCAGGGACTCTTTTTTACCATCCCATCAACGGGCTCCCTTTCACAACAGCAGAGAGAGAGAGAGAGAGCGAGAGAGAGCGAGAGAGAGAAAGAGAGAGAAAAAGAAAGAGAAAAAGAAAGGGAATGAGAGAAATAAAGCGAGAAAGCAAGAAAGACCGACAGACTGAACAACGTGAGACCTGCCGTCCTTCCCTCTACAGCAACCGGCGTTTCTTTTACTTCCAGGACAACCGTGCAGTGCTTTGATACGCATTTCCCCCGCAGGGCCGCCTATGCCGAAGAGCACCATGAAAAGCGCGCTGAAAATCACCACCACCGAGGGGCCTCGGGCGCTCGAGACTGGCATGCCAGGCGTGCTGCCTCCAAAACCCGGGTGCCGGGGGCGGAAAACTTCGATGTGGCGATCTTGTTCACGGTTGGAAGATCCGAAAAGTGGGGCTGCGACCGTTTCGGCTGCTAACGTTGGCCGAGGGAGATGTTCGCGGCCGAAACAGGCCGGGGGAAGTTGTTCGCGGCCGAAATGGTCTCGACCCGAAAAGTGATAGACCTCGTTGCCCCTGTACGTGATGGTCGGCAAAGGGTCCCCAATTCAAACTCATTCCTATATGCACTGCTTGGGCTTCCACACTTCATACGCAAAAAGAATGTCATGCCCAAAGCACACTCACTCCGTGTCCAATGCCCACTACATGGCTTGGAGTCAGGCATGTGTTAAGACTTGGCATTTCGGGCGGGTAGATGCGTCAAACAGATGTGGGCGGAAGGCAGAAGACAGAAGCGCAAGGTGCCTGGCTAACACCACGGCACGAGTGCTCTTTGATCAAGGAGGTGGGATGCCAAGCGCTGTGGCATTTCCAGAACACCACCGTCTGCCCCAGAGTTCACATCATTTGGGGAAATCACTGGGTGCCTTGCACCAAATGCGGTGCTCCATCCTCCCCCAAGAATGCTCAAAGCGGGAGCTATGGCTAGGAGGGAGGGAACCGCATACCTGGGCCGCAGGCAGAAGGAGACGCGCTTCACAAGTGCCCGGAGGTACGACCTCGTCAGCCTCACGCCGCGGATGGGGAAACAGGGTTGCTCCAGGGTTCCCCCTCTTTGAAGTGTTGACACATTCCTCGATGGGTCCATTTATGTGCCTTTCAAAAGAAGGCACCAAAGGAATGCCGTTTTTGCCAAGTCCTAGCCCCTTGCTGAGCAACTGAAGGGACATTGGATGTGTTCGCTCAGGGGGCCGGGGGTCGGTGAGCAAACCCTGGGGTAACAACAGGGCAAAAAGAGTAGCAACAGAACCATCGAACGCGAATGACAATGGACTCTTCTCTGCGCACCTAAAGTTACAAGTGTCAATTGCTTCAGGAAGCCCTGGAATAGGTGCATTGCATGTACTGAAGAACAGACACTGCCGCCGGCACACCAGGCAACCCCAGCCTGGAGCAACGCTTCTCCTTGAGCTTCGGCGCGGGCGCCTGCCCGGGACAAGAGGAGTCAGGGACCCTTGGTAACAAAGGAGACGTAATATTCTCAGATTCCCTCAGCGTGAAACACCTGCCCTCCAACAGTCAGGAAAGCTGACGATGCTACTTTTCCTTTTGGGGAACTGCCCGGTCCACTTCCGTTATTGTTGGAAAACGGGTACGTGTCTGTCGAGAGAGGATGACGACCTCGCGGTTGCTGTTTGCAGAAAGTCACCAGGAACCCAACATGGGTCCACAGTTCTGGGCAACATGAAAGATACGTTGTTGCTTGCGATAGTCTGAAAAAGGTTTTGAGGTCGGCTAAATTTGAGCAGTCCCCGCATGGTGCAGCTCCTTCAACAGAGAACAAGCGAAATCGGCGCATTTCCTTCAAGGCTAGCCCTTGAGAATGAACAATGACTCTAGACTTCCCTAAGGCTCTCTAGAGCAACGATCAATCTCTAGAGCAACGATCAATCACGATATCCCGGTGATTCCAGCCACGCACAACACACCGCGTCTTCCTCTCTAAAAGAATCAGCCAAGCCCAAACGCTGACAATCCTTCGAAGCGGGGCCACATGTGTCCAAGCAAATCAAGGAAAGAAGCCCACCAAAACAGGACAAGGCCTGACTCCAAGAGCTACGCAAGGAAAAACACACACCAAAAACAACAAAAGACCACCCCACCCAACCCCACCCAACCCCACCCAACCCCACCCAACCCCACCCAACCCCACCCAACCCCACCCAACCCCACCCCACCCAACCCCACCCCACCCAACCCCACCCCACCCAACCCCACCCAACCCCCCGCACCTTCGGAGGCACAACCTCGGCCTTGGGACAGGTGTTTGCCGTGCGAGCCAATGGCAACCTCCCACAACATACTTCTCGTACGATTTCTGTTAGCATGGTGAAACTATACTCAAAACCAATACCATCCTCTCACAGCTGAAACTACTTTCCACAATATGAGCAGCTCCCCCTGATTGTTGGATTGTGCTGGATGGATTGTAGCTGTCTCATAGTCTGGCATCCACTACACTTGTAAATAGGACAAGAGCTCCCACTCCCAAGAACTGGGGACCACAAAAAGCAATGCCTGTGGGACATTTGGTGCTTTTGGGCATCGGGAGAAGGGCTCCCTTGATCTCCGTTCAGTGCCAGGATGGGACACCCCAAATGCCCCTCTTTCGATCTTCTTCAGCCCCTCGTTCTCCAAATCTGATCAAACTGCAATAGAACGATCCTGTTTCCAGCTGCCTCAATGCAAGCCATGCCCATATGCCCAGTCACCAGCTGCCGGCTGCCATCCTCTCAGACTCAGATGCCCGGCCGGCACAATGGCGAACGGCTCTGCCGGCACCTGGCGAGAGCCCTCCCAAATAGGGGGCTGTGGGGGTTCCTTTCTTTGGCTGTTGAAATGGTTCCAGGCAATATCGAGAGAGCACCACAGTCATTCACGCTAGAATTTGTTGTTATGTGTTTTCGTTTTTTTGCCGGAAGAGGATGCCTGCAAAACGGGTGATAGTGTGGCTTCTGCATTGCATTGCATTCAATACACCAGACCGAAAGTGCCGGTTGAAGGCCTTACAGGTCGAAAGATTCTCTTGGGTCTCCAAGCCCTCACGTCCACACGATCTCATCCGTGCGCAAGAATCCCGGGAGGCCATTCCCAAGGCCTGCGTGGGGCTGGGAACCACCTTCTGCCACCGCGACTGGATCACCAGCATGGGCCTAGAGCCAAAAGGGCCCCTCTGGTGGAGCTCGCCTGAGAGAAGGGCCAAATAGGGTACGACCTTGAGGATGCGGCTTTTGGAACCCTGGAGATTGGGGCAACACAGTCTGTTGTGGTCTGGGCTGGCCAGGAAAGGAGAGACGCAAGATGTACATGCGTCCTTTAGTAGAGCGTGTCTGCACTTAAGAAGCTGAATAAGTATCTGGAACAGAAGACTCTTCATGTTCAATGTCTGCCTCTTATGGAAAGGCTAGCGACATGAAGTCAAGCAACTGTGGCTCGCTCATTGATATGTTTATCTTGAACCAACTCCATTGCAAGCTCGAGGACAAGCCGCTAGTCGCGTTTAAAGCATGCGGCAAGAGCAAGATAGCGTTCCGGCAACCGGAGAACTAATCATGTCAGCCCGCAGCAATTCTCATTCAATGTCGGCTTGTTCGAGCCCTGAAAGCCTCCGTTTCAGCACCCATCTCGACCTTGGGTCCCCCACGGCAGGTAAAGGGTGATGAGCACCTGGGACCGAGAAGCGTCTCACGGAAACCAATGGGACATGCGGCGCTAATTTCAATGGGGACCCTCTGGTGGACATCATTTAGGTGAGAAGTTTATGTCCGCCCACCACTTTGAAGAGTAGTCCGCATTGAAATTCGTGCCTATGGCCTATGAGGGATTCCCTTGGCATCACAGAAACTGGGCCCTGAAATCCCAATTTGCCACAACCGAAGTCTTGCAGGCCTGGGAGGAGACCCTCGTTCCATCAATGGAATCAACTGAAATCTGTCTTTCCTCCCAGGTGAGATCCCTGTGACCCATGCTGTTCCTCGTATGTTCTGATGAAACGTATGAACGGACTTGCGCCTCATGTCCGTTCAATGTGGCAATGTGGCAATCACGCAAAAGTAACCCAATACTTGTCTTTGGAATGAGATTTCGAGGCAACCCAACTTATTCCTGGCGCGATATTTCGAAAGGGCCATCTACACATGTATGCCAGTGTTGCCACAAGTGCTGGCAAGGAAAAGGCTGGCAAAGTGAGAGAGGCAGCATTGAGAATACTTACACAAATTTCAACACGTCCGTCAACAACCCCCGCATCTCATGGGCATGCCACCAAAAAGCCATCGCCGCAAACCACACAGCAGGATGTACATCAATTGCACGTGCCTGTCAATAAGAACTGAAAGCCTGCCCAGTGCAGCCGCGCAGCGAAGACCCATAGGACGCAAAGGCCTCGGCCAAAACAAAGTGTCGGCGCCAGCCCGAGAAAAACATTAGCAGCTGGATCTCAGCAGGTCTTGGTGAGACTGCTTTCTATTGTCCTGTTGGCGTTGTGAGATGTTGTGGTGACCCACTGCAAACCCCAGACCAACATCAGCGCTGTTCAATGAGGCGAACATGATGTTCCCATGGTTGAAAATGGGTTTCTTGCATCCAGCATGGCAAGTGAACGCTGACCAAGTCCCGAGTACATGTCTGCGGGACTTTGGCTCAAGGTTCATGGTAACCCTTGAGCAAAAAAGTGGGGGTTTATGGGGGTCTTCTCCAACCAAAAGATGAAGTCACGTGTGCCAGTCAAAACTCTTTTTGTGGGCCGTGCAGAAAGGGGAAAACTAAGGGGACACCACCCAAGTAGGGATTCCCCCATAAACTCATTGGGGGGCAAAGGGGCTCAGAGCGCGTGGATTCTGGTCAACGGCAAAGAAGTACTCCTGGAACAAGCGCTAAGACCAGCATTCGCCAAAAGTATCGCTCAAAATTTATAATATATTCTTGCACATCCCAGTCGCCCGAAACTCCAATTGTCCGCCAACATCCCGCCGCAGCATCCCCCACCTTTCCAGCAGCAAAAAATCAGTATGCACAACATCCCCAACATTGCCAACATCAGCAACATCCCCAACATCCGTAGCATCTCCGACATCCCCATCATCCACCGCAAGCCTGCACCCACCTTACAACATCTGACAAGATCCACGGCCAGCATCTGTTGTTGATTCAAGCTGACACCTGAGAAGCAGATCAACGGAATAAGCAGCTTCTCTTGAGGTGGGCCAGCCACCATTTGTGGAGGTCAAGCCGCCCTTTCCGGAATCTAGACGAATCTGCCAAGCCCAAGTCAGACCATCCATGGTCTGTATTGCACAGCTAGCATACACAACCAGGGAAAAGCGGAGCACATGTCTGTGAGCCTTGCCACAAGCGTGCATGTGTCTTTCTGAAGTCTTGTGTCCACTTGTGATGTTACCTGTCCCAGCCACCAATCCAATATGCATCTCCCCCCAACCTCTCCAAGCCCCACTCCACTCCAAGCTACCCACCCACCACCCACCCAACCCACCCACGCCACTAACTCATCTACTCAATCAACCAGCAACCACCACCCCACCCCCCCCCACCCCACCCCCCCCACCCCACCCCACCCCACCCCCACCCCCACCCCCACCCCCCCTCACCCCCACCCCACTCCAGCTCTCCAACCAACTTATCGACCAACCGACCACCCAACCAACCAGACGCGCGCGCGCGCACACGCAAACCAACCATACGAAGCTGAGCAGGCAGGCCCATGAAGAATCCGAACTCCCGCAGCGGCTGCAAGACCTCGGAAGGCCGGGAGCAAAACTGAGCGAGGCCAAGCTGGCTTGATGCTCCCCTTTAATGCAACCTGGATCACAGGATCCATAAGAAAAACCACTTTGGTGGACAAGATTCATTAACATCCTTCTTGGAAGCCCGCTCCGCAGCCAATGCCTGAGCATGATCTGAAGAACATGCCGTCTGATCTGCGTCAAGAGAGTTGGGACACAAACTACCCCCCCCTCTCTCACACTATGTTTGCTCATCAGGGCTTAATGCTTAAAAAAGAACGAAAACAGACTGGTGAAGAGCCTATCTGACAAACAATAGAGGATGTTTTAAATCAGGGCCGCCATGTTGTTCCACCAACAACGACATGTAGCAACCCCTGGGCGCTATCTGTCAGTGGACGTTCATAACCTTGATTTCTTCGTGGAATATTTCAGCTTTGATGGATGGGCTTCAAGTGGGCTGAATTTGGGCCGTCGTGTTCCATGAAACCGGATAGGGCGTGACATTTTCTTCCAAAGGACGCAGCCGAAAATTCAACATCCGGTGTCTAAAGCAGTGAAACCTGTGCCAGGCTCAAAAGGAGAAAGCCCAAAAGCCCTGTCCCGCACCCGCAATAATGTGGTTCCTTCTTGAGGGTGCCTTTCCGTTGCTTAAACCGGAAACCCCTTGGAGACAACCCACAAAACCATTTCTCACCTGGGGACTTCTTCGGGCGCCCGGCGCTGGCGAGGTTCGCCAGGAAGCTGGCAGCAGTGGTCAGCGAGGTCGCCAGGCCTGAGCGGGGGGTGTCAAGGTGTACAGGATGTGGCCTCAGTCAGCCAGGGGCTGGTTCATTGGGCATGACTGCAATTCACAAACCGGAAATCAGGAATCTCTCCCAAAATAAAGGATCCTGACGGGTGAATGGGTGAGCTTGTCTTACCCCGAGATTGGTGAGCTCCGTGAAGTCTGCCCGAGCAAAATAGACGTCTACACTTTGCGAAAAGTCTATCAATCTAAAGCCTAAAGGTCTAGAAGTCTTCAAGACTACAAATGTAGAGCCTAAAAGTCATAATTTCAAAGGGTATGGCTGGGTACCGCCAAGCTTATGCTGCATCTTAGCTTCTCTGCAACAGCTCCCCGGATGAAAGCGGTGAGCTTCTACGCATGTCAAAATTGGCAGAGTGCTCGGCAAGCCAAGATTGAAATGCGCAGCTCGGTTCATACCTCTCCAGGCAGCTCCGAAATGTTAACTAGAATCAGTCCGGATGATCCTAGTGGAAACACCTCTGACAAATCTGGAGGAATTCGCAAAGCCCCAAGTGGGCACTTGGAAAATCGCACAACCAAGATCATGTTGAAGCCTTTGGCTTTCACATGATGCAGCACCGGCGGGGTGCGGCGTTGGAATACGTCTGCTGCATGTCTTGCTTGCGCAAAGCCGTCCAGTGGAATTGTGGCCCCTGGCCTGTCTGCCGCACCTGCGTCGCAAGATCCCCGAAGATCACCGGGTTAACGTAGGGCCCAAACTCCCGCACCAGCAGGGCACTCACGACGACATCCTGCTCGCTCTCCACCAACCACTCCAACCCATCCAGCCCAGAGAAGTTTGGATCGAAGGGTGAGTCATTGGGCCAGTATTTGTTGCCCAAGGTCCCCTTCTGGATCGTGAAAGAGCCAGGTCGCACCCTACACTGCAAAACAAGCTGCGCCCAGTGGTCCGGAGCAATTTCCACAAACTCCGCATAGACGGGGAAGGCCGAGTATTCGATAGCAGGGCTCAGGTAGATAGTGCGCTGGCTCGTGCTGTATGCTTGCCCATGTGCCACTCGGATTCTTGCAGGACCCCCCGGGCGCAGCAAGCCAGCCGTGAGGATGGACAACATATTCTGACTGCACGTGCCATGGTAAGCAACACACCAATCTTCACATGGCGAACGCATCCGAACTGCAAATCGCAGCCAGCCAGACGGCTTGTAATACTCATGCCCCCCTCTCAGTCCATAGGACCCCGCATTGGGCTTGGGCGCGTAGTAGCGCGAAAAGTCTGGCAGCACCAACTCCAAAACCTTCTGACAGGATGTTGGATTACTGTAAAGTCGCTGAAGCAAAAGCCCCAGAGTTGTGTAATGAAGCGGAAGTTCAGCTGAAAGCATCGCCTCTGTCAACTTGGACTCTGGTAGCTCCTCGTTTTGTGGTCCTGATGCCTGGCCAGTCACCTGGCTGCGCTCTTCAGTTGTCTTGGGCGCTGCAGCCGTGCGCTGCACTGGTTTGCAACGCGGCATGGGCTTTGCAGCCGTGGGCCGTGCTGGCTTTTGTGTCAGCAGCTCGCCATTCTGCGACTTGGGCGTCTCAACCGTGGGCTGCGCTGGCGTTGCCAGCAGCTTGTCTGTTGGCTTGGGCGCCGTAGCCAGCTTGCCCTTCATTGGCTGGAACTGCCCTACCTTGGTAATCTTGCTTTGCATGTCCTGGACAATGTCTTCCGGAACGCCACACTCCCTGGCTGACTTGCAGATGCGCTGGGCGAGGAAGGCGTTGCATGGGCCTGAGGCATAGAACAAAAATAGGAACCTCTGGTCTGTGCTGACCCCCGCCCAAGCTGGAACAGTCAACCAACATACGACAAGTTGCCCTGTCAGGAACCCACTTCCATTTCAAGAGGCCCGTAAGCTCGAGGTCAAATAGGGAGGCATGCGTTCGAACACAGGGGCCGGCACAAGTCAACTCAAGCAAATCACATCAAATTTAGGCTGACGTACGCAAGTTATTCAGGCCACACCTTCCAGCAACAAGGATTCCAAGACAAAATCAACGGAGTTTCAGCGGCTCCTCGCCTTGGGCGCTGACTTTGTCCAAAAGGCTTTCCTCTGCAGCCTCACGTTTGACATGTTCCAGCTCTCTCACCGTGCAGCCCTTCTGCAAAGCTCCTTGGCAGCACGCTTCCAGTTGCACCATGCTTGTGCCATTCAAAATGAAGGAGCGAACTTGGGAGCGAACTTGCAACAGGCCCTGGCATTTGCGGCTCCTTACAACTCCGGCTTTGTGGTTCAAACTATCAACATGGTCCAAGCTATGTTGAGGAGCTTTGTCCGCTGGCGTGTACTGCCCCGGCGTTGCCATTGCAGACTGCTCAAGCGTGGGACGAAACAGGAAGCCTGCATCTCAACCCTGAACGCTGCGAACATATGAGATCACGCAGGATAGATAGGCACCTGAAACTGTGCGAGGCGCTCCCACGACAAAGGAGTAAGTTGCAGGCATCCCTAGCACACATCACCCACATGCAGAACCTTGTGAGAGCGCAGAGTGCGGAGGCATCGATCCTGCTTCTTCATCCCTGGCTTCCCTTCATCCCAGAAGCTGAACGCTTGTGCTCAAAACTAGGGGACCCCCATAATGGTTGGTCTTCTCTTTTTTGAGGATAGCTCTCACCAGAGGGCAAATGTGGGTGCTTTTTGCTTTGAGGGTAACTTTTTGATGGGGTGTTTCAAAGAGAAGCCCAAAGAATCTTGTAACGAAGGCCCAGAAACCAACCCATGTTGGGAGCTCCCCCTAACTTGGAGACAAATCCATGTGCCATGCGCAAGTCTGGAACAAGCTCCCCACGATGTCGCCAGGCTGGAAAATCGTGTACCAGGTTTGAAGTTCTTGCAAGGTGCAATTGCAGCAGCATGAGCCAAGATCCGGGGTTGAAAGTCCTCGTGTAGCAACCCCACATTCAGAAACTCGAGACTCACTTCCTTGTAGTCAGCCCTCGGGCGTGACCAAGGGGCAGCCCGTGTGGTCCGGTGAAGCGCTCGTGGGGTGCGTCTCATGTCCAGCAAGTCAAATGCATACAGTATGACTGACTGTCATTTGCTTGCCGGTTCTCAGCGGGGAATAAGGTGATCATCCTTGTGGCTTCCTTAACGGGAATGCCCAAGTTCATTCAATTGGGGTTCCCTTTGGACTCCGTTGGAGGATAGTCCCACTGTCGCAAGCTGCGGCGGCCCGGTGGCTTCTTGACGGAAGGAGCTAACTATGCTTGTCCCCAAACAGAGAACAACCAGATTGGGTGGTTTCCTCTTGGCGGCCCTTTCAAGCAACCCGAAACAACTTTTCTCGGAGACAAATCAAAGCTGCGGACTCGTGGGGCAGACCTGAATTGGCGGGAGGGGTAGATCGAATAAACCTAGCATCGTAGAGCACGTGGCTTGGAACTCCTTGGCTTTGCTTGCCGGCATTCGCATGCTGGCTCTCCTCAAGAAGAGCATGTTGATCAACAAGTAGTCCCGCGGTCGAGACATGTCTGGCCAAAACCAATCACTTCATTCCCTACTCAGGATGAAGCTCACAGCTGGCCTCTCACTCAGCGCCCAGCAGTTGGTGCCTGCAGACATCAGCACCACTGCCACTCGCTCGTCCTTAGCTGAGGAAAGAACCGATCCGGATCGTGCCAGCAGAACTCCCCCGCAAATTAGCAGGAGGAAACCCAAAAGCAGGGCCCTACTTTTTGGGGGTCAACTTTCTGGGTTCCATCTTCATTATCGGGCCCATTGTTGCAAAACAAACTTTTGGTGGCTTGCAAACTTCTCAGCAATATGCACTGCGAAGACAACGAGGGCACCCGATCGGAGAGAAGCATTGAAGAATGTCTGGATTGCATTGTTGTGTTGCCACGGGACGGCCCTTTTGCTTGCCTTTTGAGCAGCTGACTCTGGTGGAGTGGGAATTCTGATGCTCATCCTCTCTCACATCAAAAACAAATGATTCATGAATGTCGGCAAAACCCGACGATCTACCTACCATGGGTACAAATCACAAAACCTGCTGACAGATCCACCAGTGTCCCGGGGCATGTTTGTTTGGGCTTTGAAGCTCATCTGAAGGTCCGCTTGCCACGAAGAGCAAGACATTTCAACCTTCAGGCCAGCACTTTTGAACTCTGCCACATCGTTTTGCAAATGTTGCAAAGATAGTGAGAAGCGGCTCACACTCCCTATCATGGGGCTGTAGAGCATTGCCTGTCGCTTGCCCAATTGCATGCCACAAACACTGCAAATAGGAGGAAATCCTGGAGGTCACTGCATTGTACCGTGGATCCAAAAGAGAAGAAGCACGGAATGGCTGGCGTAGCTGACAGCTTCCGACAGCTTCCGCAAGACCGCAAGACCCGGGCTCCCGCGCCAAGGGGCGGTGGGACTCCTGGCAGGGAACCGCAAGCCGACGGAACCAGGTCCAGTCAGACCGGCCAAATGGGCAGCTCCAGGGAAAAAGGGGCGGTGTTTGAGGGCCCGGCTGGTGCCAGGGTAAACACCCTGGCAAAAAGTGAGCTCGAAAAAAAGGGCATTCCAAACTGCGCAAGCGGTGTATCAAAGAGGATGGTTGGCGGAGGCTTTGTACTGCTGCCTCTCAAAGGGGTCGCTTCCCCAAGCATCCGCTTGGAGGGGGTTAGAAGAAACCTGAGAGGTCGCAGAGCTTTTCAGTTATTCCAAAGCAACAAGATGGCAGCGTGAAAGCCTTCAACCGGTTGGTTTTGTGGCACTTGCTTGTTGAAATCAAACCAAACCAAACCGAGTCTCCAGTTTGACCAATGCTCAGATCTCGTCCATTTATTGCCCGGCTGGGATATATACCACATTTGGGTCCAGTTACCGCTGCCTGGCGGCTGACTCCACCGGATCTCACAGCGGTCATCAAAAATGGATCTTGTTGACAGCTATTCAGGGTCCCCATCATTCTCTTCAATCGTTACTCAGTAAGGAAGCTCACTTACTGGCAGAAAAGCTGGTCCTGTACAGAGGCCTTTCTGCAACCCTCATAAAGCCAGGTAACAGACTACCTACCAACTCTACTAAAATGGCCGATGACAAATCGATTTTGGGCGCTGATCCCAGTTGGACCGAAAGGCGAAAGAGTTTGGCCAAATACAGGAGCACGTCAAGGACGCCAGCTTCAAGCAATGAGGAGAGGCCCACACAGCTTGGGCAGCAAACAAGCTCAGATTTGCTCGGCATTCAGATTGGGCACATCTATCTCCCAATGTAGATCAAGGACCTGCCAAGGCCTTTAGCAGCACCCCCCATGCCCCAGTGGCAAGCGGCCTGGTCCCAGAAGTCTGCGTACACGAAGACGGTATCGCTGCCTTCGAATCCAACCGGAGAAAGCACCGAACGCCCCTCTCAGTGAGCCAGCCTCTTCTCCCAAAAACTCGGAAATCCAAAGGATGAGCCGCACCCTCCAAAAAACGGTGGCCATGCTGCCCTCGGGGTCTCAAGCTTCACACAGGCCTTCTGGGCTGCAACTGGTCGGCAGTGGGCAACTACTTGTTTGTTGGAGTTTCAAACCCGGGCGTCAGTTTGTGCCGCCTTCAAATGCGGTGGCGCCATCATTTCGGCCACCTTCTTGGTGCATGGCGGGGAATATGCAGGAACTTTCACACTTTTTAGGGGATCCCATAACAGTCCCACAAAAACATCGTTTCATCCTCAAGGTGTTCCTGTCTTTGTAAAGTGGGTCCTTCCATTTGTTCAAACGATTTTCCTCAATCCCCAAAGGAAGTCCCTCAGATTTTCTAACCAAGAACAGCAGCGTTCCACCGGACACCCCCCCAAGGACACGGATCCGCGGACCAAGATCCTGAGATTGCTGGGCCCCTAGCCAATGCCCACCACCAAAAAGAGCGCCAGGAAGGAGGTGATCTTGGCCCAAAAGGCGAGTCAGGTGAGAACCTATAACGAGCGTGAAAACCTAACAATCCATCTTTAAAGAGTAAGAACTCTACGACGAACAACAAATAGAACAGCCAAGCGAGTGGATAGAATGCGACACCCCTTCTTCACTAACGAAGGGTTCACTAATCCTGGGTGAAGTGGACAGGGAGGACACAAGTGTTCCAGCACAATCCTGCCAGCTTCCACGATTGCTGGAAAGAGGGTGACAAACCCTGTTGACTCTGGATGGAGGTGACCCACTCTGAGTCATATGTCCATCTGATGATGTGCAACCTTTGGCGGAAACAGGGCAAACACTGCATTGGGTCTAGAGAAGATCCTTTTCTTTTGAGGGAGACACTTCTGCCTGGAGAAAAAGTGAACTGTGGATATGTTCAACCAGGTCGATGACAAAGGACCATCCCTCTATTCATTCGCAATTGCAAGATCCTTCGCTTTTTGGGCGGGAACCGCACCTTCCCCAGGTTCACTCAGCCAGGGTTACCTAAGTGTCCTTTTGGACAAATGAATGGCACTGGCAAATCATTCAAAGTTCAACCAGGTGCCTATCTTCAACCAAACTGACTCAAAATGGACTCTCATGTGGGGTTAGTCTTGACCCGCCCGGCCAAACGCGCTTGACTCGCGCAGAGAGTGCAACTCAGCCCGCGGCCGTCAACTTCTCCGCGGGCGTCAGCACCTGTGAGCAACTGGCCGGGGCCGGGGGGAGGGCGGGGGGGGCCTTTGGCCAAACGACTGGCTGCACTCCAGAAGCTTCAAAAGGCGTCGGTGTTTGGTTCTGTTTCGGGTCAACCGAATGGCCCCGACCACAAGGTAAACAAAGGCTCTCGGGAAAAAAGTGCTTTGTTTGGGAATCCCATTTGTTCATGGTGAATTGTGATGTGTGCAACTCATTTCACTTCTGGCCCGAAGCCCCCCATTTGCCACTGTCCTCCTCCCTTGGGCGTCCCCGCGTAGGCCACCGGCAGCGCCAGTAGGATCACCAGGAGGCCTTGGAGCGAGGGCTCTCCAGGGACACTTGGTTGACGTTGGAAGGGGGAGCAAAAATTAGCAGTTAAGTGGGGAGTTCCCACTTAACCACAATAAGCAAAATGTAAAACGTATCCCAACAACAACCATGGATGGTTGACCGACCCGCCAAGCAAAGCCAACAAGCAAGCCAACAAGCAAGCCAGCGAGCAACCAAGCAGCCAAGCAATCAAGCAGCCAAGCAATCAAGCAATCAAGCAGCCAAGCAACCACGAGACCGAGGTGAATCATCAAACTAAAGGTTGGCGCACTAGGAACAAAGTGGGAGGGATGACAATGTCGAAAATCAGCGAGTCAAGGATAGAGGCTAATCCCACCCGTGGATTGAGCCATCAACTTCCACCTCACAAGTTCTGGCCAACTTGCAATGGACTGCACTGAGTCCACCGCACAGCTCCCTGTGAACCAGACAACACCTTCTCCTCACAATCCAAGACAACACTGCTTTTTGGAGTAATATCCATATCTTCTTGCCATATCCCGGGTCCTTAGATCGGGGACCCCCTGGTGAATGAGCAGGGGCATTCCCACTATTCATGGGGCACGTTCTTTGGCCGCGGGACGCCCCAACTCTACCGCCTGATCCCACCGTCACGCTTCGCCCCGGGCTGAAGACGCTAAGCCACAGCGCTTGGAGTTGGAACCAAAGGCCTGACAAGCGAAGCCAAGTCAAATCGCGGCTCCATCGTGGCGGCCAAAGAGAAACTTACCATTGGTGAAGAGCTGCTAGGCACGTCAAGGTGTGGCCTCTAACCCAGGGCGGTTTTGCTGGAAGCTCTAAAATAGGAAAGTCTCACAGCAAGCGAGCAAACAAGTAGGTGGAGTCTTCAAGTACAGAAGGCGTAGAGTACACAACTTGCGGGTCCTGACCTCCTTGTTTGTTTCAGGTCTGAAGGAGACCCAGGTGTGGCAAATCACAATGGTGGGCGACACCTCTGCTTGTTCCGGTACAACTAACCAACCAACCAACCGGCAAACAAGCAAACAAAGTAAGTCGCATTAACAATTGTGTTGTTACCTGCCTGTTGTTTATTGCACGTATGGGCTCCACGTCATCTCCAGGACCGGTTGACAACAGACAACGCAGTTGAGTAGTAGGGCTTGCCATACGCCAGCCACTGGCTTGCTCTTCACTCCAAACAGGGAACCCCAAGATGGGCACTTCCTCCGTTGTTTCTCTTGAAAACAAGTGGTCTCAATAAAAGGTACATGTTTTGCCGTTGGTTCCCTTTGACCTCAGCAATTTCGAAAATTGAGCGAGCCCCAGGCAGAGCAGCACCACTGCCACAGAGCCGATGGCGAAGAGCAGGTCGCTCTGCAGCGTGTCCACTGGGCGCCGGCTTCGGCTGCGCCGCCCGATGTCCGATTTTAGGTTTAAGGCTGATGGACGAGTCGTGTTACACGAGCGTGTGTTTGTGTGTGTGGGTAATCCTATCTGTTTGCCGACTTGTAGTGAAAAGACTACTTTGGTACGGACGACAACCGTGGACCAAGCTCAAACCACCCATCTGCGAGCTTCCCTTGCTGCTGCAATCAAATGTCAGGGAGGTGGCACGCAATTGCGACGGCTTGTGGGAACTTCCCTTGCTTGCTAGCCAACGAAGCCAAGAAAAGCCAAGTATAAGGAGCATGCCAGTCTATATTCATAGCAAGCGAATCGTCAGACGGGATCCAAAACCCGCCAACAGCGGCTCAGGTGGATGGGTCTTGCAAAAGCCAACAGGTTTGGCACGGCGTCGAGATTGGTGTTCCACTCTCTGAATCGCTCTCAAACTGGTTTCGGGGCATTTGCTGAAACACATTGGAGTGAATTCGGGGACAAATGCGCTCCTCTTTGCTGGTTCTTCACCTCGCTACTCCTGTTCTCTTCTCCGCAACCGCTGAATACTTGGTGTTTCTACTCTCCTTGTCCCACAGAAACATGATGCACGGAGGGTTCCAGAACCGCTGTGCCACTGGCCGCTGGTTCGGAGCTGTGCTTCAGTGCAGCTGGCTTATTCTGCACTTCTCCCGTGGGGGAACGAGCGGATTGAACAGCTGTCTTCGTGGATTTGGTAGGGCCAGCGAGCTTCAAGCGAGGCATGGCCTCACCCATCAACAAACTTGGTTGGAGTATGCCACGATGCCCAAGCAATGCCAAACCTTCCGACCCCTGGTCAAGCGAGCACACCCTTACAGGGCCCGCACGCAGTTCTAGAGAGGTGAGGTAATCCCCGGAGTAGCGGACGTCCACCCCGGTCGTGCCGGCACGTAGCAGCGGGTACACCCTCAGCAAGTGGGGAACGAGAAACACTGACAAAGGATGGCCAGGCGACACTGTCATTTTTGGCAGTCGTAGGCAAACCCTGTGGCCATTTTCCAATGACCCAACCGATCTCGGATGGGGTGTTTCTGCCAAAGTGATCCGGATCTCCTCCAAAATGGAGGGACTCCCGACTGGAAATAAGGGAAGCCCCAAGCAACCTTCATCCTAACATACCCCTTTCACCCACAAAACAAATCGGAGAGCTGGCTTTGAAAAATAATTGGGTTCAGAACACTGGATCATGGGCTCATCTTCGGGTAAATCGCTCGTTTTACCCAAAAAGAATCGATGGGCTCCTGTGTCCAGAGAGTCATGGGTTTGCCGAATCATCGCCCCCCATAGTTCTCCGGATCTCCAAAATAGGCATTTGGCACACTCAATCAACCACTTCATTCATGAAGTCACCGACTTTGTCAGCTTCCGCCTAGTTGGTGGTTTGGATTGGTGGGATTTGAACCCCAGGACGTTTTGAAACCAAATGGCTGTGGCTCAAAAACATGTACCAAAATAACAATTTGGTACATGGAACCAAAGCCTAAAACCTGCGTAACCCAAGCTCTTCAATTTTGAGCCACAGCCAAATGGGGAAGGTAGGCATCTGAGCTCCTGCCTGCCTTCCGGGGCCTCGGCTCCTCCCGCACCACCCGCGCCCAGGTCTCCTTGGATCTGCCTCGGCTCGCTCCGGGATTCATTGAGGGCTTCGAGCTGAAATCGGGGGAACCCCAAAGATCGAGGAAAAATAGGGAGTTCCAAAGGCTAGGGAGCTAGAAAGAACATCCCAACATGTAGGGTTTCCCGTTGGATTCCCGTTGGATTCCCCTTGGTTTCCCCTTGGTTTCTCTTTGAACCAACCTCCTCCAAAAGGGTACCCCTCACAAAAACAGACACACGCACACACAAACACACACAGTCGCAGACGCAGACGCAGACAGAGACACAGACACAGACACAGACACAGACACAGGCACAGGCACAGGCACAGGCACAGGCACAGGCACAGGCACAGACACAGACACAGACACAGACACAGACACAGACACAGGCACAAACACAGGCACAGGCACAGGCACAGGCGCACAGGCACAGGCACAGGCACAGGCACAGGCACAGGCACAGGCACAGACACAGACACAGACACAGACACAGACACAGACACAGACACAGACACAGACACAGACACAGACACAGACACAGACACTGACACAGACACAGACACAGACACAGACACAGACACAGACACAGACACACACACACACACACACACACACACACACACACACACACACACACACATACCTGCACGCACGCACGCACGTGCACCCGCACGCACCACGCGCACGCACGCACGCACGCACGCACGCACGCACACGCACCCACCCACCCACACCACACACACACACACAACACACACACACACACACACACACACACACACACACACACACACACACACACACACACACACACACACACACACACACACACACACACACACACACACACACACACACACACACACACACACACACACACACACACACACACACACACACACACACACACACACACACACACGACACCCACACACACAGACACGCACCCACGCACGCACGCACGCACGCACGCACATCCTTCAAAGGCGAAGTGGGCTGTCGAGTGGGGTCTTAAAGTTGAAAGCAAACAACCTGATGCAATGCGCTCAGTAGATTTGCGGTTTCTTGTTGAAGACTCAGCTGAAGTTCAGATTGTGTCTTCCCCCCAATGGCACTGGCACTCTGCACCATGTTTCCACCTATCGAAAGATAGCGGGGTAATTATCCGGCATGGTGCGCAAGCAACTCGTGTTGTGTTTATGTCTACTTGAAGCATACATAGTTGAGCCCTGGACATACCCGGCATCTATTTGAGAACAAGTTCCAAGGTAAATTCCACGGTGCTGCTGCACAGCAAGCAGGACACACCACAGCTGGAACCTCCAAGTTGGCAGGCAAGACTCTGCGGTGGGGGCGGAGGCTATTTGAGGAGGTTATTTGAGAGGGGGTGAATGTGGAGAGCATGAGGGGGCCTCGGGCGAGGAAGGGTTGATGGCTGCAAAACACTCCGTTCAACAAATCAGATGCACTGGGGCCCGCACGCACACCATCCTGGATCCCTGACTGGGTGTCAGCGGTGACATCCTCAAATGCGTTAGCCAAATGGCAAACGCCCGAGCCACTCTCACACGCACAGACATCCCATGAAATTTCTGGCAGCTCTGATGAAGAGACTCCGAAATTGAATGCTGAATAACTCAAGCTCTCTGATGGCCTGTCCACAGCCCAAACCAGTTTCCGACGGATCCCTGCCGAAGGCTTGCTTGAATCAGAGGCTATCACTCGCAAGCAAACATGAATGGGAACGGCCTAGCCTGCGGAGTTCGTTTTGCAACTGCGAAAGGCTTGTTTCGTTCCATGGTCAGTGCCTCTTAGTCCACGGAGATCTCATCTTGGTCCACGGGAAATTTGCTTTTTGTTTACGGGAGCTCACTTTGTCCCATGGCCTATGGGAAGCTCAGCTTTGTCTCCGGGCTCCATGCGGGAAATTCCTCTTGGTGCCCAAAAAGTGCTTAAAACTATTCCCTTAGTATATGCGGAGATTTTTCAGTTTAGGGCCAGCTCACTCTAACCTGGGAGAAGTTCATCGCTGCTTTCTCACTGTGATCTACGGAAGAGCCTTTTAGTCTGCAAGGGACTGTTTTTTTGTGTATGAAGAACTCAGTGCAACTGATGGTCCATGGGAACAACATGCTTGCAAAACCCAAGCAATGGACTTGCCGGGAGGCCCGAAAAAAGCAGGGGTATCCACCGTTCCTTCATGTGCAAACCGCAAACCATTCAATGAAAACTGCCTTTCCATGGGGACGGGCGCCCGACCATTGCAGCCAATGCGGAGAACAAGGTCCACTCGCAATCATCCGTCTGCTCTGCAAAACGGGCGCCAAGCGTCTAGTTTCATGGGCAATTTCGCCCACAAGAGACAACGCCTCCGTCGAAACAATTAGCTGCCGTGCTGCTGCGACGGACAGAAAGGAGCTTGCTGACGAGCCACACACCAGGCTCATGCACAAGAGGGCTCCAATCTTGCTCGCTTGCCAGAATCAATGAAGAACCACGCGTGATCTGATGTTGGACAAAGTGATTCGGTGCGTGAACTTAGTTGCTTGATGGTTCGCAAAATGTTGCAGCACAAGCTAATTCAAAAGAAGTTGCTTGGCGCTCGGGCGCGCTTGCGAGAATGCACACCAGGCCGAAGGTTCGAACCTTCGGTGACGTGTATGCGAAATCAGGGTCCCGGGCGAAGGCAAAGAAGAAGCGCGAGCGCAGCACTGTCGGGGCGGCCCCAGCCGCCTGGCCGGATCTGTGGGGAACTCAGGAGGGCAAGCGGGATGAAAAGCCACATGACCCACAAAACCGCAAACATCCCAGCATCAAATTGAGCAGGACCCCAAGCCACAATACTTGTTTAGCCGGCCAAGTTTCAAAAGCATAAGAAGGGGAGTTCCCCACGTTCTTGCGCGCGGTTCTTGCTAGTAATGTTGCCGCCCGCGCCGCTCGCTCCTCTCCTCGCCTCCTCTCTGCTTCACTCTTGCTCACTCAACTTACACTCGCTGACTTTCAACGACTCTCACTTAACAGGGGTGTGGGAAAGCAAAGGCTTGATACTGTATCTCCTGACAAAAGTCGCAAAAAGCGACGTGGAACAAAGACAAGGGCCGTTTGATAGAAAGCATGTGCCAGATTCAACCACTGTGTTGCGCGTTGTTCAACTGAAAGCCACTCTCCCAAGATGGATGACCTCCAAAGCATTTGACCTGCAGGCGCAGAACAGAGCTGACCCGACCCAAGTGGCTTTTCGGCCTGCGTGAAATTAACCGCGCCAGGAAGCAAAGTACGTGCGTCATCTGCATGACAGCGTTCGCCAAACCAGAATGTCTCACTGGACACGCCAATGCGCGGCCTTGTGGGTCTCCTGGGAGACAAACCGAGACTTGCGCCGAGGTCCGCCTCGGCGCCGGTGCCGTTCCGCAGCGGAGGCTGGTAGTTGATGTCCATGAAGCGCCGCAGGTCTAAGATCTCATGGCCTCGCGCAGCCGCGGGGCTTGCAACCGAAAGTCCAAATTGGGGCAACGCAGACCTACGAGCCTCAAACGCCAAGGCATGGAAAACCAAACCAATGCGTGCTCTTTCAGGGAAGAAACCCGAGTTTGCCAAGATAAGGCCGATTCAACACAAACAATGGAGGAACCTCCCCTGCCCCGGTTCAGGGAACCATGAGCTAGCCTCCAACACCTTGAGCTCAAACGTTTCCGGTCCAAGTTGAACTGGGGCCATGGCCAGAGTCCTTCTAAGGCGCTTGGTATGGAATGTTTGGAGGGACCCTAAAATGCACCAGGACAACGTGTTCTTTTGCTGGAAACCAAGGTGCTAAATGAGCCTCTCACCCATCTACCCGAACCAAAACTGAAGGGTTGGGGTGCAAGGAGGGTTGCCGCGGTACCAGGGATCGCAACCGACCAAGCAAGACTGATCAATCCCTCAAATGCGACACGTGACCAAAGCATGCAGGAATCCACAGCTCTCCGGTCTTCCACCAAAGAACAGGCCCAAACTCCGGTGGGTGAAACTGTGGCTTGCATCCATAGCTTGCAAAGCTTCTTGGAGGCCGCTCTTGCAGATATGCCGCTCTCTTTCAAGACCCAACCCTTGCTCATCTCTTGAAGGGTACCAGCACAATCAAGGCTGCTCCATTCCACCCTTTCACAAGGGCGGAAGGTGCGGGGAGACCACGAGCAGTGGTGTTGACATCTGTTAGGCCCTACCAATCTTCTACCCAAAGGTGGCTTGGTCATCTTTTCAAAGAAAAGGAGCCGTTCCAGTCCACTGCCTTGGGGGGTCCGAGCATCAAAAAGCAACAGTCGCACACCGCACCTCCCTGCTCGATGAAGGCCAGGGTGGCGGGCCTCAGACCGATTTACGTGGCGTGCCTTCTCGAAGGGAGCTTGAAATCGGGTTGGTTTATGGAAACCAACCCGTTGTTCAAGGGCATTTGCGGGTCTGGGTTTCCGAAGTACGGAGGGAATTATGGAGGTTATATATCATGATATACTCTAGATACGTGCACAGATATAAGAGTTTTTACTGGCTTACAAGGTTCTATTGGCGGTATATGAGCATTCATACCTCCAAAATCCATGCCTGGCACCAACAACAATAATAGTGCCATCTACTTTTGCCCTGGTGTATCTACGAAAAGCTTTCTTTCGAGAAGGCGGAATCCGAGTACGGATTTTTGGTGTGTCCAACTTCGGACCCTTGCGGAATCCGAGGCCGTGAGAAGCCATTGGAAGATTGGGCCTTTTGACAGCGGCATGGAATATCCTTGTGACAAATGATTGGATATGCGCCCATGGTTACCCTAGTTGGCGGATAGTCTCGGCTCCATTCGTAGGAGCCAAATAGGCAGGAATGTTCAAATCACGAAAGGGCTGTGAACAAGCCCCCGACAACCCCAGGACCTGATGTGGCACAACAAAACTGGCATTAAACAGTTCCACCGAAAACACATGGGAAAGAATCAAAAGGGCAAATGTCCACACCGACTGTTGGTACGGTATAGACAAAACTCGATTTGAACACTGGCTGATCGACCAATCCCAACTGGTGCCCGGATTTCGTGGCTTTTGTCACTATCGGTTCAGGCAACACTCCCAGGCTGCCAGGTGCTGGGCAGGAATTTGTCTGACTAGGTGCCCCGGGCGCCGGGATGGGCTCCGCGGCGTTGCCGTTCATCTCTAAGACCTCCGTTCAAAGCCAAGCGAGCCGGGAAACGGAACCGGTGCTCCGAAAACCCTTTTGTTGGGTGGCTTCCTTTTGGAGCCCCTCTCATCCCAAAACGTCCCTTCCCAAGTTTTGGAGGCTATCTGAGATCGTCCGGGGAAAACAAACACCAGCCGCACGGGAACCCCGGACTTTGCAAACCCCTAGCTTCCATGGGCGATGAATTCAGCAGGATGTGCAACTGGAAAGCCAAGATTCGAACCTCCCAAGACAGGCTGATCTTGAAAGGCATGGCACTTTGTTGCGCCTCTCCCCCGATCGAGCTATGTGTCATGGTCAATACGTTACGTGGGCTCATTGTCATAATTATCTGAAGAAGAACCTTGACAATGTTTGCAACGGCTGCCCAAATGCCCGATTCAGATGACTCCCTAGTAAACATCAAAGACAAGAATTCAAGTCAGGATGTGTGCTGTTTCCCAAGGGATTTACCTACTGGAACTGCCCATAGGGCCGAAGCTCAACCAGAAACCTCGGTTGCTTGCTAGACCCAGCCATTGGTTTCCAAACAGCATGTGCCCCTCTCTATGTCTAGAACCAAAGCGTGGTCATGGATCATGGGTGGTCTTTCAGACTTGCTTGGACAAGTCAGATTACCTTTCTACCCTTGCGGTCCTGTACCATCCAAACGAAACAAGTCAAAGTCAAAACAGAAAAACATGTGTTGCACAACCTCCAACTTCGCTATGAGAAGCACCACAACTCTTCACCTGCCCCGCATTCTGCAACTCATCAACAACTTTCTTCCATAGCTTTCGCAGGAAATGGAGGATCATGTACTCCCAAAACCCACGCAACCGTCGTCCGTGGGGGACTAGCTCGTAGGGGGGGAAATCCACAGTTTTCCTTTCGGTTTCCCTTTCAAGGCTGAAAAGGGTCCCCTTTTCGCTTCCCAAACCACAACCATGGCCTCACGAAAACGCGCGCACACACACAGACACACACAAAACATAGGCAGAGGAGTCGGCACCCGGTCCCCTTCCGCCATGCGGCGAATCGTGTGGCACCCTGGCCCTTGGCCTCGCGGGGGCGTGCGGATCCGTCGACACGGTTTCGCCAAAAACCGCGGGCGAGGGGATCTAACAAATCAGAGATCCCAACAAAATGATCGGAAAAAAACACTGTAGCATTCGTAACGAGTAGTAGCCATAGTAGTCGTAATGGCGGTACCGGAGCTAGTTTCCCGTCTGACTGTCTTGTTGAGGAGCTGGTGGGCCTGGACTGAGGGCGCTGAAAGGAGCATCCTGTAGTAAATGGACAAAGCGGCAGAAGCAGCAAAACGCGCCCAAATTCCGCCCGACCTCAACAACGAAGTGTTCTCTTTCTTGATCCAAATCCTTCCCAACTATGGCATCCGCAAGCACAATTCGTACCAGGCAGCAACCTACGGTCCCAACGCAACAAAGATGCTGTGAATGAATACCGAGCCTTTGTTGAGTCCTGGCCTCCTGTTCCGAACACCCTCCCTCTTGAGAATTGGCCACCCTCAATAGGGCTGTCCTGAGTGAACTCTCTCACCCTATTGGGGGGTGAAAACAACTCCTCCTCATCACCTCAAGTGTGGGAGTCTAAGGTAAGGGTTCAAACAGCCGAGAAATCCCCAACCGATTCTTCAAGAAGCCACCCAAAATGCCAAAGCATCCAAGCCCAGGAGTCGAACTCGAGAGATGCCGACCGCAGACAGAAGGCGCTGTGCCCGGCTGAAGATTGCCGCAAACGCACTGGAAAACAGAAAGCTGACCTTGTGTCGCCGACTTCGCAGGGCTTGCCTTTCCCAAGCAACCGATGCCAGCCTGGGTGGGAAAGGAGTAGGCGAGCAGGGACTCGCCGGGGTCGCAAAGATACTGCAGGACTTGTGCCTCACCGATCTCAGCCAAAGCCCCTGGCCCGGAAACACAAATCCCGCTGGAATCCCCAGCAGGAAAACAAACCTGCTTGCCTGATTGTAACCATCTCGGGCCAACCTTCTTGAAGTTGGCTTCCTTCAGGCGGGAGTATGTCTTCCTGCAAGGCAACGAACCCCTGTGCAGCTTATCCGCCTTTGCCAAGGTTTGTGGTTTGTGCATGGCTTGGCCGGAGGTCATGACTTCCTATTGTTGGCCACTGCGGAGTTGTATCCAAAGCTTGGACTTGTTCAAGCGACACATATCCGTCTGCTGGTAAGCGATTGAGAACGCACTGGCAAAGGGCCCGCACTCTTGCGGCGTAGCCCTTGACTGGTTGAAAAGCCTGCGCCAAAACAGCCCCTGTTGGTCGATGAGTGGAAGCGGAAGCCTCAAAGAGAGTCGAGAGAACTGGGCGCTGACCGAATCCGGAGGTAGATTTCTGGGTCCCCCAGAAGCCCCCGCTTCCCGTCTTCCCATCTGGGCAGATCCGGCCACTTGCTCTTTGCAGATCATCTGCCAGCCCGGCAGATTCCGCCTCGGAGCCGGCCATGCGAGTTTGTGGAGCCCCCTGATTGGGAGACAGCCTAGTTCTACCAGTTGCCCCACTTCTTCTTCAACGAAATGCACTCGTTGTGCCACACTGCGGCGGTTGGAACATGGAGTGGGGGCGTTAGGTGAAAGTAGATGGCCTTTGCCCCTGTGCTTACCCCTTTGCTTACTTTGGAACAAGGATGAGCCATTGAGGCAGTCACGCTCGCCCCTTCCTGATGGTTGCGGTTGGCTGAGGGGGCTGGTGATTGACATGCCTAGAGAAGGAGAGTAGCAACTCCAAGCCCAGCTTAACCAATTTGGCGAATTTGAAGGATGCAGCCCCCAAGAAATCAGAATCCACACGGAGCCACCCCACAATGCCCTCTAGAGTTAATGTGGCGGCTCTCGCGGCTTGGACAGTGCCGAGTCAATGACGCCATCTCCAAAACGACAAAGCCACTAGACACGTGAGAATGAACACAACCAGTCGGCCTGCCAGCGACTTTTCCAAACAGGTTGCTTCTATTCAGAAGCTCGCGATGAAGTGCGCCTCTGCACAAATGTGTTCGCACAGATCTGCGAAGGGGCATGCCAGGCCTTTGGGGCTAGAACTCCTGCTTGAAGGTTCTGGTGTGTTGGATCGGATGTTGAAATCCGCTTGGTTCATGTCAGGTTCTATGGCTCCCAAAGTGGCCTGCTTTGAACAGGAATGCCACACTCTAGGAGGCCATGTTCAAGGTCATGTATTGTTCCAGGTATCCCAATCTTGCCTCCTGAATGCGCCCAACTCGGAAGCTCATCCCCTAAGGCGACTGGCAGCTGCGCTTCAAAGGATCCGAGGCTCGCTAGGACCTCAAAAGAAGAAAAACACAGGACCTCAAAGGTTGCACTTCCTTTCAGCAACTCACAAGGAAGCTTGCGTTCGACCCCAAACGGTTAGGATTAACATCACCTCAAACAGAAAAATGTGTACACATTAATGTGTATTGCACAAATATAATGCGTGGGTGTGTGTGCATGTGTGCATGTGTGTGTGTGTGCGTGTTGTGCGCCGCAATAAGCCCTCAGGCTGGGGGACGGAGAGGGTAATGAGGATAATTTTGTTCCAGAAGACTCCCTCTGAGAAGCGACTGTGAGAGGGCGTTCACCCGAGAAAGCACCCGTAGAGGAATTATTGGGACCCGTGCCGGGGGTTGCATATCATTTGCAGGAAGGTATGCGTCAAGTGTCAGCATGGATGCCCTATAACTAGCCTCGCTTCCCTCGCATGCAAACTAGAGGACGACTGGCGCAAAAGGGGAGAAATGTTCAGCACAGCCCCCGCAACCAGGATGTTTCACGCACACGGACAAAAGCAATCAAAAAATGCCCTGCCAGCCGCGTGAAATACGGGAGCGTACTTTGCGCGCTATCTTCGTCAACAAAAAAGGGATCGAACCCGGGAGCCGCAGATCCCAAGAACACGCGCGCAAACAGCGGGCAACGTCCGAAGACTCATCTGCAAGCGTCACAAAGTAGCTGAAATCCTCAGTTCTTGCACATCGACCCATGCCGATCCCGCAAACCGTCGCGCGTGGGCCGAAAAAAGAAGCAAAAGTCCGCAGTTTTTGCACATCGACCACGCCGTCCCCGCAGAGGGTCGGAAAGAGCAACGCAAAAAGTAGCAAAAGTCGTTCAACAATGCGAGAAAGCCCCCAGTTACACCAACTGTTGCAGGGGGTCGCACGTGAATGTTGGAAGGCGGAACAACGTCATCAGTTATTGCACCTCGACCACGCCAATGGCAGAGGGTCGCTCGCACACCGCAAGTCTCCGAAGAGTTGCAATCCAGCGATGCTAAGACTCCCACCACGGCGCCCTAGAATGACAACCCAAGCAATCTGCCCAAGCGCTCCCAACCCAACCACCTGCGCGAAGGAAATTGCACAGAGCAACTTGCACCGAGCCACGTTGCTCTGTGCAAATCGCTCTGTGGAAGTTGTTCTGTGCAAGCTGCTCTGCGCAAGTTGCTCTGCGCAAGTTAGTCGAAGGCCTCCGCACGGAAAAACCCTTCGCGATGCTTTCAGGAAAGAGGGCTAAACAAGATGCTGTAACCTGGCAACGAAATAAACAAGCACACTTGATAGGGTTGTCTTTTGCAACACCCAACACACACACACACACACACACACACACGCAAACCACACGCAGCTGCTATGACGTAAGCAAAGAGTCAATCTTTGCCTACTGTCCACTGCCAATAACTGTATATATTTGTTTAGTCCGCGTGCAGAAATATCGTACGGCCATCAACCCTGTTGCCCCAACCGGCACTTGGCCCACACTCGCCCTTCGGCCGCCCCGGGTCCGCCTTCTTGTCAAAGATGGAGACGCCCCTCGCGTCGTAGAGCACGGACCTAGCAGCAAAGGGCTCCAAAGCAATCCCTCAAAACCGCCTCTGCGCCATAGAATGGACGCCAAGGTTCTACTTGTTTAGTGCCTTGGGGTATGTGCCAAGAGACAGGGCAACCTCATCACAAACAGAAAGCTCAACTCCACAGTGGATTGACCCGAACAAATCAAAGCATGAAGATGAAATGTCCAGAAAGTGTCAAGTCCTCAAATTTGGGAAGGAAAAAGACGCATGCCTCGCCAAAGCTGGCCAGTTGATCCTCTGCACTTCAAGTCTTCCGGAGCTTGTCGGACCCTGGGAGATGGCCCATCTGTCCATGTTGCAAGCCTCGAAGCCCTGATGTTCGATGGAAGTTCATGGCACAGCTCGGGAGTAGTCTTGAAGCTCCAACGAAACCTAAAGACTCCAAAGGACAAAGTCAAAGGACGACAGGAACAACGGAGATGGAAAAGCAAAGCTTGTTCAAATGAAGACATGAATAACCTACCAACTGGGTTGCCCCCAGCTTGTCGAACTTAGAGGGGAAGCCTCAAATCAACTGGTCGGTCAAAGAGCGGAGGTGAAGGCACAGCGTCTGGGGGCTCGAAGTCCCCGATTCCGGGGCGCCCGGCACGCTCTGGGTGTAGATGAGCTGGCCGAGCCTCAGGGAACGGAGAAAGCAAAAGGGTTCCCCACCCCAGCAAAGGCCCCACCCCACCCCCCAGCCCTGCCCCCAAGGAAAGCGTCTGAAGGAACCTTCTTGGAGGTTCTCAGACCGGCCCTGTGAGCGAGGGTCCTAGTCTCCTCACTGCCCAGCGACTTCCCCCTTGTGCCAAAATGGCCAGCCCTGTTTATCGTTTTGGTGGACAGCTGGAACCCGACGCTCAAACAACAGGCGCCGCCCTGCTGAACCACTAAAATGTCCAATCCGACTGACCTACATGATGTCATCATAGAAATGACCTTACTCAGCAAAGTGAACATGGAACCCAGAAGGAGCTCCCCCAAATGATGTATTGGGGGCATACGCCTTGATGCATGCTGCCCATCGGATGCGCAAAACTCTGTGATCGCGCTGCTCTCCCCTGCTGCTTGCACATGTCCGGCTGGTTCGGCTGCCAAAATTCCCTCAGCGCCCTATCGAGAAAAAAAGCATATCAAACGTCAGCCAAAACAGTCTGTAGCAACGCAAGCAGAACACTTGCCACAAACAGCTGGTGCAGCCTGCCTGACCTCTACCCAGGCACTTGGCTTCGCCGGCATTCGCACTCCGGCATGCCAGGCCTTCAGGAATCCCTATAAATGTCCTTCACCCATGACCATCCCCAACTCCAAGTAAAGTGGTGGTTTGACCACAGCGCCAATGGTTGACAACCCAAGTCCAGATCGGCCGGGCGCTCCCGCAAACGTCGCCCGCTGGCCTTAGGCAACTGCGCCGTTTCTTGGGTCTCTGGGTGCTTGAATAGTGAATGTGAAAAGAAAAACTTTATCAAATGTGTGTGTGTGTGTGTGTTAAATAGGGAGACCTGCAAATTCTGGTGGTTTTCCTTTTGGTTTCCCTCTGAACCCATCTGAAAAGGGGAAGAAAAAAAAAGAGCTCAGGTGATATCCCCAACAGCATGCGCTCTTCTTAGTGCTCGCGCCACTCCGCAGCCCTCGCAGAACCTCGTGGAACCCTGGTGGAACCCTAGTGGAAGCTGTTGGGGGGGGGGGGGGGGGAAAAAAAACAAGCACTTCTTGGGTCACCAAGCAAGTTCGATGTCCGGCTCACAATCTCGTTTTGGGCGTTTGCCTTGCTTCTTGGCTTCTGGGACAGGCAAACCACAACTTCAGTAAAAGTTCAGAGATGTTCAGAGCTCCATAATCCGCATCAGCTCGAAAATGCACACAAGAAATGACTCCCCAAGCCAGCATAAAACCCAACAAAGGGATCACCAAAAGGAGCATATTTGCTTTTTGGGGGGGGGGGGGGGGGGAACGGGGGTCTTCTCCGAACCGAAGCAAACCCCGACATCATGCGCGCGCACGAGCGCTCCCCCGCGGGGCCCCCACAGTCTCAGGTGGATCCAGCGCCTGACACCAAAAAACAAACCGGCCAGATCCCACACTGAAACAGAGACCCCCGACTTCGGAATTCGCGGACAAAGAAGGGACCTCTCCTTGTCGGCCAACCAGGGGTTGCCAATCCTGGGCCAACAGCACTTTCCAAAGGAAGGTGGCACATCCAAAGCTAACCCCCGATAGTCTCAACCACAAATATGAACGCCTCATTTGTGCGGCCAGAAGGGTTCCTTCTCTTCACATGCCTAAGCAGGCTGCATCTTTCACAGCCTCCCCTACCTGTTCAAACCAGACTTCTAGAACTTGAGCAGCCGGGTGGACGGCTCAAAAGGAACCAGCTCGTCAATGGTTGCTCAAACAAACAGTGCATGCCGAAGGATATAGCCAACAATCAAAGGCAACATAAACCAAAATCATGGCAGATGCTCCTGAGGAGGAGCAACCGCAACAGACTAACAAGGAATTCCAAAGACTACAATGTGTAGAGGAATCACCTTTTGGCCCATTGGAGGGCCGACTTCTTTGGAGGCGCCATGTCAGTTTGCAGGAAGGCATCACAGCCCGACAACAGCCCATTGCTGGGAGAGCCCGAACTCCGCCTGCACAACGTCCTCGCCCACTTGCAGGAAGCCCCCCTCTGGTCGGAGCTCTTCGAGCCTGCAGTGAACAAGAAGAGGAGAGAGAGAGAGAGAGAGAGAGAGAGAGAGAGAGAGAGAGAGAGAGAGAGAGAGAGAGAGAGAGAGAGAGAGAGAGAGAGAGAGAGAGAGAGAGAGAGAGAGAGAGAGAGAGAGAGAGAGAGAGAGAGAGAGAGTTGAGATATTTGTTGTTTACCTCGCCCAGGCTACTTACTTGACCCTCGCGGCTGGGAACCCTTGCTTCACACTTTGGTTGGGGCCAACAGGCAATATTCTCTGGGGGCCTGGGGTCACCGGCCTGGCTCGGACCCAAGGCCGCGTATTGGCTTTGACTTGATGGCAATTGCTGGGGGTTGCTTGGCTGGCTGTCTTGGTTGGCTGGTTGGGGTTGGTTGGCCGCATACCCAGCATCGCCAGCCTCGCTCGGACACAGTTGCGAGCTGCTCGGGGCTGGCTTCCGGCGAGTTTTGGGCTTGCTTAGATAATGGTTCATTTAGGGCTGATATCTAGAATGCTGTTGGGTTGCTGGTTTTGCAATGGGTTTGGCCAATCCCAAACCAGCCCAAAAACTCACATGACCACACCCAAACCCACTGCACAAATTCGCTCCAAGCCAACCCAAAGTCAACCCGAAACCAACATCAGCGAAGCTCTCCATGCTGGGGCAACCAACCAACCCCGACCAACCAACCAAGGCAGCCAGCCAACAAACCCCGAGCAACTCTCAGCCGCCACCAAATCACGGCCAATACACAGCCCGAAAACCAAACAACCTGGAATGATGGGGATGACCGTCCAACCAACGAGCCGACCGACCGACCGACCGACCAACCAACCAACCAAACCAACCAACCAATCAACCGACCAAGCATCCAACCAACCAACCACCCGTGGTTAAGCGTCTGTCCGAGAAAGAAAAAGCAGGGTTCGGAGAGACAGAGAGAAAGAGAGAAAGAGCGACACAAAGAAAGAAAGCAACAAAAAAGAAAGAAAGAAAGAAAGAAAGAAAGAAAGAAAGAAAGAAAGAAAGAAAGAAATAAAGAGAGAAAGAGAGAAAGAAAGAAAGAGAGAAAGAGAGAAAGAAAGAAAGAAAGAAAGAAAGAAAGAAAGAAAGAAAGAAAGAAAGAAAGAAAGAAAGAAAGAAAGAAAGAAAGAAAGAAAGAAAGAAAGAAAGAAAGAAAGAAAGAAAGAAAGAAAGAAAGAGAGAAAGAAAGAAAGAGAAAGAAAGAAAGAAAGAGAGAAAGAGAGAAAGAGAGAAAGAGAGAAAGACAGAAACAGAGAAACAGAGAAACAAAGAAACAGAGGCGACCTTGGGTCGACACGAGTTGAACCCTCGCTGGGACAGCAGCCCCAGTACGAGACCACTTCCAAGAAATTTCTACGCTTGACAAAAACCCATGTGGGACAAGGATACGTATAGGGGATGCAGGGACACATCTGCTTGCCACAGTCGGGCAATCCTCTCTGAGAGGCTAGCTGTTGTTGTGGGAAGTAATTGCACAATAAAGGGGGCATTGGTTCAATGCTAGCAGTGGATAAGCCCGTCTCAGATCGACTGCCAGCCCCACTCCCGCCCAGCCTCCTCCGTGCATTGGGGCCCTTTCTCGCCGAGAGCGCCAAAATGTACGCCTCCCGCCTAGCGCAGGGCTGGAACAAAAGTAGTGACATGCGTGTAGATGGTACTGGGAACTGATTCCAATCAAAGCGAAACCAGTGGCATCTATTTTCAGATCATCCCACCCCGGCTTCTATGTGGATCTAAAAATAGAAAACAGCCATGGACAGGCCCCAACTCGCTTCACCCAAGACAACACGACTAAACGGCGCAAAGCTGCCCCACTAGCCATGGCTGAGGGAACCATGCCACGTTGAAATTAAGTTGCCAGTTGACGCAGCACGAATATTCAATGCTACAGTTCACCGAGGTCGATGGACATTAGCTTCTGTTGGAAGCCCACTTTCCGATGGTGCTGGCTTACATTTCAGGGTGGTTTGCGCTGTGGTTGCAAGCAGTGAACTTTCATGTCAAAGCTGGATCCGACAAGCAGTCAGTTCGCCCAAGCCACCCCTGCCCGGAGAGAGGACTTGTGCCTGAGCATGGAGTCGCCATCCGCGCGGATGAAGGTGGAGAAATCAAACTCGATGGTTGGCATCCTGCAATTGCAACACTGTCAAAGCGAGCTTTCCAACCAATCGAAAACCAAACTTGAGTTAGTTGGGGATCAGCCAATGTGTTTGAGCTGGAAACCTTAGTTTGTGTGTGTGTGTGAGAAGGTTTAAAATTGTGTGTGATCGTTAGGTTCGCTCGCTTTGCGTTTGTGTGCTCGCCCGTTGTACGTGTGCATGTGCTTGCGCGTGGGTTGTGTGCTTGTGTTGCGTGTTTGTGTATTTGTGTATGTGTGTGTGTGTGTGTCTGTTGTGTGTTTGGGTGTCTGGGTGTGTTTGTGTCTTTGTGTGGTTGTGGTTCGTGTGTCGTGTGTGTTTGTATGTTTGCTTGGTTTGTGGGTATGTGGGTTTGCGGATGGGTGTGCGCTGATGTGTTGGTTTGTGTTTGTGTTTGTGTGCTTGTCAGTGTGTGTGTGTGTGCTTGTTTGCGTTGTTGTGTGTTTGTGTGTTTGCGTGTTCCTGTGTTTGTGTGTTTGCATGTTTGTGTGTTTGTGTGTTTGTGTGTCTGTGTGTGTGTGTGTTTGTTTTGTGTATGTTCTTGTGCGTGTCTCTTTGTTCGTGTGTGTGTGTGTATTTGGGTGTGTCTGTGTGTGTGTTTTTTTGCGTGTGCGCGCGTATGCGTGTGTGTGCGTGTATGCATGTATGTGTGTTTGTGTGGATTTGTTTGTTGGTGTGTAGTTGTTTGCTTGCTTGCTTGCTCGCTCGCTCGCTTGTTTGCTTGCTTGCTTGCTTGTTTGATTGTTTGCCTGTTTGTGCGTTTGTCTGTGTGTGTTTGTGTGTTTGTGTTTGCGTGTTTGTGTGCTTGTGTTTTGTCTGTGTGTTGTGTGTTTGTGATTGTGTGTGTGTGTGTGTTGTGTTTGTGTGTGCGTGTCTGCTTGTCTATGTGTGTGTGTGTGTGTGTGTCTGTGTGTGTGTGTTTGTGTTTGCGGTTGTGTTTGTTTTTGTGCTCGTGTTTTGTCCGTGTGTGTGTTTCTGTTTGTGTCCGTGTGCGTGCTTGTGTTTGTGTTTCTGTTTGTGCTTATTGGACATGTTGACACGCTTACCAACGTCGGGATGTGCAGCAACAATGAAAGTGTGAAACACGAATCCAAGACCATTGTGTGTTTCAACCGGAAGCAAGAATAAATGTATGTTTTGAAGACGTGGATTCAGAAGATCAATAAGGCACAATGGCTCACGCACCAGGTCGGACGGTGCAGATAGAGCTGGCGCAAGCTGTTAGCAAATGCTGAAAATGCGGATGATGCCAGTGTTGCTGGAGAGGATGATTAAAAAAATATGGCTGCTTGCACGAGAAAATAGGCTCGAACAATCCGAATTTGTCCCACTCTGACAAACATTTGGCCAGGCCTTTGTTTCTCATTGTGTGGGCAGTTGCCAAAGCCCTCCAGGAATGGGTGGGTTCCAAAATTATGAATCTGTTTTCTTGAGATTTGTGAAGCAAGTTGAGCAACTGCCGAGACCATGTACTTCCCGAATTCATTTGTTGCAACTTGGGCGGCAAAGAAAAACGCCGCCCAGCAGCGATTGCAAGTTCTTTGAGTTACAGCACCCGTAGCTACATCTTTGTGCAATACCGGGGAACTGGCAAAACAGCTGGCCTCCCTAACAGGAAGCTCGCAACCGTTTTCCTGCTGCTAATCAGCCCCCCCCCCAAGACAACAAACACAATTTGTGTGGAAGCAACTGCCCCATGTCCATGGCAGCTAGGAAACAAAGCAAGTCTCGTACGCCAACACACGTGCTCCTAAACAAAGGCCCAACCAGCGCTGCAACCACCAACGTGGCAAACCTCAGCGTGCAAGTGTCTCAAAGGATGAGTGAAGCCACTTCCTCAATGCTGCAATCTTTCACCGGGATGTTCAGGGAAACTCAAGGTAATGCAACCATGGCACGGGGCATTCCACAATTCCTAGGTGAAAGATGTTGCCCGAAGCTGCCAATTCACTCAATACAGCCCTGATAACAGGCCGGATAACAAGGGGCTGACTCGGGAACCACAACACACTCGATTCGAGACAGTGCCCATCCTGTGCAGTTTCCTAAAGTGTACAGGCCTCTCAAATAATCTACCTGAGGACATGTTCATAGTCAAACTCGCTGGTGTAGTCAGTGTCACGCAGTTTGGACGCAGAGTACGAACCGTCATCATGCTTGCAGAAGTGTAGAACTGCTGATATCCTGCCTGGAGAACACTGCAGTCTTCTGAATCAAGAGCCCAAATGACGTTTCCCCCAGCACGTTTCATCAGGAAGGGCTTTGAGAAAAGAGAAACGCGAGGCACCTGAGCGTTCCTCCGGAGGACTTGCACCGGCAACGCGCTGAGCCAAGAACAGCTTGAACTGTAGCTTCTCTCACGGCCCAGAAGAATGAATGCCAGCTAAAAGTTTACGGAACTGAAACCAGCGCACTCATTTTTTGAGCAAACTGATCTGAAAAGGACTTCTGCCTTTACCCTTGGGAGTTTCCCCCTTGGGCCGCGGCAGCATGATCAGCTTCGGCCGCCGCTCCACCTGCAAAACTGCATAGCACTCGGGCGTAAACTACTAAGTTGGCTGAGAAAACAATGTGGTTGTTTCTCAAAACCCCATCCCGAAAGCCAGGCTGTCTGTGTCACGGTGCCCAACCTCTGTGTTTGCCAAACAAACATCTTTGCTCACATCCCGACAAGCAGAGGATTTGTTCGGCCATGGAGAATATTGCCCGGCTGCCAGAGTTCAGTTTGTGGTCGTCTCCGTTCTTGTTTCATGGCAGCGGGCTGAAGAAGCGGGCTTCGGTCGGACACCTGGCTCAGGGCGAAGACGTTGGCCTTCCTGGCCATAGGCTCTTTTTGGGAAGAGTCGATGGGCTTTGCGCTGCAGTCTCGAACAAACACGTAGAATCAATAACTAAGGAAGGTCGACCTCAAGAGCTACTTTTCACTTGAACCACTAGTAGTTCTCATTTGGCACTCTGTGGGTCGCGCAAAGTACACAGCCAGGCAAAAGTATTTGCAAGGCTAAGAGGATGCCTCTCCCTTCTTGATCCACGAGAGTTGCCCTTGCTTTTAAACCTCACCCCAACAAAAGGAAATGACCCAAACGTGATCTGCAAGACCACCATTATCAGGCGGAAATCAACCGAGCCTGAAATGTTCCCCTTTCCGCGCCTGCCGAGCATAGGCCCTCATGAGGAGCTGAGACTTGCTCCTCCCAGGTGCCATTGAACATCCAAGAAGAACCCAGAAGCAACGCAGGGTATCACGAACCACGGGCTTCCTTTCAAACATATCATCCCACCCAACGAAAAGCCCACTGAAGGTCAGTCCAAAAGGTGACGCTTGTGACCAGAAGGATAAATGCAACCCTTCTGGGAAGAAGCTTGGTATACCTCGGAGAGGAATCCTACAATTCCAAACAGTGATAACTTTTGCACAAGGTTTGCCTGAAGGATTGCGGATTGCCTTTGCTTCAATGTGTTGTAGCTCCCTGCTGACGGGTGTTAAACGGAAACTCGAGGACAAGCAGCTATTTTGGTGGGTGCCCAAATTTGAGACATACTCATTTGTTCAAAGGGACAAAACGGGCGAAATGAAGCACAAGCTGGACCATTTGGACAGAAGAAACGTAGCCTTACTTTGATTTCTGGGTGCCCTCCTCGTCTTTCAGATGGCCTTCGGTCTTGCGCTTTTACCTTTCACGTGCGCCACATGTAAAGTATCATAGTATTCGTTGTGAATGTAATGCGCTGCATATCGCAAAAGAAATTCAATATTCTGTGCAATGTAGTGCAATCCCGTGCCCCTCGCCCCGATCCAATCCCTTCTCTCTGTTGCACGCAGCGGGTCATCAACCTTCCGTCGGCCCCACACAGCAGACCCCTTGCTACGGGTGCTCGTTTGTGCGGGTGCCAACTACATGGAAAACCAAAGATCTCTTGGATAAAACCCACCTGTGCAGGCGCTCACACGGTGGATTGGCGATGGGCGGCGCGGCGCTGCCGCGCCTGCGCTCAGTGGGGCAGCAAGCACAACCAGGGCCCAGGATTACTAGGTGAAGATGGGGCGTCCCTTTTCTGCGTAATGCCTGGCTTTTGGGGCAGCCACCCTTTCTCATCCAAAAAGTTGATGGATCCAGGTCGACAAGTCATCCCACTGGTCCGAGGGAAACATATCTAATCTTTGCCCTTCACCCTCCATTCTTTTCGGGAATACACAAGATCCTGGTTCCTGGAGGGGTCCCTCAACTTTCTGCCAAGAAAAGTAAACATAAGACTGTTGCAGAAACACTACCGCGAAACACTCCAGCGCGGGCCCCTTGTGTAACCACGGGAAGGATTCTGGACTGCCTTTGACCAGCCCTGAAACTACGAGTGCATCGGGATCTCCTCCCATGTCGAAAGCCGCAAGCGCCCATGCGCACACATGACCGCCCTCATCAGTTTCACATCCAGGCGGCCTAAAATTCTACAGGCGTTCACGCCACGCGGTGAAAAACCAGTGCACAGGAACAACTCCAATGCAACATCATGGCCACCACCACTACATTTTAAGCGGCAAGCTCCCATGAACTCAGCCGAGCACACATTGCCTCTGGCAAAAATGAATGCGAAGGTATCGACAGAGACTGTCAATCGACAACCGAAAGCCCCGCCAAGCGATTCGAACTTGAACCTCACCTTGTTCAGAAAAGAATTTCAAGCAACTGTTTAGCCACAGCTAGCTTGTACGTTCCAGAGGTCCATCCCCAAGCTGGAGGTGTCGCCGGCAAATGGTGTTTTGTTTGTATGCCCCAATACCCCAAGTGCTTGCAGCGGTACCTCTTCACTTCTCTCGGGCGTGTGATTCCAGCAGCGATTGGCCTCGTTGTCGTACATCTCGCCCAGGGTGTTCTCCATGTCGTGCACCATTTCGGTAATGTGGCCTTGGCAACCACGTGCAACACCCCGCAGTATGCCACACCTCTTCCAAATTGATGTGTCACAAAATACCAACTTTGTCCCCAAGGTCACAAAAGCAGAGTGACAAACACGATAGTAAGGCCCTTTGACATATGCGAATTCACCCTTCCGTGGCAGAGGGCTCTCCCTGCCAGAACTACGCAAAAGCCAAATCCTTCCCGTTTGCCCCCGCCTGTTGCTTGGAAGCCCACCTGTCACAAAAAAGAGCGGCGTTCTGCGAGACAACAAAGCTCCCCGCATGCACCGACCGCTCTGCAGCTTCAACAACAAAGGGAGCTTTGTTTTGGTGCCTTTCAGGACTCCAGGCAAAAGCACACAAACCCACTAAAGCAGGCACCAGCTGTGCCTCCAACGAAAGCCTGGAGATGTCTATTTCTAGCGGCAAAGCAAATGTGAAGCTAAAGAAATCTCTAGAGGCCACCCTTTGCCACCATAAAGCCGGAGGCTGACTGGGAAGCATAGAGCTGCTAGACTCCCTTGATCGACCTGCAAGGTGGGCTTTCCTTGCACCAAAAAACACCAACTGGCTTCCTCCTCAGCTGGCCAACCCCCCCCCGCCAACAACCCTCCTTTTTTTCTCCCCCCACTCTCGACAGCAAGCTCGCAGCACGCGCCGAGCAGCTCATCTGCTCTTCCAGCTCGTCCACGTCCTCGATGTCCTTGCTGTCCGTGCTCTGCTGGCGATGCAGCAGCCTGGCGCAACAGGCGGGCTTTGAACCGGATGGGAGATGAGACTCGCCAGCCTTCCCCACATTTGGGTAAGGGTCAAAAACGGGAACACCCTAAATGATTGGTCTCTGTGGCTTCCCTCTCAAACAACCCCTGAATCCCTCCGCTTGAAATAGAAAGATCTGGAGCCCATGTGCAACTTCAGCCGCCATAGTTTTTAGCACAACAGTCCGACCAGATCAAGAGCAACCCAGCCAGAGAGGGCCCAAATGCACGCCTCCGCAGGGTGCGCTGCGTCCGTTCCATGTGCTCTTGGATCTCGTCAATATCCTGGGCATCTCAGGGTCTCGGGGCTTCGGGCCATCAGAAAGCACAGACTCTGGTTTCTGGCCGGTCGCTGGCTTCCCGAGGGTTGAACACCAAGGCTCGCATCCAGCAAAGCACTCCAAGATTGTACACAGCCGAAACACGAACCGAACCAGGCCAACCCTCCTGAGTCAAGCAAGGCTTCCGCGCGCCAGCACAACAGTCAGCAACCCCAAACTCAAATCCAAAAAGGATTCAACACCAATCAAGGCCAATTCCAACAGAATCCAAACCAAACCCAAACCAAACCAAACCCACCACCCATGTGGAACCGACAGCTCTCTCATTGGCCAAGTGACAACAATGACACGATTCTTCTCGATGGACTTGAAGGTGCTCTTGAGGGTCTCGCCTCGGTCCCAAGGCTCCCAAGCCACTTCTCTCAGATCACAATCCACAATCTCAAAGAAGCTTCCGCTCTTGGCCATCCCTTCCCCAGCCACCCCTTGGTGGCTTGGTGGTTTAGAGGACCCGATCTTCAGGGTAAAAATGGGAGACTGACCTCCGATCCAAACCCATTGCAAAGCTGATCCCCCGGAATCCTGTTGGCAGAGAGGCGAAGGGTGGCATAGACCAGGCCCATAAAGCCCGTGACGCACGCCGGGATCAAGAAGGTGCTGGACCCAAGTCGGCGGTAGGCAAAGGCGCCTCCGCCGTGAATAGGGGCGACCCCTTCCTCACTTGCTTAAAGGACCTAGAAATACAAGGTTGACCTTTTGGGACCTTCGCTAAAGTGGATCAAAAATGGAAAACCAACAGGTTGAAAGGGTTTTGAACAACTGAGCTTCATGCTGATATGTGAGCCCAATGGCCATGAGAAAACCGGGGCACTTTTCTTTGAATGGTTGATTCACAGGGAACCCTTCTGAAAAAATAGAAAAGGGGTGTGACTGGTCAACTGAGACAAAGTGGGAATGCGACAGGTTTCACAGCGGTTTCCTCTTACCACATCTTTCTCACAAGCTGTTCTTGAATTTGGCCACAAGTTGCTCTGTCACATGTGCCACAAGTTGACTTCAACCAGCAGCCGCAAAATGGGCGTTTTTTTCTGAGGGGTTAAAGGGACCACCATGTTTTGGGCTCCCCGATTTTGCCACATATCCAAATGGGTGTGTCCTTGGAGACGCGCTAGAGCGTCTCTGCTCCCCAAAAAAACAACCTTGATCATGACTTCTCAATTTCCGTGCTAGGAGCATTGGATTGTTGTCGGCCCAGGATTACAATTACCTATGTCCGAGAAGGAGGTGAATGAATCCTGCGCGCTTCTGGTTTAATCAGCGTGAGCAGCGCACAACACAAAACTTCAGGTGCCTCGCCAAAACTCGACGGGCAGCACATGCCTCTTGCCTCAACGAGCAAGAAAGTACCCCAACTTTCACGGGGTTAACCCACAACCGCCCACCAGTTGATTGCCTCCCCGTTCGAGCGGTCGACAAACGCGCCTGTCAACGTGCCCACGAAGAAGCTCACGTACAGGGGCACCAGAACCTAAGCCCCCCAAACAGCCAGGACACCCCAGGCCCCAAGGTGCATTGCTCGTGTGACAGCAAAGAAAAACGGGGAGGGCAAACAGGCCTGGGTCACGGGGAGAAGAAAAACAAAGCAACTTCTTGTCCCTTCCGGTGTGTCCTGCAAGACTGATTGCACGGCAGCGTTTTCATTATGATGACCGCTACCTGAGTGAGCCAACACCCTCAACTTGTCCGCTCTAGATTGGCAAAATGCCCCTCCAAAATGCCAGTTCAACTTCCCCAAAACATGAAAGGTTGAATTTTGGACACTTTTGGCTCGTCCCTACTTTGGACACGCCAACGGCGGCTTTGCTTTCGCCAAAGCGCCAGAAGCTTGCGCTTGTCCACGTGGAGCTCCGCCTCGTCCAGGAGCTGGGTGCCTGCGCCGGAAGACTAAAATCAACACCCAAAAGCGACTTTTTGCTGGGTTCGTAGTTTGGAGGCCACCGCTTCATCCTCTTTTTGTGGCTTTTTTTTTTTGGTGGGTGGAATGGGGTTGCGGGCTTCCAGTGGCATGTGAATGGGAAAGTTGTTGCCAGTGGAAGATACTGTTGCTTGGTTTGTTTTTGGTGATACAGGGCTCAGCTTTGTTGGAGGAACAGCAAGGAATCGGGATGCTCCGTCTTCCTTGCTTGTGACTTGTACAGGATCTGCATGCATGCGCTGCTCTTATCAGATCATGCTCACGCCCCACGGCAAATGTC